CAGATAAAAAAAAGGTCTAAACGAGAGAGCATGTGACAGTCCCCCCTGTGTCTTATGAATTGTTATCCGCGTGCATAGCAGAATCAAAAATAAGATGAAGAGATGAAACGTTTTCCTATAACTGACCTATTTATACGATTTTAAAATAAAGGTGGAAAATTACATGTAAATTACGAATGCAGTGTAATTTATGGTGCTTCGAATTACGGACAAAGCTCTGTGGCGCAGGAATGGGGGGAATTTAAAAAATAAAATAAACTCGTGTTGCCTGGATATTAGAAGACTCTACATACCAAGTTTGTCAATGTGGACTAAGCCGTTTTCGAAATCCAGGCGTTCATCCAGACTGAAGGACATGTCTACACCGATTTGCCTCATCATGCTGATTAAGAATATACTACATATTTACTTAATGGCGTTGGAGGTGCGTCCTTCTGCCGGATACCACTCTGCAGAAACCTATTAAGTCTACCCTTTTTACTCTACCGGTATATTCATTATCCGTAGAAAATTCTCCGGTTTCGGAATCTTTAATGAACCATATGTTTTGATTTCGAAAAATGTGCACATTGATGAACGAGAAAGCTTAAAAATTAACAGAGAAACAGAGCTGAGAAACATTTAAATTTACTGCCTTCACTCATATCATTAAGTTAATAATATTAAACACCACCTGAAAACAACATACTATATTATTTATGTACATTTCAAATGCAAAAATTGGTATCGGGACCAAAGAAGCCGTTGTCCTGTTTAGGACTGCTTAGGAGAATACGTATTCCAAAATTGGCTATTCTAATAAAGATTAGAAACTTTCCAAACTCTTTTCGTTCATACAGAGCGGAAGAAACATTGTTATGTTGACTCATCTCGCCATACTGATTAAGAAATACGTAAATACACCAATCCAGCATACCCTTTCGCTTTCAGGCTCAGAAAACTTGAAAACAAACCCATATATTTATTTAATTAAATTTGAATATTAAGAAAACCACCACAATACTGTCGAAACGAATTTTGAAAATTAAAGTTTTACGTATATTTAAGGCATACATACATGTATGTGTTGGTTGTAAGTATGTTTGTGTCACAATACAATATTTAATTAAACAGTAAGTGTAGCTCGTACATGTAAATAGTATGCTCGTACTTAGATACATGTACATATTTTATACGAGGTCTGTTCAAAAGAAAATATGAAGGTTTTGCTCACTGTTTTCTTCGCTTACAATGCGTGGTTCAACATGTGTTCTTGCCACCAGGTCGTAAGGAGTACTACAAGGAAGTTATGGAACGTTTGTGTGTATATACATATCTCTATATATACAAGTAGTTTGTTTAACAGAAAAGGTGAATTTTGAATACCTTTCAAAAGCATTTTTTTATTCATCAATATCCATCATGCCCCAACAAGGGCGTAGGCAGGGGGGCAAACAATTTTTCCATACAAATTCGACTACACGTTAAATTTTATGACGCACTATTTCGCCTTAGAATGGAACTGAGTTGGATTTGTTGAAGTTTTTTCATTGATCATATGCATAAATTATTTTTTAAATGCATCGTGCATTATTAAGTCAAAATTTTAATTTTTCGGCCCCCTTTTTGGTAAAAGCTGCCTACGCCCTTGTGCCCCTACAAAGCAATACCCCTCAGTTATAATGCAATTAGGGCTCCCTGCGACTTTTCCTATTCCCAAAACTGAAGAGATCAATGTAAGGAAAGCGTTTTGCCACAATTGATGAGATAAAATGAAAATCGAAGAGCGAGCTGATGGCCATACTGAAAAGCGCATTTCAGAAGTGCTTCGAGGATTGGAAGAACGGCTGGCATAAGTGCATTATATCTGAGGGGGATTACTACATATAAAGGAGACAAAATGGATAAAATGATGAATAAATAAATACTTTTCAAAATAATGCAAAATTGCGCTTTTCTTTTGAACAGACCATGTATGTATGTACATTATAAGAGGAATGTCTACATTTTTGTCACCTCTGTTTACATTATCCAATGTGGTTGATGGGGGAGCTGTGGTGAGGGGGAGACTGCACATACTTTTCAATGCTGGCCAACTATCAAGTAAACACGAAAAAGTCAAGAGCAACCGGTACAAGCAATCAATTAAAATAGGAGAGGGAAAAATACATGTTACAAACATACATGCGAGACATGCAATTGATGCGCTGCTACTTGATGCTCCTGCCTCAAACCCTTCACCTGGCACCAGAGCAACAAAGCAGCAGAGCGTCCAACTTGAAAGCGCAGCAAAACTGGTTTAAAAGTGCTTCAAGTCGGTGTTATTGTTGCCCTTGCTGTTATTGAAGTGCTTGTGGTATTGTTATTTTCAATGTCACGAGGGACGACAAGCTATGCAACTGATTCTGATCGCACTCGTGCTCATGCCAGCCAGGCGAACAGAGTTACAAAAAAGTCAGTCAACCCATTAGGCTGGAGGCGTCCCAGCAGACACATGTCGGGTCGGTCAGGTGACTGTGAGGACCAACACTGACTCATTCCGCTCCGGATTAATACAAGTAGTGTACTGGAATGACCACCTCTCTGACATCTTGTCATCGGGCACAGGAAGTTGTATTTTGCTTGTAGTGCTGGACTAAACTGGGCTGCGGTTGCATTGGGGAACAGCACGTACGATGGCGTCTTCAGGCCTTAGCTCGAATCGGGGTCAAGTTTGAGAGTAGTTTGACATGCGGGAGGCGGCAACAACAGAGTAAGCGCTTTGTTCGGTGACCGACCAAACAGACCCATCTACTGTACGCAGTCCGTCAACACATAAGAGCATAAGACCGGTGGAGGCCACTTTCGTCTCGTACAGAGTTTAATGCCACGTTAATTAGGAGCAGCGTTCCAGCTTAGCTTACGAGCTTTACGTGCATTTCGCTTTCAATCCGCAATTCGCTTCGCTGCAACCCGTGCGAATGTACGAGTGTACGAGCCGTTGCAACAAGTAGCGGGAGCTGTGGCCAAACACAGAACCATGACTTGGCAGCATGGTTAGTTAGGCTAGAACTTGACGACGACCTTGCGGCCAACAAAGCGGTTGCAAATGTTTGCATATGGTGTATGCATGCTAATCATTGAGCAAACGAGCCAACGAGCAAATGTCGCAGATCTTTGCTAAACGCAAGCAGAGCCATCGTCTTCTTGGCTGTCTTGACCGTTGACTAGATGATGCGAAGAACGTAATGTGTGGGTATGTAGGAGTGTCTACTCGTATATGCCTCGTATGTGCACAGCTGGGTGCGGCTGAGGTGGCTAAGCAATCTTATCGGCAAATCTACATGCTAAGTAAAACTAACGACTGACAAATATTTGGATATTTTGCTTGTTGTATCTAAATATCGCTGCCGACGTCGCCATCAGAACTCTGGGAGTTCCACTTCGCTGAATTGACGACCACAAGTACACTTAACACAGTAAGCCAACTGTCCAGGCGCAGGTATCCAACTGGCTTGCTCTAAAGTTTAAACACTTGGATGTGTAAAAATACCAGTACATACGATATAGTACTTCTGTATTACCAAAGCTCAACGGAAAAAAAGATCCGTCGAGAGGTCTGAGCTTAAGTCATATCAATAACCTTAGGATTGCAGATAAATACATACATACATATCGATATTGGTCCTGGAGCCTCCGAAAATGGTAGCGAACGCACGAACGCGCGATCTGTGAAAACTCGTGAAGCTTTTGGGTCTGTTTTTTCCAGCATCGTTTTTGAAAATGAAAGGCAGATTGATGATGAAAATGCCATCAATGTATTTGCAATTATAATTGGGTGGTGTTATTGGATAAAACGAAGGTGCCTTTCCAATGAAAATGATCTAATTTGAGTTTTTGCTTTCATTGCAATTGGACATCTCGAGATGGAAGTTTAAGCCATCTAATAGGCTTGAACACCCTGAAGGTCATTTCGGCGGTATGTCAAAGAGGACTCATTCGAATAAGAAATGGAAATATTTTGAATAAAATAAAATAATAGAAGTTAACCTTTCAAAAAGGCGAACTCATATGAATGGCTTACTCTGACCAGAATACAATACTACTATCATATCATATTTATTTATATTATTTATTTATATATATTTTAATTACTTAATAAGTGTATCTGCGTAGTTTAACAAAATAGATGTTCTTATAAAGTATATGTTCCGAAAAGAGGAGCCTTAAATCGAGGAAAGGGATAAAGCTCTTTTTTTAACTTGGCAGCACTGCCCCTGTTAGCTGTTTCGAATTTTGCAGTATTTTATTTATTGCTTGTGTTTTCTGAACATCTAAAAGTGATTTGTTCGATTTTTACAATGTCCGAAATTATTCAACAAAGAATAGTATATGTATATATATAAAAAGTCGTTAAGCCTGCCAAATATATAAGAAAATTTATTTGGTTTGCCTTTTATTTTCGGTTCTACTAGTATGTCAGGCTTTTACGAAGCAATTGGTTTCAAAGGCGATGTGCAGTGTGTGTTTGAAACTAGTGTGTACTTTAATTTTTACATTTATTTTTAAAACTATTAGTTAAGCATCGTTATTTGATCATGAAATTGAATTTGTACGTGCTCTAACCGATTCCGTGCATTTGCACTCAGGACACGAGCTTCCGAATCGTGCAGGCGGACACGACCCGACTTAACTCTGTTTGTATTGGCATGTCTATTTCGGCATTCACCTTTCACTCATTGACATTTAGCGGGCACTCGGCACTCGGGTGGGTTGGATGGCCTTCACCAGGCTCCATCCCCACGCACGTAATGACCTTCAAAAGCAGTAGCAACAACAACGACCACAACAACTACAGCAGCAAGGACGACCCAAAGACACGTGAAGCAGCCAGTCAGGGTCATTAAGACACGAGCCGTCCCACTTACACTTAATTCTCCGTCAGTTGTGATGGCAACTGTGACAGTTTTGGTGAAAACAAAACATTTAAAAAAAAACAAAACAACATTTTTCACGTGTTTCCTGCGGCACTCTTTCTTTACCTTGGCTGCCACAGCTCCTTACTTGACTCAAATTAATTGGAGTTTTTGGAAAAGGCCCGCTTAGTTCGAAACTAATAATTGTAACTAGCAGGAACGGTGGCAATGTTTAAAAGAGGACGACCTGCTCTGTCGCACACGCGATTCCGTTCTTTAGCCGAAGCTCACTACAAAACATTTCCGCAACGCGTTTGCGGCGCGACTGAACTTGATTCTGGCGCGTCGAGCGCTGTTAAACTTGGACTTGGCCAAATTAAAAAATCCAAAAACAAAAACAGAAACAAAATGACAGCTAGCAGAAGAAGAAGCAGCAGCCGCCACCACAACGGCTAGAAGTGGTGATGGCACAGCAGCGACGGAGGCTGCAGCATGCCTACAAATCGAAGATGAAGTCCAACGCAGCCAAAGAAGTGCAAAAGCCGTTTAAGTCGAAAGCTCGCTCTCAGTCTGTAAAGAAGCTCACGAAACAATATTTTTGATTTAGCGGACCAAAAAGCTTTTTTCGCGGTCTTAACTTTAAGCGCTTTTGTTTCTGTTGCAAATTTTATGAATGAAAAGCTGTCTGTGACGTCAATGCAAAGGCGCTGTCTCTGCCCATGGTGTACTGTTAAAGGGTGCCAAAAAAAGGGAAGTTTTTGCTCCTTCTTCGCTTTGCTTATACATACGTCACATACTTAAGCTCTTAGCCCGCAATTTAGATACAAATCAGTCAATTGGCCTTAATTATGATCATATTAATTTAAAAATGTGTGCAAGACGTTGATTCCAGCTCAATTTATAACATTTGAAAGAGACGTGGCCATACCCTCATAAAGTGTGTACATACATATGTACATTTTTGATCAGTATAGCGATCGATTTGATATAACCATGTTAATTTTTCTTAAAAATTATACGTATATCTTATATATATTCTGTATATTCTCCTATACAAAGCAAACTTGAGATTATTTCGTTTCATCGTGATAATATACATATGTATGTATGTCTGTGGTTATATCCCTGCCAACAGCTGTACAAAATGAAAAATATACATAAACGTGTTATAGGTATGTATGTATTTTGTTTTATTTTTTAGTTTCATTAACAAATTGAATAAAGCAATATATTTAATTTTGTCCCCAACAATTTGTTAAATACACATACATATGTACATAATATAGCTGGCACCGAAGTGTTCGATACAAATTGCCTTTTACACGGATAACTTTAGTTTTTGTATGCATATACATATGTACATATACACATATGTATGTAAGTAGTATGTGTGCAACACATTTGAAGATTAACTATTCTACTTCTAGGTGCATACGAAGTTTGGCTTATGCTTTTGGTAATCCTCAAAAAAGTATACTTATAAAATAAATTTGGGTTGCCTGGATATTAGAAGTCTACATAACAATTTTGGTGAATGTGAGCTCAACCGTTTTTAAAATCCCGGCGTTCATCCAGACAGATGGAGAGACGGACATGACTATATTGATCCGTCTCCTCATTCTGTTTAGGAACATATGAGCGTATACTTCAAGGGGTCAAAAGTGCTTCCTTTTCGCTGTTCTCTTCCGGTACAGGGTATACAAATATATACCCTTATTGTTGCACATACACACGTATGTATATAACTTATAAGATATGTACATATATTTCTCAATTCGCAAGATTTTTGCGTTCGGCGAAAGCGGGAACGGAACAACTATAAATAATTGCGGTCGATTACGGCGTGACTTAACCTGCATATTTTCAGTGCACCAATTCTAGCATCTCCAACCCCATCAGTTATATATGAACATACATATATTTTTGATCACCATGTCCGTCCGTCTGAGTGAATTAACACCTCGATTTCGAAAACGGCTAGGCCCGTATTAAGCAAGGTATGGTATGTAAAAATTAGTTGTTTGGTTGGAAAATGTCTAGCCCGGAGCACATACTAGGAGTATATAAAATAAAACTAGCGGGTAAATATTAGCATTGTGCATTCGTTCTTCTAGTATTATCCCATTTTATGAATAATTTCATTTTATTATTATAGCAAGTTACAAATAAAATTGAATATTGCAATAGCAAATAATGTGACGTATAAGCTAAAAAAAAATATGTAATCGCTAAGGTAGAAAAGTAAATTAGAATAATATTGCAATTGCAAATATTTTGACCATTAAAGCTATATAAGGTATTAAGTAATTATTAACAATTGATAGGCAAAGGTAATTGTATACTTTACTTAAACCGCTTCAGTTCTTGGCTTAACATTATTTATATTTCATTTGTAGGCGAACTATTCTACTATAGGGACTTGCCACACCATTTATGTAAATAGTATACATATTTACATACATATCCATAAATTAGCGTGAATGCTGGGGGCTTTGCAATAATCTATAATGGAAAATAGTAAGTACATACTCAACCAACTAATAAAAAAAAAAAACAAAAAAAAAACCATTTGCCAAATTAGTTCGCATTCTTGAAGAGTTACAGCAGCACCCTGACAAGTTTGGAATCAATCCAGCAAATGATTTACCTAGCAAGTATGCACAGAAATGGGTAGAATACAATACAATTAACTAATCAGATTATTCTTTTGACTAACTGAACTGTGCTGTGGTTAAATAATTCGGTTTCTACAGCGAAATTTGCTAATAGTTAAAATTACCTACTTACAAAAAATATATTCTTAAAATGTATTTAATTTTTAGAGGACATGAGTGTATAATCGTTAATTAATGACTTTTGAATAATAGTAATTGTAAGCAAACTATATAGATATCTAACTTAATGGGTCAAAACTACTGAAATCGCTGTTGCTTTACATATGATTCATACATACATTTATCTCAATAAGTGGATAAAAGGGATGTGCTGGGACTAGCCCACGGCTTGGACTGATTAGCCTGGAGCTATTTGGTTTCGTTTTTACGCAGAGAGCGAACACAAGTTATAACTGCGTAACTTTAACTATAATTTTTCCTTCAGAGATAACCCACACGATTTACAATAATTTTATCAAAAATCTAGTAATTCTGTATGTATATATATAGATATAAATATATATGTATATATATATGAGTGTGTGTAATAAGCCCCACATAACGCTAAAAAGTGGTTTCTCTTTGTTGTTGTTTGCTTAGTTAATCGGTTGACTCTTACGCCACGCCTCTTAATATTCAGTCTAGTGCGCCGCCATCGCGTCTATCTGATGTTGGCGAACAAGTTCAGCACGGACTTGTTCTCCTTCTGGCTGCGCGCCTTGCTGAAAACGTTCCAGAAACGCAGTGTCTCATCGCCAGCGCCAGTGACAATCGCCTCGCCATCTGGACTAAGAGCGAGGTAGAGCACGCGATAGGAGTGTCCTGTAAGCTTGGCTACCTGCGTCAACGATGGATACTTCCAAACGAGAATCTGGTTCTGCGAGTACCCATGTGTGGAGACCAGCTCCGACGAGTGCTTGGACCAGGCAAGGTTACACACCTGCGATCCCGTGTCAACACTCTGCATGGGCTGCCCGGTAAGCGTGTTCCAGAAGCGAATACATCGATCTGCAGTGCCGCCGCCGCTGGCTAGCAGGCCATGGTGATGCGGAGACCAGGCGATCGCTTTCACAGCGGCCATGTGCTCCGTGTACGATTGCACCGGATTAACCGAGTGCTGGTTCCACACGTACAGGCGGTTATCGTTGCCGCCGCTTGCCAGGTACTGATTGTCCGGCGACCACTTGAGTCCACACACCTCCTGTCGGTGCCCGGCAAGTCGTCGCTCCGACTGCAGCTGAGGTGTGCGAGTGTCACGCTGAATAATCCAACGATCCCGCGACCCGCTCGACAAAATATCGCTGTTCCAAGCAAGTGCACCCACCCGCGCCGAGTGTCCATTTAATTTGTTGATCTACAGAATAAATTCACATTGTTACTATGGCCGAGTGCTCCTGAGAGAATAGAGGGATTGGCTTATACGGTTACTTACTTGTTTGTTGGCTGCCACGTCCCATACGGTCACGTAGCCGTGATGTGTGCCCACTGCGACTGTGTTGCCCCGCTCGTTCCACGATACCGACGTCACGGTGTTGGCATCCGTACTGAGATCGCACAGTCGTGTCACCTGCAAAATAATCGTGAATATTTGGAGTTTTTTATATTAAAGCTGTAGATGCATATTTTCGATGGGTGATTTGCACTCACCTGACTAGTACACGCGCTCCACAAGTAGACACAGCTGCCGAGACCCACGGCCAGCACATTCTGTGACGACCAGTCGACCAAGTTCAGATAAAAGTCGTCCTGCAGCTCGGGCGCATCAAGCACTTTAAAAGGTATGCGTGAGATCTTGCGTGTGGCCTTACGCGGCGAACGTAGGAGCTTCTGGCTCTTGGCACTGACAGGGGAAAGTGAGTAAGGGCACTCCCCATTGTAGTCCTGTAATGAAAAAAACAAAGAGAAAGCTATTACCAATGCAAGCTTAACATTCGTAAAGAAAGAAATTTCCCCAAAATAGACATAAAAAGAGCCTATAATAGGCGTTTTCTCTACAACAGTCGTTCAACTAACATTAATAATTAATTAGTCATTCCTATAATAATCCAATTCTAGTGAAGAGATTATGTTGCAGCACTACATGTAGAAAATGATGAATGGATTGAGCGATTTTTCCACCGATCACCCTTATGTATGTTATAAACAAGTATGTATGTATGACTATTGTAGTGCAGCAATGTTAGGAAACGGAACAAGTTTAGGTTATCTTATCTAACAGCGTTTCAGGATATGAGAGAGCTCAAAATCATTTTTTTAAATATGCCGAAAAGTATAATTATAGTTGAACTTAGAAGGAAACTTTTGGAATGCAACGTGGAAAAACAATTTTATAAAACCCGGACGTCACAATCTGAATATTTATTTGATTTTGTGAAGATAACTTTAATGCCATTTGAAACTCGGGATGCATACCCCCTTGTTGCAAAGAGACTAGCCATTTGGACTTCGCGTCCATGAACCGTAGTCCACGTTGTATCGAAAGCCACAGCACATGGTGTTACAACACTACACTAATATTTGAGACGGAACAATCGGAATTTGTACTCTGATTTAGATAAGCGAAAATTAAATCGGCTTTTAAAACCAAATTTGAGTCAATATTTAGTAGCTTAAGAGGAAAATTAAGCTATTTTTTATAGGCTTATTGTTTTTGAAAAGTCATGAAATTGTTCTTTTGTTTCATCTTATTTTCAATTGATTTCATATTTGATCAATCCAGGTGTTAATAATAATTACATTATTGAATTTTATAACCCCCTTGGCAGAGTATTTAAACTGCGAATAGTTGTTAGCATGAAATACTTCTATATTTTTATATATTTATATGTCGATACTAATAGTAAGAAGAGGGATGATTTGATTATTTGTTTATTTGAATTGAAAAGGCTCTTAAACTGCTGGACCGATTTAAAGGATTCTTTCACTGTTCGGAAGCTACACTATCTCCGGTTAACATAGGCTATATTATATTTGCAAAAAAGATAGGGAAAACGCCAATAATGTAGCCCAAGGTGTAAAAAAATAGCTAAACATTCGTTAACAGGTTTTGAATCATCCTAGAAACATTGCGTCACTTTAAATATTACTTTATTCAGTGTGATTTACGATATAATACTACACATACAAGTATGTACTGATTTAGGATCATATTTTGCATATGTTCACCAATAAATATCATAAATTTGTTGAGGTGCTGTCGTATTTTCGCCATCAAGTCTCATACATACCTCGTTAAGAGGTGTTTTATATTGATTTCTACTATATAGTGGCTGGCTCCGTTCCAGTTGCGCTATAAGCGCCCAAGCGCCAGATTTCCAAATTGGCAAAACAAATCGTAGCTTTGGCATTTGTTATTTCTTGCTGCTTACTGTTTGTAGTAGTCGAGCTTTGTACGAGCTTGTACTTGGGGCAATTAGCGCCGTGTTGCTAAAAAGAGCGACCGCGGCCGTCGGGGCTGATGCGGTCCGCCGGTCCGCCGGTCCGCGTAACTTCCGCACACCAAACTTTTTCAAATTTATCACAAATTTGGCACGCACTTTTTTGTTAAGTGAGTCCATCGTGTGTGTTTGCATAGGAAATGCAAATGCGAGCAGAAGTGTGTTAAGCGTATGCGTAGGCCTGCCTCTCCACTCCCCTATCTTCTTATAGGCCCTTACACTACGCAACGCATCTGTGGATTTCGAAATTTACGCAAATTGCCAATGCATTCGTGCCACGCACAGAGGCGTGCAAAAAGTAGAGTACTCGTTGGTCAATCGTTTGTCACGCAGTGACAGTGTATGTATGTATGTATATATTTTGTATATGTTTTAATGTAACAGTATCAGTCACAGTCCAAGTGGAGCCGAGTGGTCAAAAGGTAAACAGAAGCTCATACAGGAAATTACAACTCAAGTCAACCCATTTGTCGGTTTGCTCGAGATAAGCGACCGGGAATATATCGGACATACACGTATGACAAGAGGGGTTCCACGAAAGTTCTGCTTAACGGATGGGTGTGGCAAAGAGTGAGCGGGAGTTCACTTAGTGCCGCCTCTAATTCGTTTAACAAATTAAAGCTTAATTCAATTAACAGACTGGCAGACAAACTGAACTCTGAAGCAGCGGCTTAATTACAACGACTCTCCTCCTACTGGAATGCCCGAGCGTTTCCTAATGTTATGGCATGCCGTCACCACCGACACGCACTCTATAATTGAATTCCGAAACCGCAATGTTAAGCCCCCGAGCTAAGACTCGCGCATATGTGTTTGTCTCTAATAGTCCACGGTCCACTTTGGCAGTGGCCGGCCGCGGTCAAGCACATTACAAGCAATGGCTCTGCTGACGACTACGTGCTTTGTTTTGATTCTGCTTTTCTGGGAATAATGGTGGCAGTTGGATTAGTTGGACTTGCCATAAAGCGTACAAACAACTGCCATTAAATTTAAATACTTTCCGATGCCCAAGTGCCGGCGGGCAGCCTAGGCTCGGCTCGGGTCGGGCTCGGGCTTCAGTCCATTCTTGACTGGGTAGACCCATTAGAAACCCAATGGTGCGAACGTTCGGATGAAAAATGGAAAGAGGAAATCCAATGCGTTGCACGATTGTTGCCGGCGGCTGTTTTTGCGATTAAATCTCCAGAGGTTGACTTCAGTTGACTTTTTTGGCTTGCTGCTTGTCAGTTTTTTGTTTTTTTTTTTTTTGGGGTATTTGAGTCTGTCATCGTTTTCTCTTCCCCTTCTTGCTTTTGTAGCGTCCGACCGACTACCTTTCTAATTGTGCTCAAACACATGTGTACTAGTCTTTGAATTGTGGCCTAGACTCGACAACTTTAGACGATGTGGACTCTTCGGCTTCCCATCCTCGTGAAGAACGAAATGGCTTCAATGCAACCAATCACTGACTTAACCCGATCGCAAAAAAGCAAAACAGACATTTTCGAACCGGATAAATTTCTTGCGATACCCTTCACTAAAAACAGTATATTTGTTTTGATGTGTAACTTTTCTTGATGTTATCAAGATTAAAGAATAATATCGTCTCCGGCGGTCTGATTTATTTATTTAGTCCTACAAAGTTTTAAAGCTGTCGAGCGGAAACTCTCTTTCTCAGATAATGTCTGCCCCTATATTATATAGTGAGAGTACTTGTATATAAAATCTTGTTTTTGTGCCTGAAGGCCTTACACCACTCATTAGCGAATGATTAACATGAATTATTAAATACAAATAAAGACAAATAATGTTTTCTAAAAGCAAAATAGATAGTGCGGGCATAATAGGGTATACATATAGCTAGCAGCTAATAGCCGTAGAGAAGGAGGCGCAGTGAAGAACAAAGATAATTTTCTTGTATTTTTTTTTTTTTTTTTTTGTATTGTGAGCTTCGTTTAGTGGGCGGCGCTTCGGCTGATGGTGACTACTCATGAATAAAAGCAAAACAGTCAGAAGAACGTGTTGTGATCGGTACACAAATGTTTTAAGAGAGGGGCAGAGAAAGTACCAAAAAGTGGAGGTTGATCTCCACTGACACAATAAAAAAAAGCCGGCGCTGGGGCCATCATCCAATACATAAACTTGTATATGGTAATGTGGCTTTGTCAGCTGCATAAATTAATAATGATAATAACAATAAAACAAACCAATAAAAAGCTAAAGCCAAGCTAACAGGTGAGCCACCAGCAGGTGGACAAATGAATGCACATTGGTCCAATAATTTTTTAAAATGGCATCATTTAGCAAACGAATTAATAAAAACTAATCTTTTTTTATAAAAGGGATTATCAGGTGGCACAAACAGAAAGATATCCTATAGATATAAGGATGTTTTAGATTTCTCCGTAATCTTCAACTTGCAAACTTTGAATTTTGAAAATGATGCGATTATTTTCCTAACTAATAAAATTATTGGAATACAAATTTAGAAATATCTACTTTAAAAAGTTTGTCTAAAAGCAATTTAAAAACACAATGTTGTACGCAAACCATGCATTCAAATTAATATTTTACCGGATGCATTCATTTAACGATTGCTTTCTTTTCTTACGAGCAGTCAGAACAAAAGAAACAAAAGTGTTAATCATTTCTCTTATGTATGTGCAGCATTATGACCCAGTAATATGAAATCCACATAAATATCCGCTTAATTTGCGATAAACAGGTATTAGGAGCACTATTTTGAATCCTCCTGACAGTAACACAGCTACGTGTGGAGAGAGTATTTACTCAAAGCCATTTGACACATTATTCTTATATACTGCCATCAATCATGTACTCAATCATGTATATGTATATTTAGTTATGCTGAATTTTCTCTCGGATGTCGGCGAACCCGATCCAATAAAACAAAAAACAAACATCTCATCACAAAACAAAGTAAATATAATTATACGTCCACCGTCACTTTCAACAAAGTTATATTGTGATGTGCATTTCACAGCTTTGTATAAAAAAGGAACATAGATCAATTCTATATCGATTCTATTTAAAGAGGACGAACCTACGCGTCAGATGTGGAGAGAAATAAATTAATCGAGATTGGATGTTGGTTTTTAACACCTTTGGGAGCAACTGTTACATCCATAGAATAGTAAGAGTCGACAAGATTAAATGATGCTTGTTAGTTCTCTAAATTTATTGGTCTTACACTTTATTGAATAGATCGAGCAAGAATTAGACTAAATGCTTAGCGGTAGCGTTGACTTCGCTATAAGTGCTTAAGTGAAAAAACCCCTAATTCTGTTTTTACACGATTAACACTGTTTGAAAATTAAAAATTGCATATATACAGTGAAAACTCTCTGGTCCGCTTAAATACTTTATATACCTTTTTAGAGATAAGGAACCAATCACCTATTTTTGCAGAATTAGGTGTATATGTACATATATACTCGTATATAGTGTCTATATGCATGTATGCTCTGCTGTCCACTGTGCCGCATGACGAAAATGTCAAAACCATTGCGATCGAAAATAATCGAATTATTACTATTTATTATGTATTTAAATTTGTTTCCCTAAGGGAGACGGGTGAGGCGGTCTGCGGCTCGTTCGTTAATTGTGTGGGCGTGATGTAGATGAAGCGGCCACTGATTTCGCAAAACGCCAACAGTTTGGCGGGGCTCGAACTGAAGCACTGGCCGTGTCTGGACATTAATCAAAACAAATAAATAGGTGCGCTTGGCCACCTCTGGCAACAGTAAGTGGTCACAAATATGTGCCTGCAAACACATTAGTGTCGAACGCTCGCTCTTTCGCATATCTGGGGCTTGGGATCGGTTCAGTTCTTTGCTCAACACAACTATGGTCTGCTCTACTCGTTTGTGACAGGCCCGAGGCTCTTTTTCCGCATTTTATTTATTGCTGGCTTATTGACTCAAGTGTCGTTTTAGACCACTGAAGTAGTTGGCAATTGCTGGCTCTTGGTGGCTAGCAGTCGACGACGTGCGACTGGCAGACCGAACCTCAATTTTGTTTTCTTTCCCTTTATTTTTTCTTTTGGCAAATGTACACTAGTCCCCACATCTTCTTGAACGAACACAGTTATCTTCTTATACTTATAGTAAGTGCTGAAAATTGTACTTTGTTTTCCGAAACGTTTATCCACCACAGGGTTCTCAGTTAATTCTTAGTAAATTGTGAGGAGCTTTTAAAAAGGAATCCCTCGTTTGAAACTTATCGCATTCCTACGAAATTTGAGCTGACTATTGTTTATTTAATATTCAGTATTTATATTGCTTAAATTTTGTTATACACTGTACTTGAAAATGATGAAGCAAGCTTCTCTGACCATCTCTGAGACATACATATATTCTTAGCATGGCGAGACTATCATGCGTCAGTCTTGATGAACGCCTAGATTTATGAAACGGCTAAGTCCAACTCGACCAAGTTTTGTATTTTTATTTGATTTTATTGATTTTTCTCCCCTTGCAGCAGAATTTTTAAAATTACATTTTGCATGCGTTTTTTTTTTTTTTTTTTGTAATTATATATATTTTTTCTTTCCAAAGAAAAGCGCAGCGGCGGGTTTATTTTTCTTATTATTCTAGCAAATTATTGTTGGGTATTTTTTTGAGTATTTCATTGTTGGGCTTGTTCGATATAATTCTATCTTGTTTAATTTAAAGATGGTGCTACTTCTTGCAGCCGTTTCAAATACCTTCAAAGGAAGTATTAGATACCGACACTAGTCTTTAATAGATTCATGATTTTATAAACCCAGTTTTCTAAAAAATATCACAACCAAACATGATATGTAGGTTCTCCCAAGTCCGGGTAAGAACAACTTAAATGTCTTTTGTTTACAAAAATAGTTGGTCAAAATACATATTTGGGCTAGTGTACCTGTTTGCTGATCACTTGGTATTGCCTTTTGTGCTGTCTTTAGTTGCCGCTGTTGTTGTTTTTGTTTCATTATTGCTTTGGCAACGTGTCAACTGTCAAAAATTAGTCAAAGCAAACGCTCAGGGAACGTGTCGACGCCTTTTTGTTTTTGATAGTGTTGTTGTTGCTGTTGTAGTCATCGTCGTCCGCGCAATTCAAGAAACATAAATCTGATAAGCGTACAAATAAGTCATAATTCAGACCGTCGCCGAACAATGAGCCAGTCTTTCATGAGATATAGTATGTATACTCGTACAGTATATGTATGTATTTGTGTACGAGAACGTATTGGCGGGTCGACTTTTATTTTGGCTGGTTCGAGTATCTTCAAACATAGTTGACAATTGGAGACCACAAACTGGCTGACAAGCTGAGTGGCCCACGACACCTGCCCAGACAACAAGTGGCAACTGTTTCGTCTGCAATCAAGTTTTCTTTTTCTATCTACTTATCTCTGTATCTCTCCTCTATTGTGTATCTATCGAAGTGGAAATAGACAAAGAACCGGCTATGCCAACACTAGCTACAATAACAAAGCACAGCCACAAACAAAGTGTGTTCACCCCAGCAGCAGTGGCAACTGTCCGGATATGTATATGTCCAGGTTTCCCCCTCCTCCCTAGCAGTTGTATTTCATAACCGGTTCAAGGCCCACACAAATTATAATCATCAATAGACGATAGCAACGGCAGATCTTTACCGAGTGGCACTCATTCACTGTCTCTCTCTTTTTTCTCGGTCTCTGCCCAGCTTCCCAATGAATGCAATCGCATTGTCTGCTTCTTTTCCCCGATCGGACCCCCCTGTATGTTGTCTAGCTATCGCTTTGTGTGACTGTGGCAGTCTGCCTGTCTTCCCGTCTGCCCGGTCTGCCCGTCCAACAGTGCATTCAACTCGGCGTGCATTTCAAAGAGAGCGCTTTTAAGTTACCCGGACGGAGGTCAGACCCCAGACTACTACTGCTGCTGCCTTTTGCACTGCTTCTTCAATTAGCGCCCAGTGTGCAAATTCAATTAGACATCAAGAGCCAGGGGTACGCAGCAGCTGCACGACTACACTACTGCTGGACTAGGACAAGGAAAGCTCATCAAAATGCCATAAATTGAGCGATCAGTCCAGACATCTGACCAGACTATAATCTGACCAGAGGATACCCCTCCCCTCCCCTCCCCACCCCCCACCACAACACAACAAAAACAACAACTCAATTGAAATCAAGTCGACTACTCACCTGCTTAGTGGGTGATTGATATTTGAACAGGCTGCGCTTGGCCGCCGGTGTGTAAGCATTCTCATTGCGCTCCTCCCCTGCCGTCTTTACATCATCTATAGCCGAGCCGAGGAGCTCGTTTTTCAACAGACACGAATAGGCCAGGCTATCGCGTGCCGTCTCACCGCAGTCGCGCTGCTTCTTGCTCGTCTGTGCGGAGTTATCATTTGACTTATTAATGGACGCGAAGTTCGTCTGCCAATTGTTGTGTGCTCTGTAAAGAAATTCAAAGTGGGCATGAGGAACGGGCGGGTGAGATTCGCGAGGGTCACTCTAATGCACTTATTGCGATCGTACATTATATACGATCGTGAGCACCTTGATCAACGCAGCACGATTTCTGCAAGGCAGACAACCAACTACGTACATGCATACTGTATTTGAGTCTGTAAATTTATATCCCACAGACATGCATGAAAAATTTGGCAAATACATATAAATTATTTATACAATCTACAGCAACAACAACAACTGCAAAATAAATTTATGCAAACGCGTTCAAATTCAATTGTGCGATTGTGTGATATGTTGGAGGGAACGAATCGCCCTCCTTCCCCAACCTGACTCATATGCGACAATAATCACTCGAGGACTCCTAACTTATGCGAATGCAAATACGCTAGCAATGTTTTTTTTTTAAAGCTGCTGCTCGTAAAACATAACAGAAAAGACACAAAAAAACGTGTGCAACGTGCAAAATATTGAATGTCAAATTTCAAATTTGCAAACAAAAACCGCCATGAGGCTGGCCAAGTGTGAGAGAATTTGGGCAAACAGTGCACCGCACTGTCAACATAGCGGTGCAAGGCACGGCAAGGCAAGGGGCTCGGTCACACAACAGCTATTTATGCATGCAATGAGTAGCGCAATCAAACGCACTGAAAGCACTTCCACATACTATAAATAATAATAAACAATCGTTGCTATTATCGTTTGTTGTTGTCCCCGTATCGAGCTGTCCCTGGGTGCACTGCGAAGTGGGGTGAGTTACAGAAAAAATAAAATAAAAAATAAAAATAAAAAACGAGCAGTCGACAGACCCAATAGAATCGTTTCGAAGAGGAGACCAGAGAAAAGTGGTCATTCATTCATTAGCGAATCGCAAACACAATTTTCACACAATTTTCAGAACCACCAAGGGTGTATGTCCAGATATCTGTCATACCTCATGCCTAACTCAGCAATGTGCTATTGTTTTCCCAACTTGTAGTGTATTTTATACTTGAAAAACTTAAAATTTAACTCAAAACTTCATTTAAATTTCATATAAAATACTTATATTTAAATGAATGGTGAAATCGCTATTCAAAGTGGACGGCAAATGAGGCGAACCGTTAAAGATTGGCTAACAGGCGCATAAAGTAGGCAACGAAGCGCAACCAAAGCCAAAGCCATTGCAGTGCATTTTCCCAGCTCAAGCAAAGCAGTAAATTGCTGTTGTTGATTCAAAGCGGAAAAGATGACGTAGCAGAAATAACGGAAGCTTGCCAAGACAGCATGTTGTTGTTGTTGTTGTTGTTGCTGTTGCTGCTGTTACTGCTAGTGTTAGTGTTGCTGCCTGTGGGCTGACGGGTTCAATGCACGAGAATGGCCCGCGGACATGTTGGCAACACTTACCTGCATGGTATGAAGCGATCCAGCGACGTTGGCGTTGTGGACTGCTCTAAGTTATCAAATAGACTTCTGGCAACGGGACTGCAGTGCTTCAAAATGCGTTTCTCATACTCCGGACTGAACATGGTCTTGGTGCGCTGATCAATGGTATATGTTGATTTCAATGTCTGATGTTGTTCCTGGCGTGTCTGGCTATGGCAATAGACGGCGTTTACGTTGTCCAATACTTTCAGCAATCAATAAACAACTTTTTGTAACACACATACACCAAAGAAACCAAACGCGGACAAATAAGCAATGCTTAAAGCCCAAAGCCCAACGTCGAATGCCAAAAGAAAGAAAAATCCAAGAAGCCAAAAATAGGTACGAGCGCCTACTGCTGTTACTGTTGGTGTTATTGCAAATGCTTTTGTTGTTGTCGTAGCTTTTATTACTGCTGTATGTGTGATCGTTGTTTTTGTGCTTCTTGGTTATTACAAAATATATATATATAGGTACACATTTGTATGAGTAAGTGCGCTGAAAAGATAAAGAGGTAGAGAAACACGTTAATTTAAATCGATTTAAATGTTTTACTATTTTTTTGTGCTTGTGTGTCTGGACTTTTTTTTCCAAACTTTTAATTTAAATAAAATTGCAATTTATTTTGGTCGACAGTTCAGCAGTGGGCTCATTAATCACGCACCTCAAACCAAACCATTCTTTAGGTTCCCTGCTGGTGTTTGCAACACGTTGGGCATGGATAATCAGGCCCAGTCTCAGGTCTTAGATCAGACTCACTCCGTCGGCCATTGGTGGGCGTATCAATCACAGATACAGTTGGTTGGCCTGTCATGTTGTTCGGATGTTTTTAGGCAACCATGCGGCGCGCATACTGAAGATATTCTAACAATAAAGAACCTACCCCATCGCACTTTAAAAGTCTGTGCGACTCACGAGGGTGAACGGGGAAAACGTTGTAAAAGGCCTGGTCTTAAGCCGCACTTGCGTGTCGTGCCGCAAAATAATTAGTTTATGGGCGTTAAGTGTTGCTTGTTGGGGGTTTGGTTGTAAACTGCACTCGAAGCTAATTCCGCGCCAAGGCTCCTACTTATTTCAACTACTTACTCAGAGTAGCATAACAGCAGTGCAAGCACTTCCGCGTTACGGTTCTCGTAGTTACTGGCTGCTGGTTAATTAGTATGTAAAACTATTACAATTTCGTAAAAAAATTTCTATTTAAAACGTGCTCAGAACATAGAAAATATATATATTTGTATGGCCAGGTGTACGTGTGTCGGAATACTATTGACAGAAGTTGAACAGTCTGGTTTATGTTTATATGTAAAACGTATGTGATGTACTTGTACAAGTATGTAAGACCTAATGACTTCATTCAATTGAACGATGAGTGAAATATCTTGAAATAAATAATCGTTTAATTTATATTTATTATTCAGTTCAGCAGTTCATTATATACATACATACTTATGTTCCACGAATGCTATAGCTTAAAAGTATATATATATTTTCGAATTTCGTTTAGATCCATGACAGCAGGGCTTTCACGTTATAACTAAAGGCATTTTAACGGCACTAAAACCAATAAAATAATGATTATTATTAATTTTCATCTATCTTTTTAAATTTTCCTTTTATTTATATGACATTTCTTAAGGCTAATTAGGTCCGAATTCGACCGAAAGATATTACTTGGAGCAACTATTATCCTATATTTAAGCAGGCTAGATGTCTGGGTTAGCTATTCTTTTGATTGCCAAAAACGACACATCTTAACTCCAGTCATTGTTGGACCTAAGAACTTATCGAAAAATAATAAAAAAAAAAATATTTTAAAGTGTTTCTATTAAAAAAACAGTTTTTTCTTGCAGCCTTAATTCACCCAGAAATGATAATAATTTGTATGTACATCTTCCAGGCGATTTTTCATGAAAATAACAAGTTTTTGTTCTGACTTTACTTTACTAAAAATGTTGTGCTTTTTATGCAAGTTTCTTAAAACTCTGAAACTTCTCAATAACGTTTAAATCAGATTGACTGTGCCTGGAGTTCCATAAGGAGGAAACAATTTCACATAAATATTTACAAAATACTTACGTAGAAAAGAAATTTGCACTTTTTAAAATGTCATTTTTACTTTCTCATCTTAATTGGTTCAAAAGCCGGCGACCTAAGATACGTACATACATATTGTATGAATGCATCAAAGGAGCTGACGTTCACTGTATGTGCACAAATACATAAATATTATTTGCTTCTATCAATATCAATACGTATATTTTAAGGACCCTGTGTATAGAAATTAGTCATAATTCAAAAACTACACAATCATTTCACTAATGGTTGAGTCTGAGTCCACAAAATCGAACTAGCATATGAATGACCTCGACCACAAACCACGGCCAAACGCAATGGGCTCCTGCTGATAAAAATTTGCAAAGGGAACATTGCAGGACGCGACGACAGCGGAAACAGGTAACTGTGATTCAGCCGACAGGTACACTATGTGGCTGATAACACTTCGTACTTGCCAGGGCACGTGAGTCAAACTTGGGCGAATATGTGTGTGCACATATTTACCAATTTATGTATGTACGTTTGTGTGGCTATTATTTACATATGCATATATGTATGTATGTTTGTATGTACATACAAGTGCGTTTCAGCGGTTAAGTACACACATATCGATGTATTTATGTGGATAGGTAGGCGAGTTATGTACATATATACAAACATATATGCTACGAGTTTGCATTCCACTTGTGGGCCGCTTGAACGAACATGTCACATTCTGATAAGGAGGGACTGCTAATGTTTAAAAAATGTGTCATATAGACATATCGATGTACGTATGTATGTATGTATAATACATATAACGATTAGACTTGCATTTTATGTTTGCTTAATAGGGCGTTGTAGACTCAAGCTTAATAAGTTCTAACGAAACATAAGCTTTGGGATTTTCAGAGCGTGTGAAATTTATATCGGCATAGAAATAACGAAAACTTGGTTTGAGAACCATTATATATTTTTTTTTTCTTGGGTAAGAAATATTCTGGATATTCTTGAAAGCATTCTCAGAACCATAAATATACATACATAAGACATATGCGGGTATAATATAGAGATATGCGCGTGTTGCGAACCGGATTTAAAAGTACAACTAACTACTTATTAACGTACATACTTATTATACATACATACATATGTATACATAAATGTAGTATTAAGAAACACATGGGGTATTAAGAAACTATGCAAAATATGTACATTTTATTTGTACATATGTTCACATGTAGAAATGCATATACATACATATGTATATAAAATACACAAATACATACATATATTTGTTTTTTTTATAGACCGCGAGCAATATCCTAAAAAAGCAGCCCGATATCTATCTAACCAGACCACAGACAAAGCTGAAAATGTTGTACTTGAACTCTGACAACAATGTCCATAAATATCCAGAGCACAATCACACTGAACACATGCAACTACTGGAGTCATACTTTATAAATAGACCTTCTGTTTTACATACATTGTATGTATGTAATATCGAGCGTAGCCATTCGTAGGCCCTTATCAAAGGCTATTGTCATTACCACCAACATGTGATTATAAAATACTTCACAAGTACTACTATACATACATATATGTACGTACATACAAATTCAATTTTTGCCCCAAACACGGCAAAATGGAGTGCCCGTGAGAGTATCACATTCAACATCAACCCCAATAAACATGCGAGAAAATTGTGCACCACCCCCAGAAGCGCAGAGCAAACGAAAATAATGTCAAGGGCACAAAATATTCACTCTTACATACATACGTACATGCACGTTACCATACATATGTATGTATGCAAGTAAATGTTAGGTATCGCTTGCGTTTTAAAAATCTTTGTATCTTTTTTTGTATGTGCAAACACACATATAAGATAATCAATTAAATGAAAATCAGTTGTACTTAGTCTATAGAAACAGTGTCTGACGACTCCTAAGCAGTTCGTTGACTACCGAGGAGTTACTAAAAGTTTCCCGCCAACGTACTTGCAATGTTTTCGACTAACGCAATCGTTTACAGCTGAGGTGCATCACCAGCATGCATGGGGGCATTCGAATTTGTGATACGGCGGAGTCAATTGCCTGCATATACATATGTATGTATATACATGTGTGATCTGTTTACGATGGAGCGAATCACCACTGCAAGTTCTATAGCGTATGCACTCAAACACGCATACACTGGTCGGCACAATTATTTTGACGAGAAGAAAATCATACATTTTTGTCAATAACTGGTTATTGGTTTAAGATATCAAAGGAAACTTTTTTTCTCAATTCCATATTGGTATTACAAACTTAAAAATAATTCAAAGGATATATTTTTATAAGAACTTTTAAAATTATAAATCAAGGTAATTTTCATGGGTTGGCATAAGTATTTTGACAATGGATATAAACAAAAAAAACAAAGCTTAATACTAAACAAAACATAAGAAATTGATGGTAGATTAATAAAATGTATACCCGCCTTTGGCTTCGATAACTTTTTGAAGACGTCTTGTAACTGAGTCCACTAAATTTTGAAGGACCTCTAATGGTATCTCTTTCCAAAGAGAAGTGACTTCGGAAATAGTTTCTTCTTCGGTTTTATGCAAAGACGCATTTCTTTTACGTTTTACAAGAGACCACACATTCTCAATAACGTTTAAGTCCGGACTTTGTGGTGGCCAATCCAGAGTAGTAACACCAACATCGGTTAAAAATGCTCTTATCATTTTGCTTTTGTGGCATGGGGCGTTATCCTGTTGCAGGATAAATGATTCTCCAATCAGCCTGTCACCGGAAGGGAATGCGTTTTCGTTAAGGGTACTCAAATATTGTTGCTGGTTAATTGAGCCGATGATGGGAACGAAATCACCTAACCCATTGTACGCAATGCATCCCCAGAACATGACTGAGCCTCCGCCATGGCTCACTTTTTGACATACGGGGATATTTTTTTGTCTTTGAAACTGTGGGAGCCTTACAAAAATCTTTGTTTTTGATGAATTATATTCAAAGGAGCTTTCATCTGTCCATAGAACGCTTCTCCAAAACTCTTTTGGCTTATGCAGATGCTCCTTTGCAAAAGCCAATCTTTTGAGCTTGTTCACCTTTGATATGTAAGGTATGTCCTTCGCTTTGTATGTCTTAAAATCTTCTTCTTTTAGGCGTCGCCGAACAGTACGCTCACTGATTGGAGTCTTGGTCGACTTATTCCATTGATCTGCAGCAGCTTGCGGATTTAAATGAATATTTTTTTTAAATTCCCGCAATAGGACTCGATCTTCAATGGGTGTTGTTTTGCGGTTAGCACCTGAACTAGGCAAGTTTTTGACGTCATTGTGGGTCTTATATTTGTTAATTTGATAGTGGACTGTTTGCCGCGACAAATTATATTCATTTGCAATGTCTTTTGGTTTTACGCCGGCATTAAACTTCGCCACTATTGAGGCTCTAACAACATAATTTAATTCTGCTGTTTTTCCCATTGTATTTATAACTTTTCAATCAAATTTGAATGAATTTAATGTTGAAAGGTCAACAAAAATGGTTACAGCAAAGTTATTTTAGTATCACTTGACAAAACGTGCGCGAAAACGGCGACAAAGATTTGGTCAAAATACTTATGCCGTGCCTGAATCCGCAGTCAACTCACATTGTCATTTGTAGAAAGAAGGTGTGAAGAGTAATAGACAAAATATTTTGCCTACATATTGTTGTTGCTATGAACTCTATATCCCGTATGAAAATTGTACCGTTATTCCTTGAAACTAAAAACAACCAGCACCGATAGTCGTGAGTACAGTTCGTCAAAATAATTGTGCCGACCAGTGTATATGCATGCGCAGCTACGTAACTGTAACATATGCGTATGTATGTATGCATGTAAAGCAATAGAGCGACGCGCATTCAAAATAACTGCTCAATTTACAACCTTTAGCACACAAGTACCGACACAGGTAATTCCATTTTAACATTTCGTTAACTTACTTGGGGTTTAAATTTTCTCACAATTTTTCTACAGCTTTTTTCTTCACGCGCAATGCACATTAAAAACGGTTAATTTTGATTTCATAGAGACGCAACGGCGGCGGCTAATACATTGACACTATTTGTTTTTACTCGATGCAATGATACACGAGGGGTGGTTTTGCTTCAACTCCTATAATTTTGGAGTTTGTGGTTTTATGAACATTTATAGTTCAGTTGACTTTAAGCAACGTTGTTAAAGTCTGCATCTGCCGTATAACCGCGCGCATCCTCTAGTACGTAGCTAAATATTACAAAGATTGTGTCTTTTCAACAAAAAAAAGTGTACTTATGTTACCATGCCAGCGAAACAGAAATGTACTAAAAAATGTTAGCACAAACTTTTCAGTGCTGCCACCAATTCTTTGGTTACCATATCTTTTAACAGTGCTGGTAAATGCCACCTTATTTGAATAATGACGCCGTTCAGCTCATTCAACTAGAACATCGAATCACGTAAATTTTCTCAGTGATGAAAAAAAGGATGAATAAACATTTATGTACTGAGACATCCACAAAATATTTTAAAATATACAATTACACATTGTGTAGCTTGTAAAAGCAAATACGAATATTATGGCCCTCTAATATATACTATATATAATATTCATATTTATGTATGTGATGATTTTCTAAATTATTATATCCTGCACCTAAAGTGTAATAGTTTTTATGAAATCAGTCAGAGTTTGTAACACCCCGCAGTTGGCTTGATGCAATGTAGGAAAACGTCAAGTATTTGTTAAAGACTTTTATCGTATCGAATTTTGAAAAATAAATTGTGCGATGTTTTTCTCAGGAAATATTTTCCGACTAATATTCAAGAAAAAATAACTATAAAATAAATGATACAATCAACGGATATCAAGACACCAATCAAGATATAAATTAATTTTGTATATGTTAAAAAAGTAGAATACCTTTTAAGAGCCTGGAACATCGTAAAGCTAATTAATTCAAAAAAGTTTGCAAGTAAAAACTAAATGGAACCTAATCATTATCTAAAATCGACATCTAGATCCATTTAGGTCAAAGAAAAGTCACGTTCAAGTGTGTTTTTGATGTAACTGTATTTGTTATATATAATCAATCTGTTACAGGACTCCTTTTAGCTCACTTTCTTCACAGGAGTCCTCAATTGCTTATACTAACAGGATAGCAACACTAATTACCCAAATTGATGTGAAAGGTCGTAAGCAATTTTCACACTGAACACACATTATTTTATTGAATAAATTGGAAAAAGGGAGCAATACTGAATAAGGTGAATGACTACCGAATTAGCTGTTTATGCTCCAATCCATTTGTAAGCAGTGCGTTGAGATGCTTACAAATATATCTTAAATATGCAAGGGGGATTAGCCATAGAAGAATTTAACAGTGAACACAGTTAAGTAAATCACAAAGAAAGCTTTTTAATGGGACTTTAGGGATAGGGACACCAACTAGCAACACTGCTCGCTAGGCAAATCTGGTTCAGGATCTTTCGTGAAGACAATGCTCATTTGAGCAGCCTCGCGCATAGTCGTCCCATGCGACTTCATGTGCCCATTGAGTCCGGCATACTGTGCAAAACATTTACCACAAATTTTGCACATGTAACGCTTCTTGGCGGCATGAATCTCTTTATGCTGGCGCAGGTACTTGGCGCTTGTGAATGCTTTCTGGCAAACGTCACACACTTTGTCTCGAACGTTTAGATGAGCTTTAATGTGGTCGTTGAGCACAGATTGCTCAAAGAAGTGTTTGCCACAAATGTGGCATTTGCCTTTGGGCCGCAGCTCATGCCGTCTTTTGTGCCTGTCGAAGAAGGATGACGTGCGAAACCGCTGTCCGCACACGTCACAGCAATATGGCTTCTCTCCGGTATGATTACGCCGATGAACCTGCATGTCAGACGTATTGGCGAAGCGCTTACCGCACTGATCGCAGGACACATGAAAATCTTGGGTGTGCCGACGCAAATGTATTGTGCAGTTGTCACTGCGTGAGAAACCCCGTTGGCAGATAGGACACAAAAAGGGCATGCTCCCGTCATGCTGGGATCTGTGGACCTTGAAGCCATCGACTCCGTTTATCACTGCCTCGCATACCTCGCACTTAAATGGTCCGACGTGCTGCTCTAGGAACTGGATCTGCTTATAGTACGGACAGATGGGCACATACGGGCGCCCATCGCGCTCGCATTGCAGCTGTCGCGTTTTCTCCTGCGTATAGGCGTAGCGGATGCGGCAAATGTAACGTTGTAACTGCTTCGGGTTAATCTGCAGCTTTAGTTCATCCCTGCACAGCTGCAGCAAGTTGTCGTTAGCTTGCTGACGAATGTGGCGCAGGCGATAGGTCAAGTCCTGCATGTCCCAGGTTCGATTGCACCGACGGTAGATCTCGATGAGGGCTCGGTTCTGAGCGTGACTTAGTTGGGGCACTGGAAGTGCGGAGCCTTTGCTGGTAAGCGCCTTAGTACCCCGTTTGCCGCGTTTGCCACGTTTTCCGCGCTGTTTTTCGTCATCTTTTACCAGTTCATCATCGTCCTCAGTTGCGTCCTCCAGTTTTGTGAAGCTGTCGTTACTCTCAAACCAATCAAGTTCAGCTTCCAGCCCTGCAGCAGACTCGGACTCTTCCAGTTCCTCTTTTACATTAAATTCTGAGATTTCAATATCTATGTCTGGCTCTGGATCTTCATTCGTTGACAAAAATCCATGCAATGATATGTTCTCTAACGGGTCTGACGGAAAGTCAACCAAGTCAGAACTACTTCCAGGGTCCAACATCGGCAAATGTGTTTGCAGTTCTGAAAGATCCAGTTGAGTATATAGTCACGAATTTGGATGAATGGTATGTATTCGAAAATATTTTCGGGTCGCAAGAGTTTCTGGTCCCATAATGCAAGAACATACCTGGAGTTCCCAACGCCACCTTGTTTACAAATGTGTTGTTTTGCATTTGCAGTACTGGATCGCAGAGCTTAACGCCGCTGGAAGTAGATCGACTGCTCCTACGGCCAGATGAAAGTGAAGGTCGCGGCGCCGACTGTTTCTGCTGGCTTTCCTCCGTCTCAAAATCTCTGAGTCTATCCAAATGCTCAGCCTCCAGGTGCCCCTTGAAGTCCCTGAAAGTTGATGTGGTGTAATGCGAACAGAAGACACATTTGAAAGCGAAGCTGCGCACGTGCCGTTTGCATTGCCACATGATATCTCCACAACGATGCTGAGCCGGTGGCATTTTCAAGTTAGCAATTAATCCACGCAGAACAAATTGTATATTTCAATATTGTGTTATCAATGCTTCCAGTACACAAACAGTGTGACCTTATGGCGTTGAAAATTGGCACAAAAATACTAAATATACTAAAATGAAAGATAAATATATATAATTAATATACCGCTCACCACTATCTGCATATGAACATAAACGTTAAAGCATTCAAAATAACTGCTCAATTTTCAACCTTTACCACACAATTACCGACACAGGTAATTCCATTTCAACATTTCGTTAACTTGGTGCTTAAATTTTCTCAGAATTTTTCTACAGCTTTTTTCTTCACGCACAATGCACATTAAAAACGGTTAATTTTGATTTCATACAGACTTCAACTCCTATAATTTTGGAGTTTGTGGTTTGATGAACATTTATAGTTCAGTTCACATTAAGCTACGTTGTTAAAGTCTGCACCTGCCGTATAAATATAAATATTACATATATAATATAAATATTGCAGATTGTGTCTTTCCAACAAAAAAAGTGTACTTATGTTACCATGCCAGCGAAACAGAAATGTACTAAAAAATGTTAGCACAAACTTTTCAGTGCTGCCACCAATTCTTTGGTTACCATATCTTTTAACAGTGCTGGTAAATGCCACCTTATTTGAATAATGACGCCGTTCAGCTCATTCAACTAGAACATTGAATCACGTAAATTTTCTCCGTTATGAAAAAAAGGATGAATAAAGATTTATGTACTGAGACATCCACAAAAAATGTTAAAATATACAATTACACATTGTGTAGCTTGTAAAAGCAAATACGAATATTATGGCCCTCTAATATATACTATATATAATATTCATATTTATGTATGTGATGATTTTCTAAATTATTATATCCTGCACCTAAAGTGTAATAGTTTTTATGAAATCAGTCAGAGTTTGTAACACCCAGCAGGTGGCGTGATGCAATGTAGGAAAATCTTGAAATCTAAAAGAACAAAACGTCAAGTATTTTTTTAAAGACTTTTATCGTATCGAATTTTGAAAAATAAGTTGTGCGATGTTTTTCTCAGGAAATATTCTCCGACTAATATTCAAGAAAAAATAACTATAAAATAAATGATACAATCAACGGATATCAAGACACCAATCAAGATATAAATTAATTTTGTATATGTTAAAAAAGTAGAATACCTTTTAAGAGCCTGGGACATCGTAAAGCTAATTAATTCAAAAAAGTTTGCAAGTAAAAACTAAATGGAACCTAATAATTATCTAAAATCGACATCTAGATCCATTTAGGTCAAAGAAAAGTCACGTTCAAGTGTGTTTTTGATGTAACTGTATTTGTTATATATAATCAATCTGTTACAGGACTCCTTTTAGCTCACTTTCTTCACAGGAGTCCTCAATTGCTTATACTAACAGGATAGCAACACTAATTACCCAAATTGATGTGAAAGGTCGTAAGCAATTTTCACACTGAACATACATTATTTTATTGAATAAATTGGAAAAAGGGAGCAATACTGAATAAGGAGAATGACTACCGAATTAGCTGTTTATGCTCCAATCCATTTGTAAGCAGTGCGTTGAGATGCTTACAAATATATCTTAAATATGCAAGGGGGATTAGCCATAGAAGAATTTAACAGTGAACACAGTTAAGTAAATCACAAAGAAAGCTTTTTAATGGGACTTTAGGGATAGGGACACCAACTAGCAACACTGCTCGCTAGGCAAATCTGGTTCAGGATCTTTCGTGAAGACAATGCTCATTTGAGCAGCCTCGCGCATAGTCGTCCCATGCGACTTCATGTGCCCATTGAGTCCGGCATACTGTGCAAAACATTTACCACAAATTTTGCACATGTAACGCTTCTTGGCGGCATGAATCTCTTTATGCTGGCGCAGGTACTTGGCGCTTGTGAATGCTTTCTGGCAAACGTCACACACTTTGTCTCGAACGTTTAGATGAGCTTTAATGTGGTCGTTGAGCACAGATTGCTCAAAGAAGTGTTTGCCACAAATGTGGCATTTGCCTTTGGGCCGCTGCTCATGCCGTCGTTTGTGCCTGTCGAAGAAGGATGACGTGCGGAACCGCTGTCCGCACACGTCACAGCAATATGGCTTCTCTCCGGTGTGATTACGCCGATGAACCTGCATGTCAGACGTAGTGGCGAAGCGCTTACCGCACTGATCGCAGGACACATGAAAATCTTGGGTGTGCCGACGCAAATGTATTGTGCAGTTGCCACTGCGTGAGAAACCCCGTTGGCAGATAGGACACAAAAAGGGCATGCTCCCGTCATGCTGGGATCTGTGGACCTTGAAGCCATCGACTCCGTTTATCACTGCCTCGCATACCTCGCACTTAAATGGTCCGACGTGCTGCTCTAGGAACTGGATCTGCTTATAGTACGGACAGATGGGCACATACGGGCGCCCATCGCGCTCGCATTGCAGCTGTCGCGTCTTCTCCTGCGTATAGGCGTAGCGGATGCGATAAATGTAGCGTTGTAACTGCTTCGGGTTAATCTGCACCTTTAGTTCATCCCTGCACAGCTGCAGCAAGTTGTCATTAGCTTGCTGACGAATGTGGCGCAGGCGATAGGTCAAGTCCTGCATGTCCCAGGTTCGATTGCACCGACGGTAGATCTCGATGAGGGCTCGGTTCTGAGCGTGACTTAGTTGGGGCACTGGAAGTGCGGAGCCTTTGCTCGTAAGCGCCTTAGTACCCCGTTTGCCACGTTTTCCGCGCTGTTTTTCACCATCTTTTAAGAAATTCAGATGGTCGTAGTACCATGGTAGATCAGATGTGATGGCTGTGGACGACTGTGCACGGCGTTCCTCTCGGTAATATGCGGCGCGCAGCTTATTGACAAAAATGACAATGTCCTCGCATTCCAAGCGTAGGCCAAACTGGGCATTGAGCTTGTCAGCTATCTGCTCGCAGGTGACGTTTCGACGCCCACGATTTCTATAGGTAACCATTCTGACGTCCCACAAAGGCCGTGCCTTCTTATAGTGATCGATAATAGCAAACATTATGGGATGCTCTCGAAGCCAGAAATGCTTAGTGTCGGCGGGCTTTAAGTGTAGCTAGTGTGAGATCAAGCTAGAATTTGATTTACAGATTCTTTACCAGTTCATCATCGTCCTCAGTTGCGTCCTCCAGTGTTGTGAAGCTGTCGTTACTCTCAAACCAATCAAGTTCGGCTTCCAGCCCTGCAGCAGACTCGGACTCTTCCAGTTCCTCTTTGGGTGCTTTGTAAAACTCAGCATCTATACCTTTTACATTAAATTCTGACATTTCAATATCTATGTCTGGCTCTGGATCTTCATTCGTTGACAAAAATCCATGCAATGATATGTTCTCTAACGGGTCTGACGGAAAGTCAACCAAGTCAGAACTACTTCCAGGGTCCAACATCGGCAAATGTGTTTGCAGTTCTGAAAGATCCGGTTGAGTATGTAGTCACGAATTTGGATGAATGGTATGTATTCGAAAATATTTTCGGGTCGCAAGAGTTTCTGGTCCCATAATGCAAGAACATACCTGGAGTTCCCAACGCCACCTTGTTTACAAATGTGTTGTTTTGCATTTGCAGTACTGGATCGCAGAGCTTAACGCCGCTGGAAGTAGATCGACTGCTCCTACGGCCAGATGAAAGTGAAGGTGGCAGCGCCGACTGTTTCTGCTGGCTTTCCTCCGTCTCAAAATCTCTGAGTCTATCCAAATGCTCAGCCTCCAGGTGCCCCTTGAAGTCCCTGAAAGTTGATGTGGTGTAATGCGAACAGAAGACACATTTGAAAGCGAAGCTGCGCACGTGCCGTTTGCATTGCCACACGATATCTCCGCAACGATGCTGAGCCGGTGGCATTTTCAAGTTAGCAATTAATCCACGCAGAACTAATTGTATATTTCAATATTGTGTTATCAATGCTTCCAGTACACAAACAGTGTGACCTTATGGCGTTGAAAATTGGCACAAAAATACTAAATATACTAAAATGAAAGATAAATATATATAATTAATATACCGCTCACCCCTATCTGCATATGTACGTATTTTTTTTATTAAACATAATCCATATCCATAGGAGCTGCGGTGATACGAGGCCGACATACATACAAACATATAAACGTTAGCTAAGCACGTTTCTTTTTATCTAATCTCATATCTAACGACTAAGGGTCTGAAAACGACAGCAACAGGTACAATATAGAAAAAAAACACGCAGAGAACGGGAACGTCAGGTTGTTTTTGTTTTCCGAATCAATATCCCTATCCAAACAGCATGCTTAAGATCGCAGCGGAGGGAATTGCGCCCCGCTTAGCATCTTTTTGCTTAATCAATGCGAGCGCCCAAAGCTGCTGCCATCGTGTGGCGCCGCAAGTCGCCAAAGCAACACAAAAAAATCTGTCACAATCCCAATCCCGGCTGAAGAAACTGGTCATCAAAGATCACTATGAATTTGATCAGAAGGTGAGTTTGGCACCCAATGCATTATGCAACGTAAAAGGAATGTTCGCACACACAAATGTACATACATACACTCATATGCCCATGCATACAAAGATACATACCATATGTATATACTTACATACGTGCTTGTGCCTGTTTTTTTAGCCAACACGATGACGCGATTAGACTACTTTTTTTGATTGTATTTACATACATATGTATGTGTTTGCGTTTATCCCACTAAAGCGACTGAAATGTAAAATACTATAAGTATATAATTCTTACTCCCACTTCTCTAACAGGTGATAAACAGCGACAACCCGGTCATTGTCAACTTCCATGCCGAATGGTGCGATCCATGCAAAATACTCACACCAAAAATGTTGGAGCTCTTGGAAAACTCTAACGAAATCGACCTAGCCATAATCGATGTAGAGACCAACTTGGATCTGGTCGAAACTTTTGAAGTGAAGGCAGTTCCCGCTGTTTTGGCTTTTCGCAATGGTGTTGTCGTTGACAAGTTCATTGGACTGGTCGATGCTAACAGCATAGAAACGCTGATCGACAAACTGAAGCGGAAGCAACAACAGAAGCAATAGGAAGCAGGCGTGTAGCTCGGAGTTAGGATAATTTCATCAAACACACACATATGTACCTGTATGCATGTTACATGTGTGTAATTGGTGTTTATGAGAAATTTAAGTAGCAGGTGCTTTTTTAAGTTGCAATACAGATTTATACAGAATAAAGTAATTGCAGTAGCTGAAGTATATATATACATATATCTACGAAACGCATCAAAATTAATTATTTCATAGATACGTTCATCAATTGAAAATCATCGAATATCTATCTAGCAACAATATATAGATCGCTTTATTTAGCATAGTTCTTATGGTTTGTAACAATTACAACAAGTACAAAGTATACATACGCATCGATAATTCACTGCTCTGTTGAGTAACATATTAGCCACTAGGCGCAGACCGCCACCGCAGCTGCCCTCCAGCTAAAGCCTTCATGACTTCGGGTGTCTGCTTAGACTAGAACGCCCCGAAGCAATCCGTTAATACAATATACATACACATTATAATAATATATAAAAATACGAATTCAGACCCGTGCCAAGCGTTGCAACAAATTGGAAAGCTAGCGGGTGTCGCCCAAATACAAATACACAAAAAACATAAGCTTAACAATTGTTAGTAGATTGAAAAGAAGGTCTAATCTGGTCTGTTTTGTTATATTTGTTTGTGAGTACCGCATCGGATTTTGGTTTTGTTTTTGGTCTAGCGCGCCAGTTGTATGATTAGGGCGGCGCACATTTCGAAAAACTCCATAGTGTGGTGGCCAGTTGGCTGCAACGGCATCACACCAGTCACACTAAGCGGCGGCGGCGTCAAGCTCTCCATGATGACGTCGTCCCCCTGCTCCACTTCGTCGTTGGTGAGCGACTTAAAGTCGAGAAGGTAGCTTTTGGCGTCCACCTGGTATAGTTGCAGTGACATCTTGGAAAACTTGCCCGTCTTCACATTCTGGCGTCGCACGCGAACATGGTAGGGATTAATGATTTTCCATTCGTAATTAAGCGCCTTCATAGCGCGATATACCTCGAGCATAATGTCATTGGGCTTGCTTTGCGATCGGATGCCTAGATGCCATTTTGCACGCTTTATGGGTGTGCCGCCGCGCGCCGTCTTTTCGGGAAAGGCGGCACCACCCGAGTTCTGTACCGACATGGCCAGTTGGCGCTCTCTCATGGGCGCTATGCGCTCAGGATGGGGTCGTATGGCAGGCACATTTGCGCTTGGCGGTGCGCTGCCATTGGGTACAGGAGTGGCGGTGCCGGAGCTGGCAGCCGTGCCACCGCCAACAATGACAGTAGCTATGGGCGCCTGGCCTACATCGTGCGGCCGGTCGTGTGGTGAGTGCGCCGTCGGCGGTGGCGATCCAGCAACAAAGAAATTGTTTATCTCGTTGATTTGATTAGCTGCGTCGTCGGCGAAGCGCTTGTTGTCTATAATAAGATGGTAAGCAATGGCCAATTGGTCATGCGGGTCACCACTAAGGAGCGCATTGTGAACCTCAGCTTCTTTGACGCCAAACTTTGTGCATACCTCCGCTACCGCATATGTGTCAATGACGTTAGAGTCCTGTTCAATGGATGAAGGGAAAAGGTAGGCGGGTAATTCTTTCTGGAACCACTCGTGCTTTTTTATCTCCTCTATGTTTGCGCGCTTCAACGGATCCACCTGCAGCATCTGGCACACCAAGTTCACCACCTGCTTGTTTAGGTACTCGGGTATAGGAAAGATCCCCGACTTGATCTTGCGAAACAGTGTGGGTACATGCTCGTCATCGAAAGGCAATGTGCCACAAAGCAGCGCGTAGAGTATTACACCACACGACCAAATATCTACTTCAGGGCCAGCATATAATTTTCCGGAAATGACCTCAGGTGCCGCGTAATTAGGCGAGCCGCAAGACGTACGCAAGAACTCACCATCTAACATCATGTTAGACAGGCCAAAATCGGCAATCTTCACGTGCATATTGTGGTCAAGGAGTAAATTCTCCGGCTTTAAATCGCGATGCACGATCATATGACGATGGCAGTAGTCGACGCCCGAAATAATTTGCTGAAAGAAACGACGTGCCTGATGCTCCTGAAGCTTACCATGCTTGACAATGTAGTCAAACAGCTCGCCACCGCTCACGTATTCCATAATCATAAAGATGTCCGTGGGTGTCGAGATGACCTATGAACATGTAACGAATTAATAATTGTTAAGGCCATTTTTAACTGCCAAAATGATTAGTGTTCTCATTTACCTGGTAAAGCTTTATAATATGTGGATGTCGAAACAGTTTTAAATTTTGTATTTCTCGACGTATCTTGCCCACCACATCCAAGCTTTTGATCTTCTGACGGTTCAATATTTTAACAGCCACCTTGTGTCGCGTCATTTGATGCTCGCCAATCTTAACCTTTCCGAAGGTTCCAGTGCCCAGCGTTGCTCCAAGGAGGTAATGACCAATTTTAACCAATGGCTGGCCATTGGCGCTGCCCGCAGCTGCAGCTTCAGCGGCGGCAGCCCTTGTGTGAGGCATATCCAGCAAGTGTTGTTCTCCTTACTTCTCTCTTATTAGGGCGGGAGGCAGCAATAATGACACAACTCTTCTGCTTTTATTTTCCGCTGCAAATGTATCCAGCGGCAGCGATATTCAATTAAAGCAAATGAGCTAAAGCGTGCTGCTTTGTTTTTCACGCTGCTGTGTCAGGCGACTACACCCTGCACACCCGTTTTTCTCGGTTTCTGCTGTTATTATTATTATAGCAGGGTTTTAATAGTAGTTGTAGCTTCAACAACCTGCATATGCAAAGCTGTAACACTGTAGTGTGTATTTTTTTTTTCAAAACTGCAGAAGGTCGTTATCATTTATTGCGTATTCCGTTTCGAGTTTACGACGAAGCGCTGCCGCTCACGTTGTGATGCTTCCGCCTGTTTTGTACATTTGTATAGACTTATGTATATATGTATATGTATTTATATATATACATATATGTATGTAGATGTGTGTACGTGTATCAATACTACTTACGCACACACTTCTGCCAATAAAACTTTTTACAATTTCAAGGGCTCACTCTACTACGAAATACGAGTTGTTATTATAATCCTGCACTTGCGATTTTGAGTGCAATTACAATACTTTTACACTTACACAATCACAAAGTACCCTGCAGTGCAAGGTTTGCTAGTGCAGACAAGCCAGCTAATCGGTCAGCTAGCTCCTTGTGTGTTATACACACAAAGCGAAAAACATGTTACTATTGCGTGCACTGATATGCTTTTGTTACTGTCTAAGAAAGTAAACCTTATGTGCAAAATAAATGAATATATAAGTATATTGGAATTTTAAAGAACTAGCAAAATGAATATTTACTACTATCGTTTTACAACACTGAAAGATATCGTCGTTTTATTGCACTTAAACATAAAACAAGTTAGAATAGTGTGGCCGCATTTACCAATAACATAAAAAAATTTAAATATTGGCTTGAACTTATATTCGTTTTGTTCTACTTATTATACCGAATAAAAAGAGTAATTATCAAAATACACAAATATATTTAAAAACAAAATAATTAAATGGCGGTAAAAAACTATAGCGGTCAGTTTCTTATTGTTTTTGAAACAAATCTAATGGGAAACATCTGGACTGGAATTACAATATCAACTAACTGCCAATTTGATCAATAAATTGGAAAATCATTTTTTTTGAATGTACCCCAAATACGTGGGGGCCTAGTATACATAATGTTGCAACGTTTATTTGAAATGTAATGAGATCGTAATCAAACTATGTACAATTGTCATTGGATTGACCAGAATTGAAACAATTTAAAGCTAAAATAAAATTACTGCAAAATAAATCATCATATTTTAAAGGACCTGGTAATTATGATTTCTAATAAATATATATATGGGTTATAGCGAGTACATTTAACATAACTGGCAAATCTGAGTAATTTAACATAGTACATGTGACGAGAATGCTAAATTAAAGGAAAAAGACAGGTAATTGAGTCAACTTTAATTACTTAGAAGATTTCTTTAACAGCTGAAACCAACATGTCGTTTGATTTGGCCTACTTCTAATACTTTCGAAAATTAAACCTAAATTAAATGTATTAAACTTTTTTTTGACCCGCTATAAAACATTTTATTCAATTTCGTTTGAGTATGAATCAGGCAAGTGTGCATGCATACCAAGATTACTATACTTAACCAGCCCCCAAACCACTGGAATTAAATTTTAAAAGCTCCGATGGGACATATTGTATTTCATTATTGGCATAATATATATATGTATAAAGGAGCATTTTCCGCGAGGTTCCACGCTATGACACGAAGCACAAGATTGAAACATCACTATATTTGAGAAGATTGCCGGAGAAAAATTATTCTTAGTCTCTAAAAATCGCTTACATAGTAACGCCGAACTTACCGAATTTGACGCCAAAATAATTCCAATCAAATTTAAAGGGCTATAATACTAGGTGAAACATTCAATTTGGTATGGCGTAAGACCTATAATAATGCAATATTCTCATCTATACGTAGTATTGGTTGATACGTAGAAAAAATCGATATGCTTACATAATATACATATCTATTATTTAGATAAAGTGTCCCGTTCGATTCATATTTCTCAGTAATTACACGGCAAATCCAATGTTAGCTTTTTTTTACAAATGCAAAGTTCAAAATTTGTTGAAGCACTCATTATTTGATTATCATTTGTTTAAATTTGAAATTTTTAATTTAAAGCTTTCTTACAACAACACAAACAAAAACTAATATATGTTCTTCTAATTCTTGCTCAACGTTTTGACTTGAGAACTTACTAAATGACATGAAAAATCCCACAGTCAAACAGTTAGGCACTTTCTCAATATACCACTGTACTCTACCACCGCTCTAGTAACTATCGTATCTAGTATCTAATATGAACATCGTTAGCTTAGTCAATGCTCTCGTCTGTGTATTTATGTATGATATGTAATCATAACTAGCTCAGAGGGAAAGGTCGCGCTTAAGTCAAGAATGCGGTATCTCGTTAGTCATATAAAGCAGCAGTGTATGTAAAGACGATCATGTTAGTAAAGTAACAGTAATTGTTTCCAGTTGTGTATGTATGTATTTTTTATTTTTGTTTGACACTTAGAAAAAATACATTCATATTTAATAAAGTTGTCTATTCATGCTCGTAATCGGTTCACATTCATAGATGATAGTTTTTATAGTATATAGTAAACATACATACATACATATTTAAATTCATAATTACATCTACATACATCCATGTATATGTATACCCACATATACATACATGTAAACATATGTGTATATATATACTCGTACGTTTAATTTACCGATGATCGAATCGATCTTTTGAGTGTTTGTATCTAATCAAGCTGATTTTAAGGCCTAACATTAACTTAACTAGAATTTAGCTACAATTTGGAAAGGAAATTGCTGTTTTAAATCTCCTCCTGGAAGGATACTTGGTATAGCCAATATACACGCATATGCATTTAGAGTTTAATTTATGGCTTGTCTCATGTGCAATGTGCCTTTTTAAGCTCCTTACGAATTTACAACATATATATATCTCTCTCTCTCTCTCTCTACATATATATTTCTGTTTAATTTGTTTGCCCGCCTTTCTCCTACTTAGATTTCTGTCCTCTGCGTTACAAGTTAAGCACACCGCACCTGCTGCAATGTAACTTATTTGTTTTGAAATATTTGGGGCATGTTTTCTTAATTCTATTGTATTTTCCTATAATTTCCCCTTTCGATTTCGTATATACGTACATATGTAATTTTTTTTATTAGGCCTCAAACTTCGTACAATTTTTTTGTTGTTTGTTTTCAATTTTCATTCGATTCTTTAATTTTAGTTGAAAAAAATTGACTTAACAAGTATATAATTCTATAAGACTAGTTTTAAAAATGTAAATTATTTTGACAAAAAAAGGGACTTTTTATAAAAGGTTTATGGAGTTCATTCCAAATTTTCAGCTTGTAATTTTTTCAGTTATTATTATTTTTATTTTAGAAAGCACAGTTATTTTACATAATTTATTGGTTGTTTATACATTCATATAGTTTTAACTGCGTTATTTACTTATGTATGGTGAGTGATTTATACATGCATACACACATAAATACTTTAGATATCTATTAAAAGCAATATCGCCAATATTGTTGGCCCTTTCGGTCGATGAAGCTTGCGTTTTTGGTTATTGTTAAAACGCATAAATCGCTTTTAGTGTACGACGTATGTATGTGTGGGTATGAGTATGTATAGCAAGCTATAGATATAAACAAAAATGGTTTATAATATTTTGTTTGTTTTGTTTTTATACAATTGGTTAAGCTTGCTTTGCAATTTATTTAATTCGATCAGCAAATTTTGCAATTTTTCTTCGTATATCTAAATTGAAATGGTTTTCGTGTGAGTGTGGGTGTCTCCAGTGTGAGTGTGTGTGTAGGTGTATGTGTACTTTGGAACTTTTATACATATTTCAAGTTATGTATCAACTTGTTTGTTTGCTTTAACTTTTTTTATTTTGTTTTGTTGCATGTGCATCTACACAAATTTAAGCTTCGCTGCCAATGCTTTTGGTTTGTTTTTTTCACATATTATCATGCCTGTTTCAGTTTCTCATTTTTTGTTTTCTTCTTATTTAAAGTGCGGGTGCGGGCAGCAACCAACTGGTAAACAATCGACTAGATCAAGTGATCTGTCGAGAGTGTTATCATTTTGCCTTAGCCATATTCGTTATAATTTTCTTTAGTTTGTTTCGCTTTGAAACGACATTTAGAGACTGTTTCTATATATGCAATTTAATGCTGTTCTGGTTTTGGTATACATTATGTGTTTGTATGTGCATTTAAATTTTGATGCTTCCGCTGCTGATGGTGCTAATTTACTTTATTGACAGAGGTGCTGTGTGCCTCTTCGATCTGTGCTCACATGTGGTGCATGTTGTGCATGTTTTGCATGTTTCTACCACTGCCACATCTATCGGCTGCATTCGCATCAATATTTTGCTTATGTGCTACATAATAGATCCCCAATGCTCCACCGTTGTTGTGGTCGTAGTAGTTGACGGCATAAACATAGCTTGTGTTGGCATATGGGTAATAATAATATGAGCAAGGTGGTGGCCGTACGTGTTGCGGATGTGGTTGCGTTGCATATGTTAGGAATGGAGCCATTGTTGTATTTCCATAGATCCTGCTGTTGTTGTAGCTTCCTGGTGCTTGTTGATGTGGTTGGTGTGGCTGTACACGATGGTGTTGTTGTGGAGGGTAGGTGGTGTAGGCATTGTGTGTGTACATTGTGACATTGTTGTTGTTATTGTAGTAGTTGTAATTGTAGTTGTAGTTATAGTTATAATTGTGGTATTGAGTGGTTGTGGAAGGCGTATAATTGTATCTGTTTCCGTTAATATTGGTGCTGCCGTTGATGTTGAAGCTGCTGTTGCTGCCGCCGCCGTGGTTGCTGTTGCCGCCGACGCCAACGACGATGCAGTTGCATTGCTGCTGCTGCTGTTCTGTTGTTGCTGTTGCGGCGTTGTTGATGTCGCACATGGTCGTGGTCGCGATCGGCGCATTGGCATTGATATTGTGATTGGCAATGGCAGCATGAACACTTCACCTGTGAGATGCAGCTAATATTGTGTAAAGAAATTAATTTTGTTTTAAATAAATTTCTGTGCATTGTTATATGGATGCGGTTTTTGAGATCGTGTTGTTTTTATTGATCTACCTCTGTGTGCCATATTGTGATGGTAGCCGCCGCCGCCATGCATGGGCGGTGGCACGCCCGCAATGCCGCCACCGCCATGCATATGCTGCATATGATGCGGCGGTGGCAGATTATGGTGATGAAGATGTTGTTGTTGATGATGTTGATGCTGCTGCTGGTGTAGGTGTTGTTGATGTTGTTGCTGATGTGGGTGGTGATGTGGCTGCTGGCCCATATGGTGACCACCACCATGTCCACCGTGTGACATAAATTGCGCTGCTTTTGCTTTGCCATGCTCTTCAGCTAAACGCACCGATATGGGCTGAGTGCCACCTTCGGGTATTGTATTGTTTAAAGCCTGTATAGCTCCCTGCGCTTCCTCCCGCTTGTTGTATCTAAGGATACCATCATCAAACGAAAAAGGATAGTAGATAGAGAGAATAAGTTATTATGACGCCTTCAAGTCACACATATGAATCCCCTATTTATTAAAAAACTAATTTAGTTACCGCACAAATGCCACACCGCGTGGACGACCAGTAAGCTTATCGCGCAAAATATTGCGCTGTACAATGCGACCGTACGGGCTAAAGATGCGATCTAACTGCTCGTCGTTAATGCTGCGTGGTAAATTGATCACATACAAATTGGTGTCTTTAATGGACTGACCACCAGGGCGTGCATACGAAACCTGTGTAATAAAACGCTAATGAATGATATATATTGGAAATTTGGATCGGCTTACCTTCAAGCGCTTGTTGCGCACATAGTAGCCATTCAGCTTTTGTATGGCCGTTTCCGAGTCAGCTTCAGCATTGTAGTCCACAAAACCGTATCCGAAGCTATATCCGGTCTGTAAATGAGAGTGAGATGCAAGTTTAACATGGAACAGCTTAACCGTAGGGATGATGATGACACGCATTCAGTGTGTACACTACAGTGTGGGACAAGGATGGCGTACGTCATGTGACCGGGGCTTCGTACCCGTTCCCGCTCCCACACTTACCTTGTAGTCTCGCATTATCTTGCAAGTATTTATGGAGCCGCAGCTGCTAAACAAGCTGTACAGCTCGCGATCTGTCATGTCCTGTGGCAAATAGTTTATAATTAAATTGGTGGCGCTGGTGCGGTCTTCTTCGCCCCCGCCTGTGCCCTGCATGGGCTGCTGGTTATTATTTTGCTGTTGCTGTTGCTGCTGATTGGCATCATTACCGCCAGCAGCACTGTTGTCTACCTTATTGCTGTACTCCTCGCCACCTGACTGCTGTTCATTGCGTTCATCATTGTCGCTGCCATTGCTGTCGCCCCGATTATTGTAGTCTTCTCCATCTTCATCGTCGTCATCTTCCTGTTGTTGATTATCTGTACCGCCAGATTTATTGTAAGTATCAAGTTCGTCAGCGGCAACAGCGTCCTGTAATCAACAAATAATAACATTAGCTATTGGCCCCAGTTTGGTTGCCATTATACATCGACTTGGACGTACAAGGGCAAAGTTACGACTACACTTACCTCTTCAACATCGGACGCTTGACTATCCTGATCGTCGTACTCTTTTACCTGATCACCCTGTTGTATTTTGCTGTCTGGTTGAGACATTGTTATAATTGTTGCTTCTGTTCTTGTCTGTCGATGTCGGTCTTGTAAACGCTGCGACAGACTAATCCGTGCGGTAAAAAATGCTTACGTCAAAATTTTGTGCGTGCCGCAAACTAAAAGTGTTTAAACAAACGGTTAACTACCTAAAAATCAGCACATATGTAAAGCAAACTTTAGTAATAATTATAAAAACACGGCAGCAATAACTCTTTGTCGAGACTCAGAAGCCATTTTATGGTACATTTTTGCTACAGTAAAGTGCTAGTACAAATGTTTCCGTTGCTGCGCTGACGCCAGTATAAAAAAGTCTACGTTTCGAATAAAGTCGCAGTTGCAAAGAGATTACGAATGTTTCTAACACACGAAATAAATGTTTATATCATATAAACTTACAAATTTTACGGCAGAATCGACTCCAACTATTGCGTAGAAGAAGAAGCAGGCAGAAAAAATATACCAACACAGATACTGGGACGCCGCTGGCCTTGCCACTAGATTTTTCGCCTAGCTATTGAGGCTGCCACTAAGTGTATTAATATTACAGTTCTGGTAAATTCAAATAAGAATTGTGCAGTGCTGGTAAAAATCACAATTTTTTTTCAAAAGTGGCTTGCACGTAAATTTGTAGTTACTTTGTATTGGCATGGCGGAAAATTCTGACTTTTAAATATGGACATTTTTTTGTTCGTCACATTTTTATTCTTTCATCTGTATTCAAAATTATCTTGTAGGTACATGGGTCATATCAAAAATACTTACATATTTTCGTGTTGCGGCTCTGAAAAATTTGCTATAACAGTACCAATGTACATATATGTACATACATATGTATGTATATATTGTACATATTTTGTCATTTTATACCGAAAATCGTTGAACAAAAACATTTGATAAATGATAGAATTCTCTGTTATTTTTTAAAAGCCATGCAATATACTCTTTTTATTTAATTTTTGAAATATATACGTACATGACATCAATAGCTATATACATACAAACAGTGCCTTTTTTGAATCTTTGGTATTTTTCTCTTGCAATATACGGTCACTCCTTCTCTTATTCGGGCTCTGGTAAACAAATGTAATTAACAGTTATATTTGTTGCAAATCGCTTACAAAATGGCAACACAAAAAAGTCACATTTTTTAAACGTTTTTGATAATTGCAAAAAATAATCATACCAATAGCTTATAAATTAAAGTTGGTTGGGCCAATATTTGCGCTTGGAATGCGCCTGCTTGTCAAGTGAAGTTACGTGAACAAAATAGTTTACATACCTTCGGAAAAGAAAACAAATTGTCTCCACAGTTGGTAGAATTTGGTTCTTATCGTTAGCACAAAGTAATGTCAAAGCCCATTTACAATGAATGTCAAGAAACGGCCGCGTCTGCAACTTGCGCCTGCTGAAACATTAGTGGCAAATACAAACTCATATGGAAGCACATCAGGGAACGGGAATGGACTTTTTTTAACCAGCAGCGTCGGTAATGTGGACGTCAATAGCGGTGCTCAAATTTTTTTGACCATTTGTGGCGAAGGGGATGACGACGGTGATGAAAACTCAACTGAATCTGGAGAATATTATGCTATTGAAAGTAATTCACTTACGACGCACATAAAGCAAGAGCCAGATTTGGATTTGCATGCACTCCTACCAACAAATCTGCAGTTACCCACGGGTTGTGAGATATATTTAGTTAAGGATACAACGATTAGTTCAAATCCGACCGCCCCAACAAAAGCATGTCAAAGTGGTGAGCAAATATTGCCAAAGCATTCAATGACCTCTATTAAACTGGAACCGGATTCAATGGGGAATCATTTCAATGTAAATAAATTAGCACCGTCCACGAACGTTGTATTCGTTAGTGGTAGTGGCCCATGTACCGTTTCCCCACCTTCAAGCGCTGTTGTTGTTTCTGCGGATGTACCAAGTACATCGTTGGCCGCCTCAACTGGATTTAACGTCAAACTTGATGCCTATAAGAAACGCGACGACAAGCGACGTGCTACCCACAATGAGGTAGAGCGTCGGCGCCGTGATAAAATTAATTGTTGGATATTTAAGTTAAAAGAAATGCTTCCTGTCGAGGGCAATCGCTACAAGCCTATCGGTGTGGATGCCGATGACAGTAGTTGTAAGACGACTATTAGGAACAATGCGGCTAATGGACGTACACCACCAAATGACTCCAAATCACAAATACTTATAAAAGCATGCGACTATATCAAGAGCATGCAAAATGAAATTGATAAGTAAGTGTGCAAAATTGTGAAAACCCTGTTTGTCTCGAACTCATTGTTATTATTAACAATTGACAGCTTACGCGAGTGCCTGAAGGAGGCTGAAAGTTTGCGGCTGAGTAACCAAGCACTTCGTGATGAATTAGAGGCCATCAAACAGCAACACGAGCTTCAGGAGCGTTTCAATGCCGCTGGTGGCTCTTTCAATATTACACTTAACTCCCTAAATAGCTCCGGCTCCGCTACCAGTGACCTCTTCGAGGGTATTGAGGTTGCTCCGAACCTTTCTACGGTCTCCTCCATAAATTTTACAAAACGGGGCTTGTTAATTGCAGATTATGATGAATAAGTTATGAGTTCTTTATCCTAACACACCTCAAAGTTAAGGCGAAACCCAAAAGACAAGTATTTCTAGCATACTTCCGCATCGCGTTCCCACATCGTTGTAATTCTGCTAATCTACTGTTTCTCGCACTATTTGAATAATGCAAGGTAAATATTAAGATATATCATTGTTTAAAATACACATGCTTTATTTACAAATAAACAAACATATACATAAGTACATTTAATAAATGTAATTATTAACCAAACCATTTGTTAAAAACAAAACTGAACTCGTAGTGCAAATTACAAAATATAACATTTATTATTAAATATATTTATGTCTATTGTAGTTAATGCTCTCAGCCAATGATTTGCTATTGAGACAATATAATATTTGAAATTATACCACAAACTTAATGTACAGGTGTAACTGTTAAATGTATAATAATACGAAACGTAGACTGGTTGCGTTTGTGAGGTTAGATTATTAATTGTGATGCTCCTCAGTACGAATGTTCCCGTAAATATAATAATAAACACATTAATAAGCGGGTTCACAACTATTTGAATGCACAAAAGGATGCCAGCATTCGTCCTTTCATTTTGCTATTCATTGCTATTTATGCGTTAAATTAATTTGTTGCCTGAATAAATATTATGAACGTTCAAAACAACAATCTTTCTTGTAAAGCTTGAAATATTTTACACAACTGTCGGTATTATAATTAATATACATATGTATGTATGTATGTATATGTTTCTGGCTCTTGCCATTACTTGAGCACGCAAATTGATTGCAGTAAGAGATACTGTTGTCAAAAATGTTTGGTAAAGAGCATAACAGCAGTAAACTGTTCAGATTGAATCTACTGCCGTTAAAATATGTTATAGGGAAACCCCGGACTAGCTAAATATTGACAAGTTTGTTTGCGTCATTAATTTTGTTTGATATTTAAACATCCAATACTCATACACATAAAAATTTAAAATACTAGGCTTTTATCATAATAACATAATAATTTATAACATTTAAATAAAAATACCAAACACAAAATTATATATTGAAGTTAAATGAACGTTAAATAAAATAAGATTAATACATAGCATCACCGGATGGTGCAAGTTGTGTTACTTGTTGCTATTTACACAAATATATATGTATGTACAATGAATCATATGTTTGTCAATGGACAGCAATAATTATATTTTATTCAATAAAACCAGTCATTTTATTGTTTATTTAAGAACTGTTTTACTGAATATGTATTTGTATTTATGGGCATTTTTTATTTTAATTTTTTTTTTTTTTTTGGCATTAAACGGTTATAGGATGTTAAATAAATGAACATATATATGTCACCGTCTCTTCGGACTTGTATGCCCTGCACACAAAATACAAACAAGAGAGAACGCTACAGTCGAGCAAGCCCGACAATGAAATACCCTATACCCAGACAAACTTCCGTCACTGAGTTATATGCACAAATAGCAGAAGCAAAAAGAGGACGAGCGAACTTGATGCTGCAGCTTGTGGGCGTAGTACCGATTTAGATGAAAGTTTTTGAAATGTGGACGGTATTGACGAAATTCTGTAGCGGGGGAAGGGGGAGAAAATTTGAAAAAGTAAAATAAACTCGTATAGACTAGGGACAAGGAGCGTCTGCATACCAATTTTGGTTTGTGTACGCTCAGCGGTTTCCGAAATCCAGGCGTTCATCCAGACAGACGGACGGACATGTCTATATCGATTTCTCTCGTCATGCTGATTCAGAATATATACATGTATGTATACTATATGGGGTCGGAGATTTAAATAATTTAAATCAAAATATTTTTTTTCTGGTTGGTACAGGGTATTTAAACATTGAGCCCCCTCGACCTTAGCATTCCTTTCTTGTTTTTATTTAATTTTATTAATTTATTTAATTAAAATTAAGTAAAAATTAATAAAAAGTTGTTTTTTTTTAGAGAGGGTACAGGGTAGAGTTGGGCACGGGCCGTGTTTTTTGTCGTGGCACTTCGTGCCACGCGTGGGCCCGCGTGTTCGTGTTGTAAATTCAGATTTCGTGCGTGGCCGTGCGTGTTCGTGTTGAGCCAAAAAGGCACGACAAAACACGCACGAGGAAACACGAAAGAACACTAAAATCGCTGCTAGCTGAAATAAATGATAGCTTAAATAACGATTTAACACTTGAATCAGAAAACGAAGCACCCAATAGTCAACACGACTTTTCTGAATTTTTGGACACTAATAATTCAAAAAAAAAAATGAAATTGGACAGGTCAAGAATGGATATTGAAATAGATGACTATATAAGTAAAGTTGTTGATCCAGGAATTTGTGTGCTAACATTTTCCCTGTCAGCTCTGCAACAAGCGAACGAGTTTTTTCCACTTCTGGACATATTTTAAATGAGCGACGTACTCGGCTTCTTAGCTCAAATATTGATAAGATAATCTTTCTGAATAAAAATTTGTAATGTTTATATACATATATATATAAATATATATATTTTTTAAATGTTTATATTTAATATATAAAAAGTTCGTGTTGGGCCGTGTTAAGAAAAATTTTCGTCGTGCGTGCGCGTACGTGTTTCTAAAAGTTAATTTCGTGGCCGTGTCGTGTCGGGCCGAAAATAGCCGGCCCGTGCCCATCTCTAGTACAGGGTATATTTACATATAATAGTTGAGCCCGCTCGACTCTAGCATATGTTTGCACTACTAAGTCGTATGTGAACTATATAAAAAAATAGAACTATTATTAAATTTTAAATACATATGTATACATAAATGTGTATCTGTACACATACTCTCCCTTACGCCGTCACACGTATCTCTGATTTACATTTCGAATTTTTTAGTATATTTGACATTTCAACCTTTGAAAACATAAAAGTCGCAGCATCTAATCTCTGTCAATTGTTAGTTAAATTAAATAGCGTTTATGTTGTGATAAGACAAACATTCCCGAAACCGGGCAACAACAATTTTGTGTTGTGGTCTTCATCGTGGCTCTTTTATGCCTTTGCAATTAACCGTTCACCAAACTTGAAATACATTTTTACATACATACATACATACATATGTACATCGGTTATATGGTGGAGTACTTAGCGCGATCGTTTGTTTCAAGTAAGGCGGCACGCACTGTAGCGCTGTCAAATCTTTTTAAAATCAGATAGCAAACAGTGATGAAGTTATTGGCAACCACAAAGCAAAACGGTCAAAATTTGAATGCGGCTTATACGCCGCATGTCTCATGGAGTTGGCAATTTTAGCTTTCTAGTATCATATTGTTTAATTTGTTATACCTTTGCCTTGAAATTAAAAACACAAAATAAACACAGTTATTTTTGGAAAACGATATGTCGTCTATCGATATACATATATATATCACAGTTAATCAAATCTGCGTGGCCTGCCATCCTGATTTGCTTTTCTTAGCTACGGTTTTTTTACAACTATTTTTGAGCGGAAAGAATTGTTTTTATTCTCGGCCTTAAAATTTGGACGTCAGTCTTCCTGTAAAAAAAAGCCGATTTGCTATAACATTTTTCTATTTTCTTTTGTACAAAATGATTGAATATCTAAACAGTTCAACATTTTAATAGCGAAATGTGCATGCTTTGGTAACAGTAATATTTTTTTCTTTCATATTCCGTCAAATTTTGAACGATTATCGGAAGTAGAATTGTATGTTTATTTTTAGGATCTACTGTGCTGGGTGCAAAGCAGTGGAAACTGTATTTATGCATGTCGGTTTTAAGCAGGTTGGCAGCGCTTCCCAAAATACTAGTGAAATTCACTGGACGCTCTAGTGTGCAACATTATTTCTTGACCGAAATTCAACAAATAACCGATGTTCGGCCTAATAAAACCTATCACAGACAAGTTATTGGTGTATTAACAATAATTGTAAATCCAACTTAGGCGCCACCGCGGCGGTCACAATAGTTTGTACCTTGCCTACGGTAATCCAAAGCCGAGCGCCACAAATTTGCGCGTGCCGCTGTAATTGCAACCATTATATTTGGTTTAGGTGAGTTTTTACTTTTTGTATTTGTTTAATATTAATCAAAACCGTGGTCATACCAATGAAGATGGATATGCGGATACGTACACACATGCACACGCCAGTTGCTATGTTTCAGTTTCAGGCAAGCGATTCCCGCTTGTGTTGCTGTCATTGGTGTTGTGGTTGTGAAAACGCATTTGAGCAGCTACTTAGCTAATAATATTACAGCCTGGTTTATTTTTTGACGGTGGCCACAGCACCGTAGGCTTTACAGAATCGCGCAATTCCATACTGCCTCTGACTCTGTTGTCGTCTACGACGGCGCCATCACCAATAAAAAACGATCTTACTACCATGACTGACTACAGCGACTTGGATCGTCAAATCGAACAGCTAAAACGCTGTGAAATCATCAAGGAGAACGAGGTGAAAGCATTGTGCGCCAAGGCGCGTGAAATACTTGTCGAGGAGGGCAACGTGCAACGCGTGGACTCGCCAGTGACTGTGTGCGGTGACATACACGGTCAGTTCTACGATCTCAAAGAGCTATTTAAAGTTGGTGGTGACGTGCCCGAAAAGAACTATTTGTTTATGGGTGACTTTGTTGATCGCGGCTATTACAGCGTCGAAACATTCCTTTTGCTGCTTGCGCTTAAGGTGCGCTATCCTGACCGAATCACGCTGATACGCGGAAATCATGAATCTCGTCAGATAACACAGGTTTACGGATTCTACGACGAGTGTCTTCGCAAGTACGGTTCTACAGCCGTTTGGCGTTACTGCACCGAAATTTTCGACTACCTCAGCCTATCGGCTATAATCGATGGCAAGATATTTTGTGTGCACGGTGGCCTTTCACCATCCATACAGTATTTAGATCAGATACGCAGCATCGATCGCAAGCAGGAAGTGCCCCACGACGGCCCTATGTGCGATCTGTTATGGAGCGATCCGGAGGATCAGACCGGCTGGGGCGTCTCACCGCGCGGTGCCGGCTACTTATTTGGGTCTGATGTAGTCTCTCAGTTCAACCGCACCAACGATATTGACATGATCTGTCGAGCACATCAACTGGTTATGGAGGGCTTTAAATGGCATTTTAATGAAACAGTGCTGACAGTGTGGTCGGCGCCCAACTACTGCTATCGGTAAGGCACCCTACTTAGTGCTTTTTTTATCCTAGCGAAACGAAGAACTAATTATGAAACTTGCTATTTTGTAGTTGCGGCAATGTGGCAGCTATTTTGGAATTAAACGAGTACCTGCATCGTGATTTTGTCATATTTGAAGCTGCCCCACAGGAGAGTCGTGGGATACCATCGAAAAAACCGCAAGCCGACTATTTTCTATAAGCTAACATCTTAACAAGGCATCGACGATACATACAAATCGTTCAAATGCGCGCGCCTATTTCTTCATGATCGTGTAAACATGGCAATTCCATATCAACTTTTAAATCGCTGTAACTAGGCAGCATTAGACCTACCTACGTGTTTTTTGTATTCGTATTGTGGCAATAACTTCGTATTTATATACATACATACATAGTTACACACACAAATCTCACATAAAATTTTCTGCTCTGCGGAGTTTATTTTATAACTGTAATGTTTAAAAAATGCCTGCCTGTCTTAAGCAAAAAAAGTAATAAAATTAATAAAAAAGTAGGGAAAACCAACAATGACATGGTAAGACTTACATATTCTTCAAAAACAACATCAGTTCATTTTATTGATATTCTGTTAGTGGTGCAATCTTTTCCCAGCAGAACACAATTCCCCAAATCCAACAATAGATTTATAACAGCCAAGTTCTCAATTGCAATAAGGTTTTTTATATGGTATGTGTGTATGTATACTTATTCTGTACATAACAACATACTTTCAATATGGGGCTTAAAGACTAGCGAGCGCACATTTCAGCTCAACTGGGCGTAAAAAAATCGTGGGTCATATACATAAATTTACTACAAGGCGTTCACTAAACACCAACCTTCGATTTGGTATCCCATTCAATGCTCCTCCAGTGACAGGCCGTGCTCGTGTATATGTTCGTGTATGCATGCCTCGTAGGCGGAGGCTGCTTCGCAGCTGTGACCAGAAAAAGAGAGATAGATAAGGGAGAAGGAGAGGGGTAAAACGATTGGTGGTGGGCAGAAAGAATGGTCGGATTACAAAGTCTACTTACTGGTCCTCGGGAGTTTCAATCGCTTCGCACTTTTCGACGATATCAATCCTTGCGGCCTCCTTTTCGGCATCGTCATGACTCATGGCCTTCACCATTGCAATAGCTTGATCCTTGTCCAGTTTACCGGAATCATCCATCTGTGTATGTATTTACAATAGAAATATAGATGCGTGTTTCTTTTTTTTTTTTGAGGATTGCCTGAAATCACTTACAATGCCAATTTTTTTCATGACACAGGCTCGCAAGCACTTGGCTTCATGACTCTCCGCCATCTCGTGCTTCATTAGCTGGGAAACGTCGTCTGCGGGGTTTCACAACTGTAGTTCATTTTAGTAATCGCTTAAATACTCACCATCTGAAGCTCCCGTCTCCGCCTGACACTCGTGGGCCGCCTCTGCGGCATGCTCCTTGGTCAGCTCGCATTGTACGGAGCAAATAGCTGAAACGCCCAACAATAATATTAGCGATAGAGAAGTGAATCGCGACATGATTAACAAGCGCCTCTGTTAGTGACTTTGGGCCTGACACATGGCAGATTTACTTTATATAGACCCAATCTGGCCGCCTCTCCATTATTCTGTGATTTTGATTGACTTAAAAGATTGCGCTGCATTGGCATCGTCGACATCTCCGAGAACAAGTAGAAATATAATTGATGGCAATTATAGGCGAAATATGTATACATACGCGACGTTTGTCTAGGCATTAAATGTGCAACTGCAACTGAAATTGCACATATCTATGTATGTACATATGTATGAAAATAGGCAGTTGGCCGCGAGCTAATGCCCGCCGGAGATTCCCTCCGATGGGCCTCGTGTGAAAATTGTGCGACCAGTGGTGAAATACGCTCAGATTTGTTTACACTTTTCTTTTGTTAACAACTAATTGCATATTCACTTGATTATCGGTTAGCATGACTTCCAAATGCAATTAAACTGATCAAATTTTGTGAGTGACTGTTGGAAGGCAACAAACATATCCACACATACAAACAGCAGAGCTATTCTCGCCATGGCGCAACGACAACTTGCCTGAAATGGGTGAACATGAACGTACATATACATATGTAGAAGTTAAAGCTATAAAACTTTTTTATCGGCTTTGTAACTCTATTTAATATACTATATGCAGATTAGTTTTAATATTCCGTATCCGAGGACTGAACGGGTCTAAAATGTCTTAATATAGTACATACATATGTAACACGCAGCAGAAGCCGCGTTATAGACCTATTTTTTAGTATTAGTAAAACAAAAGCGTTTTGTACTAATGAGTTTTTACCTATTTCTCAATATATTCTAAAGATTGAAATCGGGGCGCTATACAAGTATATTATATTTGCCATAGCAACAATCGATGTAGAAATCGGTCCTATAACTAACCAAGGTATTTCTCTCTATTAATGTCTAATTATATTGTTTCATTTAATCCATTACTTATAAAAGTCGGTATGGGTCCAATTTTCAAAATTTACTTAGTTGTTTTTGGCAAAATATCAGTGCTTTATGCAAACTTATTATTCATAGTACCTTAAAGGTATATATGTACATTTTTAATCAGCATGACAAGTCGAGTCGATTTAGCCTTGCTTCTCCGTACGAAAACTTACATCTCAGAGACTACAAGAGATTAATTTGGCACAGATACCTTATATGTGTACGCTTTAATGCACCCCACTTCCCTTCTACAGGTGATTTTCCAAAACTTCGTTCGTATCTCGGAGACTTATGACATCAAATACCACCCCACATAGGCACAATTCCTATGTATGTAGCCTTTATGTAAGTTCGAATATCCAAGGAGGTTTAATAGATAAAAACAAGAGAGAACGCTACAGTCGAGCAAGCCCGACAGTGTAATACCCTGTACCCAGGTAAACTTCCGTCACTGAGTTATATGCGCCCATAGCAGCAGCAAAAAGAGGAAGAAGAAGAGCGAATTTGTTGCTGCAGTTTGGAGGGTTTGTACTGGCGAAAATTTGTTTCGCTAATATCTTTTCTTAGAATTGGCAGAATTGAATAAAATTTTAAACAACAGTAGATAATTATATATTAATTATGTGTGCAAAGTTTGGTTTAGGTAGCATTTGAAATTTGGACGCTATTGGCGAAATTCTGTAGCGGGGGAAGGGGGGGGGGGGGGGAATTGCAAAAATTAAAATAATCTCGTTCTTTCCCGGACCTAGGAGAATCTGGATGACAACTTTGGTTATACTAGCTTTTATAGTTTCTGAGATCCTTGCGTTCATCCAGACGGACAGACGGACGGACGGACATGTCTAGATCGATTTCTCTCGTCATGCTGATTCAGAACATATATACTCTATGGGGTCGGAGATGCTTCCTTCTGCATGTTACATACTTTGCACAAACCTAATATACCCTTTTTACCCTACGGGTACAGGGTATAAAAAGGTAATGTTACCTTGTATTTACATATTTTTGTTTTTCAATTTTTTTAAAATTCCTATAACTATTCTGTGTATACATATGTATGTATATACAGAGAATTACTAAGTCGGGACGCCCGTCTTAGCTTATCTGTAGTAATTGAGTACGATGTTATAAAGATCTCATTTAATCGTATTTGCAGTTATCAAGTTAACAAGTATTGTAAAATAGTAAGTAAGTAGTAAAAATGTAAGTGCCAATAGTTGCAGATTTGTTTTCAGCTCTAACTGCAGATGTATTTGCAGATTCCGAGGGGGGTTGTGTTGTTATTATTTGGGGAAAGATTTGCAATTTCGTATGTATGTATGTTCTTTGCTACCTGATAAAAATTAATGGAGTCCACAATTACTATCAATCGTATACAATTGCATTTGAAAGCTATATATGTATACATACATTAAGCAAACTTTTCCATTAATAATGACAAAACACAAAAGTATACTATGCGCACATTATTATGATCCTTATTTAATTGAGTTAATGGAAAAACTATGTTACCTTATGTGACCAATTTGTTGATAGTACATACTCTCAAGTAATTTTCTTAATTAATCGATTAGCTTTATTTAAAAACAATTTTTTAATTATGTGTTTAGTCAAGTAATTTATCTATGAGCTTGGTAAAAAGGGTCTATGGATAGGATACTTTGTTTAGCGCACTAAAGCTGTGGCGGCAATATCTTCATATAATTTGTTCATTATGAGTTCGCGTTGGTATTGCATATGTACACTGCCGCTCAACTGAATAGGTTCAAAGAATGCTGCTAAAATTTCGTGAAATATTTCAGCATGTACTGCACATACATTTTTTAAAATTTTACGTTGTGAACCTTTATTTGTTTATATTCAATATAGCATAAAAAAGTAACGCGATTTTTCAAACGGTTGTTCAGAATTTTTCTTTCGTCTTACATATACTAAACAAGTAAAAAAGCTAAAGTCGGGTGTCCCGACTTTGAAATACTCTGTACATATGTTTACAATAATTATAGAAAATAAAAAAATTAAGAAAATAAAAAAAAAATTTGATCGATTTTACCTCTCTCGGTATTCGAACTCACGTAAAGGGTGTATAATTGCACATTTACATAGCAATTGCGTCTGTGTGAGTGTATGTATGCCTATGCGCATCTATTCGTGTCTGTGTAAGCATTTTCGCAGTCAACCAAACAGCAACATCAACAACAGCCGCGGGCAGCGCTGCATCAGCAAATATATTTATGGCTATAACTTCTTGTTAAATCGGTCTATCATAATGAAATTTGGCATACGGACACATAATAACCAACTGGGGGTATTTCCAAAATTTTAGTTCGAAATTCCAAGAATTACGGGAGTTACGATTTGGATTTGAGGGGTAGAGGGGGGAGGGAGGGGAATTCCAAAATATACATTTTCTGCGTATTCACATAAGGCATCTGGGACTAAAATTTTGTGTTCCTAGGTCTTATAGTCTCCGAGATATAGGCGATTATACGAATGGAAAATCGGGAAAACCCCCATAGGGGGGAAGTGGGGGGGAAAATCAAAAAAATAAAACAAACTCGTATAGAATACACACATAACGCATCTTTGTGCAAAATTTGGTGTCTCTATCTCTTATAGTCTCTGAGATCCAGGTGTTCATACGGACGGACAGACGGACAGACAGACAGACAGGGCTAGATCGACTCGTCTCGTCATGCTGATCAAGAATATATATACTTTGTGGGGTCTGCCACGCCTCCTTCTGCCTGTTACATTTTTCAGCTCCCGCAAACCTAATATACTCTTGTACATTTCATGTACAGAGTATAAAAAGCCGCATATTTTTGGCTCATCAGAATAGGTTTAACTACTTCAGTTTTTGCTGAGGTAGTACTTTGTAATCGACCGTGGGAAGTAAAGGGTGCGAACTTTTTTTCTATTTTAAATTAGAAGTATTTACCGTTGTTTTTGTGATATGGGTCGTGGAAACAATTGAACAATTGAATGACTTTGAAAAGGGTCAAATAAAAGGTTATCTCAATTCCTGCCTAAATCAGCGCCAAATTGCATTAAAACTCGGAAGAAGTCAAAATGTTGGTGATTTTGTATGCAATGAAATAACTTACGGGAAAAATTTGAAAAGAGGGTCTCCGCATGTGACAACTCCAGCTGGCAGGAGACTCATCCATAGAACCGCCTCGAATTGCCAAGGTTCTGCGACCAAAAACAGGGAAGATTGCGCTGTTAGCGGAAGTTTAGTAACGATAAAATGCGTTATTCGGAATGTCAAGTATTTGAAGAGGTTAAAAATGAAAAGAAAACCACCACTCAATGAAAACACATGTCCTGGTATAAGCAATGGCAGAATGTAGTTTTTTCCAATGCCAATGCAGCGCAATCTTTTAAGTCATTAGTAAAACAAAAGCGTTTTGTACTGAGTTTTTACATATTTCTCAATATATTCTAAAGATTGAAATCGGGGCGCTATACAAGTATATTATATTTGCCATAGCAACAATCGATGTAGAAATCGGTCCTATAACTAACCAAGGTATTTCTCTCTATTAATGTCTAATTATATTGTTTCATTTAATCCATTACTTATAAAAGTCGATATGGGTCCAATTTTCAAAATTTACTTAGTTGTTTTTGGCAAAAAATCAGTGAATTGCAAAAAATAAAATAATCTCGTTCTTTCCAGGACCTAGGATAATCTGGATGCCAACTTTGGTTATACTAGCTTTTATAGTTTCTGAGATCCTTGCGTTCATCCAGAAGGACAGACGGACGGACGGACGGACATGTCTAGATCGATTTCTCTCGTCATGCTGATTCAGAATATATATACTTTATGGGGTCGGATATGCTTCCTTCTGCATGTTACATACTTTGCACAAACCCAATATACCCGTTTTACCCTACGGGTACTTTATTATTTGTTCTTTTATTTTTTATATTACTGAACCTATTCAGTTGAGCCAATACAATGAGACATTTTATGCTGTTTTTTTTTAAATTAAAAAAGAAACTGAAAAAAATGTCGTTGAAGCCCCAAACTGTGGTGTTCCAATAACAATAAACTACAAGTATTCTTTCTATAAAATTTTATTTGCTTCACAAGATATAACTGTTTTAACTTTTGAGAATCGTTGAACCTATTTAGTTGAGCGGCCGTGTATATATGTACATATGTATGTACATATGTATTTGTATGGGTTGGCCAATGCCAATTTGTAAGCCTAGGTTCAAGGGCCAGCCAGCTCAGCAAAATGTTCTCGTATGTCAGCAAAAAGGTCACCGGCTTGTTACCAAAAAGCCAGCGAAGCCAATATAAGCCCAACAACATAAGACTGCAGATCTTCAGAACAAGCCAGCAATCTGAAGATGTTGCATGTCACGTCACGTCTGCCAACAGCTGTCGCTGCCCTTACCTTCACCGTAACCATCGTAACGATTTGTATGCTGGCTAGCGTTGGGGGACAGACCCATTCCCAGAGCCAGCTTGACTTTGGCAATCTCTGGGAGGGGCTTTCTGGTCAAACGGCAGCTCAGCGCACATCAGCTCAGCTGCAGCAGAAAGTAAATGCGGTGAAAAGACGCTGCCTGGAAAGCCTTAACATGCCGCTAAGCTACATGCAGCAAACGTTGCTGACCGCTAGTAGTGCCACGCAGCAAGAGAAGTGTCTGATTGAGTGCATATTGAAGGGCGCCAAGTTGGTTAGTGACATCCTCAGCCTATTTCCCTGATCTAGTAGTTGTAATATCTAAGCCAAGACGTTCCCCGTCTCTCTCTCTCTCTCTCTCTCTTTTTGACAGATGAGCAACAATAACAAGCTGTCGACGCGCATGGTCAGCAAATTAGCCGGAATGGCGTCCAACGACAACGAGCTGATAATGGCGATAGCCATAGCCACGGCTGAGAACTGCAATCGACGAGTGGTGGCCACCGAACCCTGCGAGGCGGCCTTCCAAATAAACCGCTGTATTAGTCGAGAGATTAGGAACCATAAGATCAAATTGATGTACTAGGATGAGGATTAGGATCTGCATAGAGAGACCCTTCAATTTATTCCTATGTGCATATCGAGGAACCCTATTATTTTCACAACCACATAACACATTACATAAAATTTGTGGGCATATCTGTGCTTCAACAATAAACAATACGTACATACATACGTACATATTTATGTAAATATGTATGTATGTATGTCGAATTTAGGCATATGTATAAATATAATTTGTGCACTCGCTCTGATCAGTTGGGAGTCGTCTACTGCTTGATCTCAGGTATCTTATAACCAGCCTGTCGCATCTCGCGCAGCATGCACATGCTAATGCCGTGGGCCGCCTCGCATCTGCACAGATAAAGTGAGGCGGTACGTGATTAATATTTTCTTTACTTGAGATACGCTCGTTCCCCTTACTTGTCCAAAGCACCAGCGTTCTCTTGATTGCATGTTTGCGTTATGCGGCGTGCGTGATCTTTCTTGTCGGGGAACATCGTGTTCATCATGTCTACAGTGTTATCCTCATCGAATTGCATTTGACCCTCGGGCATCTCCAGAGACGAGACAGATGCAGAATCAATGCTCGTCGGGCACTCTAAATGCATACAATTTTAATACTCACCACCTCGAACTGCTTAAGCAAGCAATGTCTAAAACATTTGGTTTCCATTTTGGCATCCTCGCGGTTCTCTATCATCTCAATAATATGTTCTGGAGCAATGGAGAGGGCAATTGGTGAACTTAGGACACAGACAATCGCAGCTCTGCCACTCACCCCTTTCGGGCTGCTGATCACAACCCTTGGCGAAGGGTTCTACTATCTCCACAACCTCGTCTATGGTCATGGTTTCTTCAACATCTTCGTCAGCCCGAATTCCAATGATCGAGGAGTCGCTGAAAATTATACCCAGAACACTGACTACGACCATTAAGGCTCCCGTGCTAATGTGTTGGCTTGGGCTCGTGTTCGCCATTTGGTATGTAGTACAAGTATTTCAAATAATGATGTTCGTTCTGACTTCTATACGTATTTATATCGGCAGAATCCATGTTGATTGCATGTAGGTACGAGTACGTGTATTTTCTTTGCTTTGCAGCTATTTGTCGTGTGTGTTAACCATGCACTCGTTTGTATCAAACAAGATCTTTCATCTGATTCATGCACTAATTCAATGTTAGCTTGAATCAATATACATATATTTTTGTTTGCTCTATTCCCGCGATTTTCCACGATAAGTGAGACTAAACATGCAAACGGCTGCGACCAAGGTGATTCAACATCAACTATAAACGTGCTATAGTTGTTGTTGTTTTGTTGCTATAGGTTAAAATAACGTCTAATAATATCGTAAAATTATCAACATCCTGCCCTGCTAGACAGGATAATTTGACGCACTCTTCTTTGCATGCGAAATTTATTGCAACAAGTCGCGATTCATTAACACATACAGGTATTATATGTACTTAGCATTTTTCGTTTCAGACTTTTAAAAAACATTTTTGAATTGATATGAAACAATCCATGTACATTTGTTTGTAATTTAAAAATCTCTCCATCTAGTAACGACAGACTGCAATTTTAAATATTTCTGATATTAATATAGGTATAGTATAGAGAAATTCAAGTACAGTTCCTCCTAACGAAATTAACACAATGCAATAGTGCGAGTAACTCGAAGATACATAGAAATACCACTTTGTCACCAACTCTGCACTTGTGAACTTTTGTATTGTGCCCAAGAAACATACTACATACATATGTACTTTACTTTAACTTCAACATGGATATCTAATAGTTTAGAAGGAATACTCGTACGTCCTATATATTTAAATATACAGTATGTTAATTAAGAACATGCAGAGGATTTCTTGCGATTAGAATTCAGCCAACTACAAACACGTTTTTGCACCGTTAGCTAGAGCTTTTGTCTTCGCAGCTTTCATAAAAATATTGAATTCCATGTTGAGATTTTGATGTATTGACATGTGATTTGCAATGTATGCCCCGTTTCCTAAGCGTTTTGAGGTTATGTTCCTCTTTTATCACTGAAATGGTCTAAAAATCTCTCATGTAGCAGCTGTAAGGTATATAAGACAGGCAGAGAATTTTGTTTGAAGACTCAAAAAAGTCTATGTTCTTCCAAATCATGGGAAAACACTGAAGGCTTTAAAAAAGACGAAAAACTTATTTTGGACATATTTTGAAGGAATTGCAGCAAAAGGGATTTGATATATCTCTCATGACTATCCAGGAATATAACCGGCCAAATAATGTGAAATGGCGAAGCACAATGAAAAACCAATGCTGCCTAAAGAACACGTCGAAAAACGTCCCGCAGGGCAATTGAGAATTTTGACTGTGACTGGAGGATTTACCATCACAATCCCCGGATGTCATTCCAATTGAAAATGTTTGGACATTTATAAAGCATAGGTTTCAGGGAAAACGACGATTAGCTCTTCAGCAACTTTTCCGTCAAATTCGACAAATTTTGAAGTCACTTCCAATCGAATATGCCGAAAATTTGGTGGAAATCATGCTTCGCAGATGGTAACCGATTATGGACTCTGGATGTCATTGCATTAATACCAAGAACTATCCTACGGTGAGCTAAAGAAGGAAGGTTAATAAGGAGAAGTCTACTGGAGTAGGATGGTAATCGCACATTAGGATCCCAAATTAGGTCACGAAGAGCAAAAAGAAGAACTTGTTTTTTGACCGACTCAAGCGGTCTTGAAGCAATTATACTGAGGACACCAAATACATCAGCAGTGTTCTAGGGGTCGTTAAATTCTCTGGACCACCGTTTAATAAAACCAAGAACACCCTTAGTTTTGTTAACGATAGTGGAGATGTAAAGATTGAAATTCACTATGGGATCAAATAGAACTCCTAGATCTTCAACTGTAAATATACGTTGCGATGGGATATTGTCAATCGCATAAGTACATAGATATGGTCTGGACCGGTGAAAAGTCATAAATTTGCATTAAGTTAAGGTGCAGGTAGTTGACCAAGCACCACCGTTGAAAACAGTTTAGATCGTACTGCAGACGAGATTGATAAAGAGAGATTGATAAATTAGCTTTACACCATCGGCATACATTAGAATACTGGAATGCAGCAGAATAGACGGAAGGTCATTAATAAATAGAGTGAATAATAGGGGGCCAAGATGACTACCTTGAGGTACACCAGAAGTTACGAGAAGAGGTTCAGAAATATTCGACCTGAGTAGTACCGTCTGGGTCCTATTTTTAAGGTACGAGGAAGGCCAATCCTAAAAGTTTGAGGGAAATCCCATACAAGTTAGCTTCTGACCGATTTTTAAAAAATCCATGCTGAGCAGGGGAGATTACAGACTTATTATGATGCTTTAATTAAAAATAATTTGGGAATGGCAGAAGGTTTAGCAATGCCTCTATAGTTGGAAATGTCTCACTTACAGCCCTTCTTGTGGGGTGGTATAATAAACGATTCTTTTCAAGAAGCACGATAGATTCCGTTTCCAAGGCACAGATTAAAAAGCCAATGCAACGATTTGCAGAGGGAAGTACTACACTATTTGAGCATACCAAAGAGCCGAGAATGGAATAGCGCATCCAACTCTTACAAGTAAGTAGCCTGTACTCATTTTTACAAAAAAAACTTTGTACTATTTTCATAGCATTTTTTATTTGCATTTTCAACTAATTTAATGGAAATGGTAAAACAATAAGTAAGTATATAATTCGTACGTACAGACCTATGATTAAGCAGAGCTTCAATAGCATAGATTTATATCGGAATCGTGTCTATTTAACTCTTATAGGAGTTCTGCAAGACAGAGTTGAGCCAAAATAATATGAATACCAAGTTTGGCTATTTTATCTCTTACTATTTCTGAGATCCTTGCGTTCATACAGACGGACAGGTAGACAAGGCTATATATGTACACTCATCTAGTCGTACTTATCCAGAATAAACATACTTTTTGGGCTCTGCCACGCCTCCTTCTCACAAAACTAATATACGTTTTTACCATTTTGGTAGAGGGTATATAAAACAACCAAAATAGTTGACTAAACTAAGTGATAGGAACAATGAAAAAATTCACCATAAATTAAAGCTATAGAAAAATCCCAACAAAAAACGGTATCTACTATATGTGTAGGTGTGTCTAATAGCGGTCGCTCAGGGGAATACGAAAACCTTAATTTTTCCTTTTAGACAGATGAGCAAAGTGTATGCGGCATCGCAGTTATTCTTGATTCCTACTGCAGCATCTTTACAAAGATTTACACCCTGGCGGTATTCATCCTTGTAATTATCCGGCATCATTATATCCACCTGTTTGAGTGTCGATTCGTAAAGGAATTTACCCTTTTTAATCTACAGAAGAAAGATACGAGTAGGTCTTTAGCAATTGAACCCCACCCTCTGCCATTCCACGCACCGTTTGCATCATCTCCATTATGCAATTGACATAGCACTTGACATCTTTGTCGTCAGGAATCACGCCGTTTCGTATACCATCCGCAACTTCTTCGGTGATTTTCGGGAATTTCGGCAAGCACACCTGACGCATCATTTTACCTGCTGCATACATTTGTTCCTCGGTAGCCTGCAAGAGAACACATTGAAAGGAAAATCCTGCTGGAAATTATACGCTTAGACTATTCTTCTCGGAACATACACCCGCGCGACTCATTGGCATCCGGAGTAGCCACAGAGACACAGCAAAACAGACAGATAGCAACGTGTATTTCATTTTAGAACAGAAACAAAACAAAACTACCGGGATATTTGGAGCTGTCGCACATTTTTATACCTGATATCGCATGCAAATTACACGCATTGCTTCACAATTCAATATATGTAAATACATGCATGTCTAAATATGAGTGTACTCTAATTATATATCTATGAATTCTACTAAGAGGCTATGGGATCCAATTTCTGGAGCTACCGCCCCAAGTGCCACTTTCAATGCAGTTGTATTATCATGCTGAATAAATAGTATTTTCCTTTGAATCTAAATCAAATTATTGAGTGTGCATACTTTTTAACTACATATAATTTTAAGTTACATCTGTCGTAATGGAAATACTTTTGCACCTCAAAACAGCACGCAAATAAAAAATTTGAGTGTAGTATACACATATGTACATATGTATATACTTATGTATGTACCATATGCATGAGCCGGGCTAAAATTGTACCATTCTAATGATCCGATTTAGGCTTTCATTGATTTCAGAGTCCAATACGGATGTCCGACATTTTCAAAATAGGGCGGGCGTCGTATCAAAACAAATGCATACAAATGCATTTGCAGAAAAAGGATAGTATATTTATTTAACACATACAAATTTGTAACAAACATTTAAAAGGAAACAAAGTATTCCCCGAACAAAAAATATTTCTCACGATAAGGGGAATATTCGTAGTATGTCTGCTTCAATTAATATTCCTTTTCGTAGTTTGTAGTTATTTTTTAACAAGAAAGGAATGCTAAAGTCGAGCAGGCTCAACTCTTAAATACCCTGTACCACCCCACAAAAAAGTAATTAAATTAATTAAATTAAATTAATTAATTAATTTAATTTAATTAATTAACTAAATTAATTTAATTAATTAACTAAATTAAATATAAAATATTTCATGCATGCATAGATACATTTACATTTACATCAGAATCGTGCCTTATGCGTGTTTGAGTACTTGTACATATGTATGTATGTGTGCATTGGGCCTGGTTATATGGCTATAACTTTCTTTCTGATCATTCTTTCATAATGAAACTTGGTATACGGATATATAATTACTAACCTAATGTGACTACCAAATTTTAGTTCAAAATTCCAAGAATTACGGGAGTTATAGAAAATCTTGAATAGGGGGGGAGTGGGGGGGTGGATCAGAAAAAATGAACAAACTCGTCCTTTCTCGGTCTCAGGAGAATCTGTATACCAAGTTTGGTTATTCTAGCTCTTATACTTTCGGAGATCCTTGCGTTCATACAGACAGACAGACGGACAGACAGACGGACAGACGGTCAGACGGACAGACGGACAGACGGACATGGCTATATCGACTCGGCTTGTCATGCTGATCAAGAATATATATACTTTGTGGGGTCTACCAAGCCTCCTTCTGTGTGTTCCATGTGCACTCGCACAAAACTAATATACCCTTGTACCCTTTGGGTACAGGGTATAAAAAGAATGGAAAGCTATCTTCCAACCCAGGCCCAACCCTTTACTCACTACTACTGAAAGAACAAAATTTTATTAAATATGTTTAGTGGGTCTAAACTAAACTTTCCATATTTAGTTGTTGCACGCTCGGCCATATTCTGAAATACCTTAGAGGCAATCCTACGGAATTCAGGTAAGACTTTATCTACTTCAGTTTGATGGGAAGCCTCTGTTTGTCCCTACATCAAGGTCCGCTGCTGCTGCTCTTTCTGAGTGATGTTGTTCATGTTTCTCCGATAATCGTTGACTGTATAATATGTTTTTAATGCCGTCCGATTTCAATTTATAGTCCCTAGAATGTTGTGGTTGCTCAAATTTATTAGTAGCGCTGACCGCAGGTTTTGATTAAAATTTTAATTTTTTATGCGGGTACATACTATACAAGTATGATGAAAGAGTATTTTTTTTTTGGTGGGGACACATTTTTTTAACTTTAGTTTTTTTCCTAACCTTGCACATGTTTTTAAAATTTCTTAAAGTATGTAGTAATATTTAATTTTTCCTTATCTATAACATGTTTCATGTATGGTCATTATGTTCTGTTTCAAAAATACATTTCTTTATAGCCGGCATACATACATACATATGTACATTTTATTTATAATGTGTATTTACATATGTATATTGTGTTGAGGTAGCGACACTACATTCAGGTAATCCGGATCGGGAAATAGACGAGATGCTTTATACTTATCTCATCAAGTAATTAGTACGTTATTATATGCCCTCCTTCAACAGAAAGTGCAACGTGTTGGCATCGTCCAAATGTAAGTGCTAATACTTACTATAGTACTGAAAATGTTTGTGCTTCTCCACGTCTAAGAGCACAGACAATAGTTCTCTTTAATTTTCAGGCTTAGCATATACCTGCATTAGTGGAGGAGTTCTTCCACCCACCTTGACAAGTGCAAAATGTATCTTGTGGAGTGATTCTTTTCTGCTCACTACAACATTCAACGCAATAATAACAACTTTAAGCATAAATGTCCGCAATTATAGCTATTGAAACTTTAAACTCTCTAATAATCATATTTAACCCTTCGTATGTCTGAGATGCATATCTGCAACATACCGCTATTTTGATTTGATGTAGTTCTACACATTGTATTTTGAATGTATTTGATTTGGTTACACAGAAATAAACTAGTGAATTGAAATTATGATCGCTTTTGACGCCAATTTTGTGATTCGTGGGGTGAAGCAAATTAGAGGATTTTTATACTCTGTACATAAAATGTATAAGAGTATATAAGGTTTGCGGGAGCTGAAAATGTAACAGGCAGAAGGAGGCATGGCAGACCCGACAAAGTATATACATATATTCGATCTAGCCCTGTCTGTCTGCCTGTTCGTCTGTCCGTATGAACACCTGGATCTCAGAGACTATAAGAGCTAGAGACACCAAATTTTGCACAAAGATGCCTTATGTGTGTACGCTGTGCAATTTGTTTTACTTTTTTGATTTCCCCCCCCCCCCCCACTTCCCCCCTATGGGCGTTTTCCCGATTTCCCATTCGTATAATCGCCTATATCTCGAAGACTATAAGACCTAGGGACACCAAATTTTAGTCCCAGATGCCTTATGTGAATACGCAGAAAATGTATATTTTGGAATTCCCCTCCCTCCCCCCTCTACGCCGCAAATCGTAACTCCCGTAATTCTTGGAATTTCGAACTCAAACTTGGAAAATACCTCCATTTAGTTATTATAAGTCCAAATGCCATGTTTCATCATGATAGGCCGATTTAACAGGAAGTTATAGCCACATATGTACATAAGACCAAGTAGTGCCCGCAGCTGTTGTTGTTGTTACTGCTTTGCTCAGGCACTCGAGACATACACAGACACACACATACACGCATAATTATTCTACACATATGTACAGAGTATTTTAAAGTCGGGATACCCGAATTTAGCTTCTCTACTTGTTGTATTAAATTTTTATACTCTGTACATAAAATGTACAAGAGTATATTAGGTTTGCGAGAGCTGAAAATGTAACAGGCAGAAGGAGACGTGGCAGACCCCACAAAGTATATATATTCTTGATCACCATGATCCATGTCCATCTGTCCGTCCGCCTGTATGAACGTAAGGATGTCAAAAATTATAAGAGCAAGAATAACCAAACTTGGTATCTAGTTTTTATTTAATTTAATTTACTTACACCTATACTAACTTATTCTATATAGCTTCATTAAACATCCTTGTTCCTTGTAACGATGCCTTGTTATTGTCTCCAGGGAGTTGTTATAAGATCAAATCCAGCCCGAACGTTTTTTTAAAAGGCGAAACAAAGCAACCAACTGAAAAAAAAAACAGCATTCATTTTAGCTTCAAATCAAATTTCAACCTCTGAAATTCAACCGACTTATAGCCAAATCTAGCAATTCGATTCTTGGAAGCGATGGCCGATAATTTTAAATTTGAGGAGGCCTTTAACAGCCAAACTTTGCGTGGACGCGCCAACGTAAGTTGCTGTAAGAGCCTAATCCAAGTAGCGAAATAATGAAAGTTATTCTCGAACGCAGGTTGCCAAGGCCACCTGGGCCTCAGTTGGCCTTATCTATATGTTTGTAAAGTTGCATCGTCGTAGTGCCAAGCGTCGTGAGGAGCGTCTTTATTGCAGGAGCTGCCTAATGAAGATGCATCCCAAGCTTTAGATGACAAACCCACAGCGCGGTCAACAACCGCGGCACCAACAGCGAAGACGCTCTTTTGTTACATGCTGCCAAGTTATGAAGTTGCCAAATTTCTTGTATCTTACTGAGTTAAATAAATTCCATTCGTTTCGCTGCCACCGAAAAATGAGGAGGAGGGCAAATTCTGCTCTGTGTATGACTCTTATTTTGTATCTAGGAGCAGACGTCAAGTAGGCGCCCTTCTAGACTTCAAAGTCAGCACAACACAATTTCAAGCATACAGCAAACTTGCCCAGCTGGTAATTTCCTAGGAATACTAATACCCAGCTGAGGCGTGCGAGCGGCCGGGGAATCATGCGATGGCTGAGGGATTTAAAAAATATTTCAACAGCACCACAATAAACGGGCGTGCCAATGTGAGCAATTAGGCAGTTACCTTCTTCAGTAGCCAACCATATGCTTTTATTTCTGCAGGTCGCGAAAGCGACGTACGCTTCGATAACGCTCATTTACCTCTTCTACCGCATGCGACGCGGGTCTGGCAAGAATCCACCATCGGACAAAACGCAGCAACCGGCATGCAGTTGCGACAAGTCCAAAGATACAAATCCGAGACTGAGTGATGAGCCATATTCTGGTATCGAGGACCCAGATGCCGGAATCGATGAACCAGAGCCGGACTGTGCAGTGTGTCGTGAGCGTGCTGAGCGCGCTATGACCGAGTACGACGAGGAGCATCAACGCAGATCGGCCAAAGGGAAATCAAAGAACAATGGCTGCAATGGACGCGATGAGCCACCCACGCCCCCGCCGCCATCATCTTCGCCGCCGTCCTCGGGCTCAGGCACGCCTTCGCGGCGAAAGTGCCCGTGCGAAGATCCTCATCGGCGTGTGGATTCGACGGCCAAAATGAGTGCGCAGCTACAGCGTATTAGCATACCAGGACAAGAACAACAGCAAACTTGCCACAACATATCGGTGCCGTGTACGGAGCAGCCAACAGCCGTAGGCGACCTAATGGCCCAAGTACCCGAGGCGGTCTACCGAGTGCTGCGCAACGTCGTCGATGCCGTCCTTGGCAGCGCTGCAGTGACAACGGGTAGTGGCACAGCTCTCGGTGAGGCACCTGACGGTGCCGGCATTATTCCCGTGCATGACCATACGGCCATGAGTGCCTCTACCACCAACCCGCAAACACATGGGCAGCAATTCACCAAGCAACAAGAAAACGAGACGGCGGATTTCGAGGACAGTGGGCGGAGTAGCGATGAGCTACTCTATGAGCAGCACACGAGGGCCAACCGCTCTGTTAGCCCGGGTCCCCAGGTAGACCACACCCATAACCGTTACCGTTACTTCACCGATGGCTTCGCCTCAGATATGTTCTTCGAGAACTTTGAAGAGTAAGCCGAAGCTGCACCCGGAAAGTGAGATTGCCCCTGGCTTTACAAATTCCCAGTGTAAATAAGTCTTTTTATTTTTGATATAGGATCAAATTAAATCAGCAAAAGCTAGTTAAAATATTCATACGTATAAATTTGATCGTTTTGAACACCTCCTGGTGCCGTGGTCCTTGAATTCCAAGTTCTTATGTTTTCAAAGCCTTCATGCAAACAGCAGCCACAGCTAAATTGATTCATGTACTAATTTTAAAGAGTTTTAAAATAGTATATTTTTCGATAAAAAGCAATAGCGAATAGATATAACAACGACACTCATTTAAAATGTTCAAGTTCTACAAGAGCCCACAATTAAATAGATCACAACAGAATTATCAAACTCGACAATTTTTCACATGTTCATTAATAATAATTTATTATTTCAAATTCAATTTAATTGTACAATGTTTTTTGTTGTGTTTGTTTTTTTGCTTTACTCTTAGTCTGACGTACATCGTTTTGACAAAAACGACCACCATTATTACAAGTATATTATTGCATCTAACATTCGTATCAACCATAGAGGTTGTTCTTGGTTATCATAAGCTATGAGTAGTATAACTTCAACTAACATTCAATGGAATAATTGTAGTGCTTTGGTTTTATTTTAGCTTTTCCCGTCTTCCGACTCTATTGTTTCGTCAATCTCTCTCCCTCCTTCTTCGTCTTCTTCTCATCTTCAATTCAAATGCACACGGATTTTGACCGAAATTAACGCCAAAAGTGCAATTGTAAACGAAGAATTTTCTGTCAGCAGGCACTTTTAATTAAGCATTTAACGAGATTATTTATTTTCAAATGTGTATGCATGAATGTGAGAATGAATGCATACGTACTTGTTCGTATGTATGCTAAATATGTTTTAGATGCCGCAAAATAAAATGGATGGGTGGTTTGATGAATGGTGAATGTCTAGTCTTCAATGGCAATAACATTTCTATTCTAGATAACAGTTAGTCTTTTGTAAATAATGTAATGAGGGACATTTTTAAGTTCTAGAGATCCTGTTTGTTAAGCGGGTGCGAATTTAGGGGGCGCAAGTGGATTTTAACAAGTTTTACAAGTTGTTCGCTTATTTACTCCGTCGTCCTAAATAAAAAAAGTGCGTACGAATTCAGTTAAGTGCATATGTATGTTAAAATAGGGATGAATCCACCTTGTGCCAATGGTGATAAAATCATTTGTTTTTACGTACACATACGCATATACGATATTTCTATATGTGCATAAGTTTTATCGATGAATGTCAACTTGCCTAGGCTCGATTCCTGATTAGTAATTGCATCAAAGTAGTATCATTTAAAGCTTCCTGCTAATCGTTCTCAATGACACCGAAAACTTAAATTTAAGAACAGGAAATAATGTTACAGTCGGGTTAGTCCGACAGTAAAGTTACCCTGTACTCAAACAAGCTTCCACCGACTTGTAATATGTGTTCCTACATCGACATAGTACTAGAGTATAATCGTAAATATTGTAAATTGAAAACAAATGAACATAAATCATGTTGCCTAGGGACTAGGGGTGTATAAACCAAGTTTAGACAATGAAGGCTCATCCGTTTCTTACATAGAGGCGTTCATCCAGACAGACAGACGCACTGACGGACATGTCTAGATCAATTTGTTTCGTCATACTGATTATGCATATATGTACACATGGGGTCGGAAATGCTTCCTTCTTTCTGTTGCATACTTTGCACAAACGTAATGTACATTTTTTAGCCTTTGGGTACAGGGTTTTATCCACATTAATCGATGCGTGTTATGGTCGGTTCGAGTATGAATATATATCATCGCTTAACCATCATGGCTAACAACGGACTCTAGATCGCTATTGTCTTCACTGCCTGTTGCCTCGGTGGGTTCGCCCATGGCCACTCGTGCGTATTCGTCTGTATCAATGCTTTTGCAAAAATGTATTGCATACTTGAGTTTTTCGAGAAGTACAGCCTGTGGGAAGCAAACCATTAGTAAAGTTGTGACCCTAAATGATATATAAGCTTGAATTACCTTGCAAGAGTAGCGCGGCATTTTTAACAAAAAGAAGCACGTATAACTTTCTGGTAAGAAATGATCAGGAGGGTTCTTTTCCAATACTTGCAACACAAAATCGCGTCCACGGAAATCAGCTATTGTTCGCGGCAGTCGCGTACGACCCCATACAAAACGCAGAAAGAGCGATCGTTCCTATAACAAAAATTTCATGGGAATTCTTAATATATTGAGATCAAAAGAATCGTCATAGGTCTCACCTGATTGGTAAATTCCTCCATAACCTCCCAAAACCAAGAGACTAGCGCTGAATTTGGATCGAATCCTTTGTATGTGGCTACCGACTTAAGCAGGCCTAGTGGAATATCTGGGGAGCCGCAGACCATGGCCTGCAACTCAACGGCGGAAAATAATGATAGGAGCGGAACGGGTATGACTTTCGACATGCCATCACGCACTGCTTTAACTTGTTCATCAAACTCGTGCAGGCGAAAATTAAGTGCAAGACGCACATATTCTGCTCGGTTTTTGGGAGAGATGTGGGTGTAACGTGTGGACAGCGGTACCTCGTGGCCGCGAGCCGACGATGTCGAGAATGGCAGCTCCAAAGTGTTAAAAACTTTTGGGTCATCATCCATATTCCGTATACAGAGGAGGCCTGCTACATAGTCACGATCTACCTCTGTGAGATCGGTTGGACGTAGTGCCTCGCCAGTCAATTGACGCCAAACTGGCTCAGCAAGGCTAGAAGTCGTTGGTAAGAAATACATATTTAGCTTCGCAGAGTGGAAAAAGATTATACCCTTGCAAATGTTTTTTTTTGTTTTTTGCATTTTTTTTATATAAGTATATATTGTAAACAATAACAAAAAAAACTTGCAGCTTCAGAAGGAATGAAGCAATTACAGTTTATTTATCAAAAAGGCCGACCGATGTAGTTGTTAATATATCCGGCTAGTTACAATACAAGTTTGCTTGCACGATTAAGATGGACAGACAGATGGACTTGACTACAATGATGCTGATAAAAATCTATTTTTGGGGCCTGCCAAGTTCCCCGTCAATAAATATCAGACAAAATTCTGTGCAAGGGTATAAGCATGGTCTATTAAAATCTAAAGATATATATACTCACTTTAAGCTCAATGGTGAACCAGTGCGTACTGCAATACCCATAAGGACGCCAAGGAATCGAAACATGTTCATTTGTAGCACCGATGTTAGTGTGGGATCAAGCAGAAAGCAATCCCGATTAGCTCCGGCTTCGCCACGCCCATTAGGTGTGTTTATAAGCAATGGAACGCTGCCATTCTGAAGTTCGTCGCACATTTCAGCAATGGACTCGCTGTAGCCGCCTCCACAATCGTCGACACTTTCGCCGACGAACTTCACCTTCCACACACGATGTGGTAGCGAAAGGGCCTCCTGCGTGAGCAACGGCAGTTTTTGAACCATCTGCCCGAAGACGCTTTTCATGCCATCTACGCCGGCCAATCCATTGCACTTGTTGCGTGAGCGTTTAACTTGAATACGGTTTAGCTCGATGACCGGGCCATGCTGCTTATCACGCACCATAGTGGTCTGAATTACCTTTCGGAAGGCCGCCTCTTTAATGTTATAGACAAGCACGTCCTTCAGAGCGCCTAGGCTGAGATCGCCTGTAATAGGCAGCATTGCAAGACAGGGACACAACAGTTCCGAAAAATGGTGTAATAGTATCAGGCGGGCATGTAATGCTTCCGGAGGCAAGTCACGCACTAGATCATACTCTAGGGGTGGATTGGGCAGTGGGCGTAGTCGCTCCGTAAGCTGTGACGTAGACAGCGCAAGAGTATGGGCCGACCCGCAGGTTACTTTAACAATGTGTTTACCTTGTAGTGCTGTGACTAACCGTGGACGCTGTATGGCAGTTACAGTACCGTCGCCGAGCTGACCTTCATCGTTATCACCCCATGTGTAAACCTCGCCACTGTCGCTACATGCGACACAATGTAGCGATCCTGTGGCAATCGAGATAATTTTTTTCCCCTGCAATGCGGCCACTTTTTTAGGTCTGCGCACGTGATCTACGGAACCATGGCCCAAGCGATGGAAGTCGCCCTTGCCCCATGTATAGACAGCGCCAGATTTAGTCAACGCTACAGAGAATTGCGATCCGCATTCCACCTTGACAACACCGAGGCCAGCCAGACTTTCAATTTTAAAGGGAACTTTGCAGCCGTCGGAGCCGCCGCGGCCTAGTTTTCCATAGTCGCCGTCACCCCAGCTCCATACGTTATCGTCGTCGGTGATGCACAGCGTTTGAGCATCTCCAGATCCACAGGCGATGTCGATGGCCCGATAACCCAATAGGGCCTCGACTAACTTTGGTCGCAGTTGATCTTCAGAGTCTCCGTGACCTAAGCGCCCGTATCGTCCCTTGCCCCATGTCAGTACGTGGCCCGATGCTGTGATAGCGGCTGAGTGTGCGCTGCCACAGGCAATGTCAGCAACACTCATACCATTCAGATCCTCCACTAGTTTGGGCCTATCGTAGCTCATTCGGTTTCCGTGACCGAGTTTACCATCCTCACCTTCGCCCCATGCATACACTTCACCTTCCGTTGTCAGGGCTAGGCAATGCTTGCCACCTGAATTAACGGCAACCTTCTTGATAAAGACGTGCTGCAATGAGCCCACTAGAGTAGGAATGGCCCAAGAGTCTGTGCCACCGACTCCCAGACGGCCGCCGGAACCATAGCCCGTAGCGAATAACTTTCCATCCGGTGTAACAGCAAATAACGATTGCTCCCCACCAGCCAGCTGTACGGGTCGTAGCAGGCTAAGCGCCTCGCATGGCGTAGGTGTTTTAATGCGGCTGCCCTCTAGGCCTCCCAGTTGCCCGCGGTGGTTGTGACCCCATCCGTATATGGTGCTAGCCCCACCCCATGAAAGCGCCCAGTCATCGGGACGACGGTTCAGCCACTGCAACAGCTGTGCATCGTGTTGTTCCTTGAAAAGTGAGTGGTCCTCGTGCAAGCATTGGAGTTGTTCGTTGTATGGTAGCATGTAGTTAAGGACACTACTGTTCAGGGAGGCGGATGCCGAGGCAGAGCCTTCTTGTGCCCGCAGAACTATCACTGCATCGATGTACTGACTAAGGTGTCCCAACGATGGCTGTGGAGGGGGTGGTGGTGTGACGTTGCTGGTTGTGCTAGAAGACAGCGATGTGGTAGAATTCATCAGCGAAGCACCAGGCGACTGCGATGGCGGCACTGGCGGCAGCATTTCGGCAAACTTTTTGCGCACCTCCAGGCAAAAGCTCTTTGGTAGCTCTGTGCGCCGAATTAGCGATTGCGCTACACGTACAGCGATACAATAACGTTTGAACCATGCCCATTTGTGTACATCGCCAGGGGGCAACATAGCATCTATTTGCATATCGCAGGCGAGCGCTGCAAGCGTCTTGAAGTAATCTGAGTGCATCAAATGTATGCCACCCCGTACCTGTGGCTCCTCATACTCGTACTGCCGTAACAGCTCTGGGATAAGTGGCACTACAATGGCGGTCAGCGTTGGGTCGTGCGGTCGCGGTGCATGCTCCAGCAGAAGAACAGCATGCAGCTTTTTTAAAGCCCAAATGCGTTGAGCCGTAGTTAGTGCGCTCAACTGAGCACAGGTGGCTAGAGCTGCAGCCAATCGTAAAAGCACGCCAGTCTCCTGAGGTCCTAGGCGCGCATCTAGCAACGCCATCACTAACGGCATAGACGGCTGTGATAGCACGGCTCGATCCGAACCACTTTCGCTCAACGTCGAGGCAGGCATGATGGCGTGCACCCAAAAGCGCCAACCCCAGCCATTTACTGAGCTATCCGACGAAAATTTCCAGCGCAACTCGTCTCCAGTAATACGTATCTCGGGCGCCCAGTGCGAGAATTCGCGACCGGAGCGCATGGCAACGACGCGACCGGCACCATCCATTATAACAAGCGGATCGTTTCGCTTTTCCGTGGAGCATTGGCTATCAAATTCAAGACGAAGCATGTCTGCACCTGGAATTCGCACTACGCCTGTCACATTCACATTGTCGACGTAAGGGTGGCTACTCTCCTGCATAACGGGTTTGGGAACCTTACCCAGACAATGGCGCGAAGTGCATAGATCCTCCAATTCGGTTATGCACGTCTCCAATAACATGGCACCGATAGTCGGCGTGCCAGCTCCTAGTAAGATGAGGGTCTCGGCGATAGTCTGGACGGTACTCATCGGACCAGTGCGTCCGCATACGGCAAGCTTGAGGAGATCCACCAAAGTTTTGGCTTCAGCCTCACCAAGAAGGGAGGTAAAGTCATCCAATCCAGCGATGCTGCTTATAGGTGCCATCATGTCCTCTTGCTGCGTCATGGTAGCGGCCATTACTGACATAGCGCTAGCAGACATACGGGAATGCTTGTGAGGCATCGCACTACTAGACAGTGATGTAGACATAGAAAGCGAACCGGTAAGGCTCTGGAATGCGCTGAGGGGGCATGTTGACGGCGGTGGCGGAATTGCGGTATCCAGCCCGTCGGGACTGACCTCCTGCAGAGCAGGATCAGTTGCATCAGCTGGCGCCTCTCCACCACCTTGAGCAATCATCTCGCCAGTGGGAGCTACCAGCTCCTTTAACGATCCTACCGCAGTTGTGGATGCGTGATCGACTTCAAACTCGTGCGTCTGCTTCTCGTTGTAGTTGACCTTACTGTGGCTAGTTAGGGCAGCGACTATCAGCTGACGCGCCTGTAGGATGCTCATAGCTTTTAAAACATAGTTCAGCGCCGTCTGCCGCGCTGCCGGCGTTTCTAATACCAAACTTTCACTGAGACTGGTGATTGTCCCGTGTGTAGATTTGGAATCTGATTTACATCCTGTAGTAGCTAAGCCACCCGAACCGAGTGGCTCTGCTTCATAGATAGCTAGACTACTACCACCCAAGGGATCACGTGTTGTGGTAAAAGGCACGGGTCCACGCTTTTCGTCGTCCAGTGTTGCGTTTGGTAAGCCCCATGCAATCGAATGCGAGCTTCCACAAGCCACACGATTTACAAAGACCGCATCCAGACCGATAACCAAAGCCGGCTTCTTGTTAACAAACGTGTTTCCGGAGCCCTGTTGACCGTGGTCATTGTCACCCCATGCAAATACTTGACCTGCATCAGTGACGGCAAGGCAATGTAGAGCCCCAACGGCTACATGTATGACGCGTCGACCACGCAGACCAGCAATTGGCTGTGGTTTTCGCACGTGTTGATCTCCGCCATGTCCTAGACGGTAGTAGTCGCCTTTGCCCCAGGTCCACACCTCGCCGGCACGGGTAAGCGCTAAGCTGAATTGGGCACCACATTCGATCTGAATAACTCCAATACCTGTCAGGCGCTCAATCTCGTGGGGAGTTGCTGATCCTTCGGAGCCACCGCGGCCTAGCTTTCCAAAATCACCATCACCCCAGCTAAACACTGCGCCATCTTCGGTGAGTGCCAGTGTTTGCGCATCGCGGCTGCCGCAGGCCACTTGAATGACTCGTCTGCCTACAAGCGCCGTGACCAGCTTGGGTTTCAGCTGCGTTCCATTATCACCATGGCCTAACCTGCCATACTCGCCCAAGCCCCAGGTGTAAAGTTCACCCAGCGAAGTAATGGCTGCACTATGCGAAGAGCCGCAAGCAATGTCGCGTACCTTTTTGGAACGCAAGGCCTCTATTAAGCGCGGTTTGTCGATTGTGGTGCGATTGCCATGACCTAGTTTACCATCTTCGCCTTCACCCCAACTGAAAACTTTTCCGTCCAGGGTTAGAGCCAAAGCGTGCTTTCCACCCGAATGTACAGCCACCTTTTTAACTACATATTGATGCAGCACGTGCAGCTGGTGGGGCATGGAGACGTTGTGGGTGACGCCAAGACCTAATCGGCCGTTGGTTCCTTCACCACAGGCGTATACTTTTCCATCTTGTGATACCACGAACAACGACTTTGAGCCTCCAGCTATATGAATGGGACGCAATCGGCTGATGGTCTGTGAGAAGGTAGGTACTTTGACCTTGGAACCCTTTAGACCACCCAACTGCTCCTTGTCGTTTAGGCCCCAAACCATGACAGTGCAGGGAAGTTCGTTTTGAGGTGTACTTCTTGCATCAGGAGATACGCATCCATCAGCGCTAGGACCAACGCTGGCAAGGCCGGTGTACTCACAAGCCAAAAACTGCGCATTTGTCAGCATATGATCCAGATCCGGTTGCTGGCGACGTCCTACGATTTCTAGACCGTGAACTTTGCATTGAATACCGTTGTTTTGACATTGCTTGATGACGATCTCGATCCAAGGAAAGTAGTGGCGCACATCCTGCATAAGGAGTACGCTGGTAGCAGTTGATTTAATAGGTATCCATGTGTATTCCTTTAGACTATCTACGCACTCACCAACGCGAACTTCTACTAACGAAGGCATGTGCGAGTGATCCTCTGGGCTTACTCGAAGTGTAAGGCGATGGACAAGTACGTGGTCATGCATTTCAAGGCGTATCCAGTGCTTGCACTGTCCGCTAGAGGAGCTTTGCCATACCTGAACGCTTCCATCCAAAAGATGTTTAGCGGCAGCCTCATTAGAACTCACGCTTAAGGCTCGTATGCAGCGCGACCAGTCGTCAATAAGGTCATTTGGCATCGGCTGAGAGCTTTGCGGCAGTTGAGTATCTGATGTCATTGCCGAGGTAAACGCGGGAACGCTTACGAGCTCCACGTCGTTGATATGGCCCTGCCAACCTGGCATCTCCAAAAAATCAACAGTCACCTCTTTACCTTTGACGGCGGTGACATACCCAGTACTGCGGCCAATGCGCATATGCATCGACCAGATAAAGCGACAGGAGGGGCGAAGACGAACGCGCGCTCCCACACCGATGTGCGGAGGACGAGGCTGAGTAGTAGCTTGTTGGTCATGCGAAAACTCCACCAACTCAATGTGTACAAAGCAAACCCAGTAGGTACTACCGTGATTACGCCAGTCCACTTGCACGTTGAGATCATGTAAGCCCTCCGTATCTACAATAAGAACGGTGCCCATATCGCCTTTCTTTATCTCCTCGAAGTCACGGCAGCAGCGCACCGTCATTCCCGGGCAGACAAGGCCGCGCACGTAAAGCGCATATTGATCCGCCGTCTGAAAGTCCTTTCTAGTCTCAAATTTGATGGGGGCGTTGTCCGGTGCTGGTGTGGGTCCTGGTACGGTTGCAATTGTGTTTGGAGATAGTTCAGTGTCCTGCAGGGAGGAGCCCTCAACAGTATCCGAGGAAGTGCTGCTTGATAGACATTCATTGTCTGAATCGCCGTCTGCGTCCCGCTTACCAGTCCCTGTGGGCTTTTCGGTGTCGTTGGTATCGTGAAAATCACTTGGCTCCTCAATGGTATTGGCGCACACATCCGGATGCTCCAAAATCCACTGAACTATTTGCTCAGGAGTAGGAATGGTTTCGGGGTGCAATGAAAGTTGTTTTAACGCCAGCTCCACTGACTTACGTGTAAAACCCATTTCCATTATTTGTCCAATAAGCTGTGCATCAGTAGCTAATGCCCGGTGTTCATTGATATGTTCCGGTGCAATAGCACTACTAACCGTTGAGGCGGAATTTAAGTTAGCAATATTATACACGGGAACACCATGTACCATCGTGGGCTGCGCTGGTATCGACATGCAGGGCTGAATTCCACTTCCACCTCCTTCACTAAGTTCCAAATGTGTTTGGCAGGCCAACGACTGCACGCAATTCAAAGCTGCTGTAGCCAAATCCGTATAACTGTAGCAGGCCTTTACTGGTGATGGCTGCGTAGCACGCAACAGAATGCATTGGATGAGCAGCTCCAGATCATTGTTTTGATCCAGTTTTGATACTATCTCAGTTGATGTTGTTCTTGTCTTGTTCTTGGTCGCTGCACTGGTACCGGGCTGATCGGCCACCGTTGCAACATTGGCCTCCTCCTCCGAACCACTGCCATCGGTGTTATAAGCTGTCTGAAAAATACCAGGAGCACGCTGTTTAAGGATCTTTCGAAGCGCTGCCTGATGTCGATAGAGAACACTGTTGGTGTTGAGCACGGCCAGATGAAGCTGTTGAGCGCGAAGCAGTGCTAGATCAATGTGTGCCTCAGGCGTAGAATTCGCCTCCTTGGCATCGCCAGGCGGACCATAGAGTAGCACTGTCCATGCGTTTAGCAGCATTTCATTCATTGGTAGACGTGTTAGACTAAACACACTGTAGTCAATATTTGGTAGAAGCGATGACAGAGCCACTTTGACAAAATGGCCGCCAGCTGGACCGCTTAGATTGTTGTGAGCGAGCAGACAGCGGCCTCGTGTAGTGAAGCTGGATATAGTCATGTGATTCCCTTCATGAAAGCAGTTAAGGCCAACGCGTGGTCGCAAATCGTAGCCACCGATTGTGCTTAGCACACCCAACACGAAGACATGATCGTTGTCCAGCAGTAGCTGGACGTGGTGCTGGTTCGGTTTTTGAGTCTGTTGGGGTCGAGCTGGTGGCGAATCCTCTCCGAAGAGTTCGGCAGCCACACATAGTTTTTGGGCAAGAAAGGAGTTAATAACGGAATTCCAATGAGGCAAAGTGTGCAGCCGTCGCAGTAGGGTAACTATTTCTTCGGCCACGGTTCCAGAGTGTGAGGCAGTGAGCACAACTCGTGCTTTACCCTCATGTGGCTGCAGAGTTGTATCGTGAGGACAATGCAAAGCAAGCCTTCCTAAAGTAGCGAAAAGCTGGCGCACAAGCGCTCCCATATGCTGCTGTTGATGCGACCAGTGCACAAGTGCGCACTGCAGCAGGCGCACGCAGTGGATTTGACGAAAGACAAGTTGCTCGCTTGTAGCGGGCTGTTCTAAGAGATCAATGTAATACGTCAACCAGCTCGGTGAGCTCATGTAGGTGGACAATGTGCGGCAGTCACCTACGAAGGCAAAAAAAACAAAAGAAAACCTTTTAGGTTGATGAAAATAAACTAGGCCTACAAACAACACTTTTACACAAATGGGTATTGTGTGTTTGATTTATAGCTATTCAAAGATTAGGGCAATTTTGTTTGCAATTTTGGTCCTTGTTTATTATTTACTTAATCTAAAGCGCAGTACGTTTGTATAGATAGTTGTGACTCACCTGCAATGGCACGTACGAAGCCTAGATTAAGCCAACTAACGCAGTGAGATGTAAGAGCCAATGCCGGCTTGGGATCGAGTATGGTGCGAAACATACTAGTGACACCGCGCACTGCGTGCTTGTCCATGCGTTCGCTATGCAGACCCGTACCAACGGCTACGATCTGTAACAACTTAGAGGCGCAGTAGCGAAGCAGCTTTGTGGGATGGGATTCACTAGTAGGCGGTGGCTCGCAGCAATGTATCTCGTCATGCTCCGGCTCTGTAGGCGAAACGATGTTAAGCGCACTGTCGGCTAATTGCAGATCGTACTGTCCTTCTTTGCCCATACGGTACGAATTGGTCGCGCCAGTATACCATTCCACACGCACCCAGCTATAACAGAATATCAGAATAATTCGAGGAACTGATTAACGATAGCGTTGACACTTACCCATCTTCGCCCACCTCACTTATGATACGACCCTCGCCAGGAGGATTTCCATCCTGGTCACCCCACTTCCAGTCGGCGCCACGCACAATGCGTGTGCCGATTTTCATAAGTTTAGCCAGCTCCGGACCGCTAAGGTGTGCCTTGCTTGACTTCTGCTTCAGCATGGTGTCCTCGTAGAGTACAGTAAGCTCAAAAGGTGAGCGTGCTGCAATGCCCTCGCCGCCGGTTTGTGCCAGTAGCCCTAGCACGGTACCTAAAAGTCCTGAGTTGATGAGCAGACTCAGCTCGTTAGCACCCTGCTCCTTGGCCAACAATCCAAACACGCTCAGCAAAAAACGTGCGCGCGGTAGCTTCTTAAGTAGCACGTAGGCGCTTAGGTTGCAGCTATCTTTTCCGCGTAGTGGCAGCTGCTCCTCATTTACGAGTCGTCGCAGCTCACGCACTGCCCACTCTATGATGCGCGACTGGGCCAAAAGTAAATTAGCCTTCTGATAGGCTGTGATCATGTTTAGCTGTTTGAGAACATGCATTGTATGAGCACCAACGCCGCCACTATTTTTCAAATGTAGTCCCAGAAAGCCATTAAGTAGGTTGTATTGAGGTGCGTCAAGGAGGCCATGCACCTCGAGCAACTGCTGAAACAACTGTAGGCCGCCGAGGCGCAACTGGTAGCGCTGCATCTGGCAATACATAGCACGACGTACAGTTTCCACATCACAGCTGTCCTGCATGGCAAAGTCCACGATATCGTGCATCAATGATGCGTTTAGTTCACCATCAAAATGGAGTTTCTCATTGATGCGGCGCAACAGGCGTGCTGAAGACTCATCCATTTCCGCCTCGTTTTCTGGCTTCTTCTCATCCTGCTCATGCTCGTAAAAAATATCATTGCTGGACTTTAATACGTGCTCTGTGGTAGCTGAGGGAGGGAGTGCCATGGGAGTCGCTGTTGTTAGATCTGTTGTTAGCTCGAGGCCGTTAACCGGTAAAAGTTCTAATGACTCTTGCTTGACCATATGCTGCTGCTGCTGGCTCTGGATTGTAACGTTGAGAATGTCTTCGGGCTTGGCGCAGGCCAGCTGCTTCTTGACGGCACGCATCTCAACCAGCAGTCGGCGTACCAGGTGTTTGAAGCGCGGCAGTCGGTGCAGTAGCGGTAATCGTTGTAAGCCACGTTGCTGGGAGCTAACTGTCGGCCGCACTTCGTAGAGCAAAAAACGCAGGCGCTCAATAATTGGCGCGCAAACCTCTTTGTAACTGCGGTTCAGCTGCTGGCGTGTGCGTACTACAGACCATTTAGACTGGTAGACGAGTCGAATAATCTCAGAAAGTTGTTTGGGCGGCTGTGACTGCATATTAGCCTCCAATGTGTTGACTACCAGTCCACCAAGGCATTGGTGGCGTATAAGCACTGCAGTCAGTAATCGCTCCAACTCTTGCACAGGATGCTCTGTGGGGAACTCCTGATGCCACATAAGGTTGTGCTCCTTGCAGTAACGCTCGGCAAGCGCCGTCCAGGCGGCAACAAGCATATCTCCTAATCGCGCTTCGGCCAATCCACCAATGAAATTGTCGACGCGCTGCTGAAGCTGAGAGCGAACAGGACGTACTGGCGGTTGCTGCAACGGCGTTGGCGGTGGTTCGTGGCCAGTAGGTGTATTTCCGGCTGTGCTATGGCTACTGCGAGCGTCTCCTTTTTCTTCGTCAAAGGGATTGCTTGGTTGCAGCAGCAGCAGCCCACCGCTGAGTATCGATGATTTATTTAGCTGTTTACACTGAAGCTCCGCCGGTTGCAAGGCCGGTCCAGTTATCATGAGATTTGCGGTTACACCCAATAGATGAGCCAATGCACACTCCGAGTTGAAATGGGTAAGAGAGAGACCCGATGAAGGCGGGTGCTGAGAGGACAAAAATATGAAAGCAGGTGGATAGGGTTTGAACTTATAGTGACTTACCTTTTCTTCGCTAGTAGCGTTTGCATATTTGCCTAGCTTATGATTCTGTAGTATGTGTTCCATAATGCAGCGCGTGGCAGGCGCGCTTAGATCGGCGGTCAGGTCCTTGCCTATACCTGCTGCCAGTAGCTCCTGCAAGCCCTGGGATTCATTTCTATAGTGCAGCATCATTTAATAGATAGAATTATGGTTTTGAGTTCACTATTCATAAGTACACTTTTACAGATATTTTAGCCCTTTTCCTAAAACCAAAAACTTTGAGGGATCATTGAACATTTACAAATTAAAACATGTCGAATGCTACATCCGCGCACCCGGCTCTTATATACCTTGTACTCATCTACCCCGTTTTTATATACCCTGTACTCATTGCTACATTTTTAACTTTGCACAAACCTAAATCGTTGCCCCCTACAAAAAATGTTACCATATAAAGTCGACCACACATTCACTATTTGTTGAAGCATAAATTATTATTTAAACGCATCGCGTATTATTTAATTCAAATTTTTGTTCGCGACCCCTTTGATAAAAGCTGCGTACGCACTTTTGTATATAACATACATATGTTGATTTGTATGTATAAGTGTATTGACTTCACCAAAAAACACCATAATAAGCATAAGAACAATGTAATCAAAGATGATTGTCAGTCCCATAAAACTTTCTTAATGTACATATGTACGTCATCTGTGTGCGAATTATTTAGAACGGTTCTCCACTCAAAATTTATTATATTTGTAAAGCTCTTTGTATCATATTTCAATGTATCTTTGTTGGTTGTTATTAAAAATGATAAACAAATTTAAATCAGTAAATGCAAATTTAAATCCATTTAGTATATATTTTAAAAAATTATAAAAAGATTAAAAAAAACGCTACAGTCGAGCCAGTCCGACAGTAAAATACCCTGTATTCCCACTTCTGACAGACGGACGTGGCTATATTGTCATACTGATAATAATATAAATATATACATTCAGGTGTCTACCACGCCTTCTACTGTGTGTTACATACATCAGCACTAAACTAGCCTTTTACCTTTTTTTTACAGGGTATAAATATAAATGCTACTTACACATATCCTGTAAGATCGCACACATAGCCACCAAGTATCACACAGCGCCCTCCGTCGATCAACTGATTTTCGAGATCTGTACGACGTACATATTGCATTTCGGATTCAGTTGCTGGTATGTTGCCGGTCGCACCGCCCTTGGGGCCACCGCGACATATAATGCCTGGCCAGCCCATATCGTCACCATCTCGGAGCTCGCTCTCGCACAGGACATGGTTCAGCTTGTCCAGAGCACGCAACAATGGGACAAATACTCGCGTCCAGCGGAACTTGGAGAGGCATTCAGGACGATCACGCTTAAGCAGCACAAGACCCATAAGCAGTTCGTATAGCAGGGCATCCGAGATATCCGACTTGAGCACTTCGTTAACGTCACTGACATCACGTCCTTGCAGTGCAAGCTCGTGCGCCTGTTGCAATGTGACTACGCAGAGGGGAACCAAGCTGTGCAGGTACTGCGCCAGCAATGCCTCGGCTCCACTCGTATCCTCGTCGGCGATGCCGCTTGCCTGGTGCATATGTGCTAATAGCAACCTCTGGAAGCGGTGTAACAAATTTAAACTAGGGCTGCTTCGCTCAATGCTGCAACTCTCTTTTGGTTCTTGCTCATGCTTGGTGACTAGCGTTGGTGATCGTCGCTGTGCTAGCCGCGTTTGCGTTAGTGCCGCGTTGTTTCCCAGAAGCCGTGTGATGAGGTGCAACAGTGGCAGATGATGAGCACCATCACTGGCTGTATCTACGGACGAGGACTCCAGGCGTATGGCATGATGCAGTGCGGACTCAAGACCGCCCTCGGCCATAAGCGAGCTTACAAGCAGATCTGTCATAAAGCGATGCCCCGGCGATGAATGACCCAGCTCCGAAGGTAAGAGAGAGGTCAATGTCTGCGCCCGTTCCGCTGCAGTGGGCAGTAGTACGCTCCAGCCATCCTAAGGACGTAAGAAGTTGTTTAATTGTTATTATAAGTCTAGCAATGGTAAATCTTCACAAGCATAGCTCACCTGCAATGCCTGCTGTGCCGCAACTTGTATGGTCTTAAGAACATTTGTACCGCCCGCCAGTGTGAGAATGCGCGTCTTTAGACTAGCCAGCAAACGGCTTCCACTTCCCAAACCGAGTTGTTTGGGTTCCACGCCGTTTGAAATGAGTGCCACCAACTGTAAGCGTATAAGATTTAGGCAAGCTACTGCAATACATTCGGACTCCTGGTTAGGTGTTTGGCGGTTGTTGCTATCTTGTCCTCCGCAGCACATTCCTAGTAACTGATCAAGCAGGCGGAATGTTGGTTCGGTTAAGTCGATGACGAAGGGGACGCGCAGAGGTACACCTTGCCAAGAACTCTGGGTCCACAAAAGGCTCTGACCTGCCGTACATGCTACACCGCTGACGATTACTGTGGGCGGTGTAATCATCAAAGGCGCACGCAATAGCGGTTCCCGGGAGATAGCAGAAGGGCAGATTTGTTGATAATCGTTCCAACCCCAGCCGTATACCTCACCTCCGCTGCTTAACGCCAGACAGTGAGCCACGCCTACTGCTACATCCACAACGCGCTTGTGCTGCAATGATGAGAAAGAAATTTCCCATTTTTGCGTCCATCAATAAAGGGTACATTACGTAAACATTCAAACATTGATTGAATGGATTAAAACGTTTGTTGGGACATACTTATTAAAATGAGGTGCACGAAAAAATTACAAAAACAAAAAATACTTTTTCCGTTATTGCCACAATATTAGAAACCTTTTGTCTCTTCTTGTATATACTAGAAAAGTGCAACAATATTTAAATTCCTCTAAAAACATTACATAAGAGAGAACTCGCTTAAGTCTAAATTATTATATTATTGTCATAAGGGATGGTCTCCAATTACTTCTGGTCCACTGTAGGTACCCAGAAATGTACATATGTGCAACCTAAAGATTCCATGTTGATCACTTGTCGGACGAATTATTAGGGAATGGGCAAAGTACGATATTCTCATGCTTCAAATTTAATTCTTTCTATTTCGAAGACACAAGCTAATAGTATATTATTTGTTCAACCTGTATATCTACTTGTATATTGTAATACATACGTACATATCGACAGCCCATATTTGTAGATTTAAATAAAATAAATAATTACAATAAAAGTTAAGAAGAGAGAACGCTACGCACGAGCAAGGCCGACAATGAAATACTCTGTACCCAGATAAATCCGGCACTGAGTTGTATACGCTTTGGCAAAAAGAAGAAAAATAAAAATATTTTAAATTTATTTAATTGTTGACGCCGCTTCTTTATTTTCAGAAACGTTCAAACAAGCTGTATCAGGCATATAAAAAAGCTTAGCCCGATTTTAGCTTCAAAAAGTAAATAAAAGCCCACTCAATGTTTGCGAGGAACAAACAATAATGTAAAGATAAGGCTGTGCGATCCCAACTTTTTAAAACTTCAACAAAAGAAAAAAAACAATTTTCAATTTTAATTTTTTAATTTAGCTTTTTAAAATTAAAATAAATTATATTTATTTGCATCGGGATTGCTGGTGAAGCATAGGCAAGAGGTATATTTATGGCTATTGCTCCTGTAGAGTTCACATATTACGATGCAGCTTGACATATAAACACAAGGGCGTAGGCAGGGGGGGGGGGAAGGGGGGGGGGCGTTGCCACCCCTCTACAAATATTTTTCTATGTATACAAAGTCGATCACACGTTCATTATTATAACGCACTATTTCGCCTTAAAATGGAACTGAGTTGGATTTGTTGAAGTTTTTTCATTGATCATATGCATAAATTATTTTGTAAGTGCATGGTGTATTATTTAATAAAAATTTTAATTTTTTGCAGAATCAGGTGAAGACAAAATATCCTTAGTAAGCTATTCGCAGGCCACTATTGGAACTCATCCTGCTTACATATGAATGCAAAAACTTAATAAACATTAAATGTGAGATTGTAGCAAAATGAAGTTATTCGCGCATATTAATAGTTTTATTAAAACTATAGAACTCACCTGCAAAGCCGTGACCTGCTTAGGAACGCTATAGCCCTGGACGTTGCGCTCGACCATGTGGTGGCCCAAGCACGTGCTCTTGCCCCACGTGTATAACTGACCATCGACACTTAGCGCCAGTGAGTACTGAGCTCCGGCGAAAACTCGTTGAATACGCGGCAGTGTTTCGATGATGATCGGTAGGAGGCTACTGTTGCAGCTGCCATTACCGAGTTTACCGTAATCGCCGTCGCCCCAGGCATAAACCAGGCCTTCGGCCGTCAGACACAGCGTGTGAGCGTCTCCGCTACCCAACGCCACATCAATAATCTCATGATCTGCAACGGCCATAACAATAGCGGGCAGGCATTGGTCATCCGAGTTGCCATGACCCAAACGTCCGTAAGTGCCGCGACCCCAGGTATATAAATTACCGCTATTGGTAATAGCGGCGCTATAAGAGCAGCCACAAAAAACGGCCTTTACACAATGGTCCAGGGCAACAATTTTGGTTGGAAACTCGCGAGCATGGCAATCACCGTGTCCTAGACGATGGCTTTCGCCAGATCCCCATGAGTACGCATTGCCTTAAATTGAAAATAATGGATAATTAAAGTGCTTGATATCGTTGAAATTATCTCTACTTACGATGTGTGTCAATAGCCAGAAAGTGGCGACCCTCACAGTGAGACGCAATAGTCACAATATGCTCATGTGCAATCTCTTCGATCAACTGCGGCTCGAGCTCTGGTTTAGAAATGCGCCAGTTGTAAAGCTTGCCATCCTGTGATAGAAACAGCACCAATTCCTCGCTGCACGCTACTTGCTTCACCTGAAACTTGCATTTCAGCAATGGCGCCGAGTATCCTCCGCTGTCCGCAGCGGTCGGCATCTCGCCCATGCTGCAGTGAAGCGCTGGCTCTGCCGTAAAGCCATGCTGCTCCCTATAAAGCGTCGGCCATCCCAGCACGTAGACACGTTGTTGTTCCTGTGGTGTCGGTGGAGGTGGTGCGGGCTGGGCCATGTGCCCAAGCTGTGCACGCAAACTGTCCTGCTGCGGGGGGCCCCGCACTACGCAATTAGGCATATGTGGCAACGCCAATCTATCCAGATGCGATATGATGACAACCGCAGCGCGCTTCAGGTCCACAATAGCTGCGCTGCTTTTTGGCAGCATAAGAAAGCGTAGAAAGGTTTCTGTGGCGCTGGTTGTACTCACGAGATCACCGTTAGCTACAGTGGCTCCAGCCATTGAGCCGCCTGCGCTAATGCGTTGGTAGCGTTGCAAGATTGGCAACAGAGGTGCACCAGCCTTTTTCGGTATGTCACGGTTGTCATTACTCGACTTATCTTTGTCCCACAACAAGAGCAACAACACGACGCACTCTAACGTGGCCGCTAGTGTGCCCTTCTGGACGCCTAGCTCGAGTAGCAGGCATAGCGCCGTATGACGGTCGGCAATTGGAGCAACACAGCGCCCGCCCATTGGATCACCAAGTGCAACCAAACGCAGAAACTTAATGGAGCGTTCCATAACCTCTAGCCACAGCGGTGAGACCTCGGTCGCATCAAAGAGCGTCGCTTCGGGCAGCTCCTGCAGCGATTCGAGCGCTTCACTTAACAGCTCGCTGCACATCTCTATATCCTCGCCGGAACGCCAAGCACGGCGGAGAAAAGCAAACGAGAAGTTAAGGGCAGCGCGTGTGCCAACGCGCGCTAAGCCAAGGGCAACATGTTCATTTGGGGTGTATCCAGAACCCGCAGTAGCTATAGCCGACGAATCCGGCGTGTGATTGGAGTCGCGACGCAATGGCAGCGCGCTTACTCGACGTCCTAATTTTTCTACCACAGTGCTGTTGCTACCACTGCTTGTGGGTGCGTCGGCCGTTTTGTTTATTTGATGCTGCTGCTGGAGAAGATTTTGCTTTTGCTGCAACTGCTGCTGCTGAGTACGCTTTAGAGCCACAAAATATCGCTCGTATATAAACAACTGCTGGCGCATCTGCTGCGCTGAAAGACAATTTCCGGCTGCACGTAAAGCCAACTCGTGCAGCTCAGCAATGAGCATACGCTGGCATTCCTTTTTTGCCTGTTGCGTGGGAGGTTGGCTCCACAGCCAGTTATTTAGCGTCAGCTCCGACCCATGATGTTGAGTTGCGGCTTGCTGGGCAGCCGAAGTCAGCTTCCTAATAGCCGTGTCTGAGTCTAGAGGGCGACATCCTTCGCAGTTACATGCTGAAAGCGGGCCACAATAGTCCGACTGGCAGCAGATGCACTTAAGCTTCTGAGCCCCGCAATAGTGTTTTCCATCGTCGCCTAGGTAAGAGAGTTGACCACGAGCGTTCATTACTGCTGCGGCTGGCGAAGATACTAACTCACAGTCCTGAATCAGATGATTCCACAGCACGGCAGCTTCGGCGGAGTTACGTAGACAGGCAATAAGATCGGCCCGCAACCACTTTGCATCCAAGTACGGCAAAGGCCGCAAATAAAGGTCACCGGTGGGAGTGGTTGCTGCCGCAGTGCCTTCATTTGCGTTGTAGTTGCCATAGTACATGTTTTTTGTCTACTTTCAAATTTTCTATTAGCAGGACAACTTAAATAATTTTAATTGGGTTCCGGTAGGGGTAGCTCAATTGGCGAAATTAGCCTCAACTCTTTCCCACTTTCCAATTACGGAAGGAATCATAATGGCAAAGCAATCGTCTTTGTGTGTGAACGTTGAGAAGCTTGTTGTTCTGAGTTGTTCTTGTTATGCTTTGAAAGCGGCACAGTTAATAGCAACCGCGATGTCAATGTCGTTTCACACACGCACGGACACACACCTTAGTGTGTGGGTTAGATTGTAGTTTTCTTTCACCGAGAAGTCTTTTTTTATCGTCCTTGTTCTTAAACTTAACCCACATTCGAATACATGTATATATTAATTCATATTGATATCACATTCCGACCAGTTTTAACAATATTATGTAGAACCGAAAGATGTAATTATTTTACGATTAGCTTTTAAATAAAATATAAGTTGCGTTCTGTTTTGCAAGCAAATAGCGATGAGCGATTTATAGTGTGTCATGATTATTGTTGGGTAATGTGGTAGCACTGTTTTCAGCACACTTTATGTGATTGGCAGCACTTGTAAAAGCCTTGGTCAAATTTAACAAGAATGTAATAGTCGGACGGGTCCGCTATGAAATACCCTGTATGCCGTGTTATGGGATGTTAATCGAGCGCTGAGCAAAAAAACACAAAAGTAATTAAAAGGAGGCCACTGCTGCAGCTTGGAAACGAAGTTCTACCATAAAATTGTTTCTCTTTTCATTTTTTTAGGATTAATCGATTTGAAATAGGCCAGCAGATAGCATGCGTTTAATAGTCAAGCAAAAAGGATTTCCTTTCAGTCATTAATGTGAATTTTTGATTTAATTTTTACTGTAAGCAATAACAACATCCATCCTTAAGCCCCCAACATACAAATACACTAGAGATCAAACTGTTAGACCAAATATTAAAGAATAATTTCACATTTAAGTGAATCGCTTAGAAAAGAAATACATACATATGTACATGAATGTATGTACATATTTTCCAAATTAATTGTAATAATGAAATTAAAATAAAATTGTTTTTCCTAAAAGGACACCTGAAAGAGTTCATATTATAGTTAATATCGGAATAACAAGATATTCAAATAAATACTGCTCCCCTAAATATAAAGCTATCTCACTACAAAAAAAATTTAATTGTACATACTCCTCGTTCCCGTAAGGAGACAAATTTCTACTCTACAGTTATGAATGTATATACATACATATATTTAATATATAGTGATATTATGTAATATTTAATTTGACCAAAACCTGAAAGCTTAGCCAATGGTGTGGAAATGTTTTAGTCCGATCTTTCGTTACCATAAGACCGATGTATTTACAATATCCAATTTTAATGCGGACTACATGTGCAAGCGTATGTGTAGGATACATAAATTTCGGTGCTGAAGCTCATACATGGACATCCATGTATACGGACTGTACTATATGTACTTATTTTAAGTCTATTCCTGAAAACAAACATATTGTTTAATTTTGATTAAAAAATATACATATATTTGGATGTCTTGAAATTGTTTATTTTATGTCTGGTTACCATCTAAAACATGTCAATTGAAGAATATAATTAAATATATTGTATGAAATCTACAGTCGCAACAGATTTAATGTTAATAATGGTGTGGATACGTGTGGACCCAGCCGAAGGCCTTACAAATATAGTTAGTATAGTTTACAATAACTGTAGCTGTAGCTTTTTCATATACATATGTATGTATACAAATTAAGACGGGAATATACATGATTACATGATAGTATTGTGGTTCGCTGATATATAGTATGATTCATATAGCTTTAATTAAATTACTGTTAAAATTACATACATACATATGTATATTGATATGCTTTGAAAAAGTATAGTATAGTCAAACTTAACATCCAAAAGTGTCTAAGCCGTCGCGTAATGAAGTAAACTGTCATACTAATCACAAACTTTACATTACTGACCGTCTTTGAATTCCTTGTAATGAGAACTATTGTTAAGTTTTTAACCGAGAACTACGCTATGGTGTAAGCGGTGCTATGGTGCAAATATGTATGTTGGTTGCTACAGCATATTATAAATAATTGCACAATTTTGAAAGGTTTGCAATTAAAAATATTGTACAATTATAAAGTTAAAACATGGACAAGGCAAGAGCCGTAATATTAATAATATATTTTCGTTGACAGATTTATACACGGTTTGAAACATCTTTCAAAATTCCAATAACGTTCATTGCAAACAATAGGTATACATGCACGCATACATATGTATGTGCTAAACGGTGCGGAAATATTTTCTTGCTGGACAAAGTTACTTCAAAAATTTGATGTGTACAAAACTAATTAAAACGTAAAATTACGCTTGTGTCCTTCGGCACCCATGCCTAGATCACATGACAAGCCCCAAACCCTTTCTCCCCACAAGCTGCTTTAACTGTTAGCAGTTTGTTTCGCCGTTATGAATTGTACAAATTCGCTGCGGAATAGAATCTTCTCTTCCTCATCGACGGTGTGCTCATCCACCTGATGAATATTCGTCCATTTCCACAGCAAACGACGCAAAAAGCTGAGCCGAAACGATGCAAAGATGAGTCTTGCCTTAGTGTCCGTTATTTGATCCTTGTAGAAAGCTTCGTTGTTCTGGGTATCAAAGTAATAGAGCTTGTTATGGGAGCGCGAGTACGCACTCACATAGTTAGGTGTAAGTTCGCAAAAGATGAGCATGCCGCCGGGCACAAAGAATTTACCATCATCGAGGGCATATCCAAAGCGCTGAGAGTTGTCCTTCAGCACGTAGTGACGCATCTTGTTAAAAAAGCTGCTCATATCTTGCAGGCGAAACACTGGCTTGCTGCGTATGGCGCAGCTTGTGCGTTCTTTTTTATGCGGTTTGTTTAGACTCAACGCGTATTTCTCACACATACTAACGCGCTCGCGAAAAGTCCGCCGACGAATGTTGATGCCACCAAGGCAAATGGCATCGATAATGTGCAGAGCCACCACACGTGTCTGTGTACGTGCCTCTCCATAGTTCTCGTACACGATCTCACCAAAAAAGATCGAGCGCGGCTGCACGTCGAAGACATGATCTACAGACTCCCATCTTTTTTGCTCAGTGTAACGCAACAGATTGCCACGTGCCTTGCACAAGAAAAGGGTGCAGGCGTTGATGTTTGTCTCACCTCGGCCAATGGGCACAAAGTACCAGTCTTGCACATTTTGAATGTGTGTTCCGAGCGATGCTACGCTTGTCATCTCCTTAGGGGGAACATTTAGCCAATTGAGGTCCTTGAACCAGTCTTCGAGCAGTTCCTCGAGCAAACGATCTGTTGTTTTCACCTCTGGCGCCTGGCGTAGTCTGTCAGTTAGATCCCAAAGTTTCAGACACTTCTGACGAATCTCTGATTGGCGAGTCTCTTTAAGCTCCACGTTTTGTGCAAAGGCTGCAATTTTTCGAAGACCCACAATTTGTTTGTTGCCTATGCTATTGTTGGAGTCAATTATATAGCGCAGGAACTCCTCATCCTCAATGATATCATTGTAGTTGATTACCTCTAGAACGTCGTACTCGGTGTTCGGATCCTCGGCCTCCTCGTTTAAAATGTTATTGATGGCGTCCATGTAATAAATAACAGAATCTGTATCCGCATGTTTGTACTTGCAGACAAGGTATCGCTCCGAATTAGCTGGCCTACTGCTATTTGGTTTAATAATTGCTATCTCATCGAAGCATTTGTACATCAGGTATACTAGACCCACGCTGAAGGGTGTGAACAGGTCAAACACCTTGCACACAAAGATGCCGTTCTCGCGCAGTATCTTAAGCGCAGTAAGGAACTGACATAGATAGAGCTGCTTAGATAAGATTTCCTGTATGTTCTCTTGTCCCTCGACTGAGAATCCACCATCGGCCATGGCAAAGTGAACACCTTGCGGAGTGTGCTTCCGTATATACTCATTTAATGAGTCCTGGTTGATCTGATCGAAAATGTTGCCATCATCTTTGGCGCCATAGTAGCAGTCGAATGACTCCGGTGAGGCGGCAAAGAATTTGTCCAGCTTGAAATCATTGGCGCCACGTAACGTGAATCCAAAGCCCTTGGCTTCCCACGATTTCCGAAACAGTACATATTCGGAAAAACCACCGGGTCCTAAAAATACCACAAAGGTTCAGACATGCATAAATTGATGCATATACTCCATGTATACGTACCGGCACACATATCTGCAAAGTAAAATAATTCGTTTGGACCGACCAGCGACTTGCCATTTTTGTCTTTTGGCTTCGTGAATATGAAATCGCACATAGAGTCCATATTGGCCATTTTCACAGCAGCTCGGTTCAAAAAAATGGAACTGCGTATGGTCTCGAAGGGATTGCAGCGAGAGCGGGCACGTCGCAGTTCGCTGTCGTTAAGATCATCAAAGACCGTCTTGGCGTTCAATATGCGATGAAGTATAGCTGGATCGCAAAATTGCGTCTCTTCGTCCAGTGTGGTTTTGCGCCTTCCATATTTAATGTTACTCATGAAGACATCATACGTGTAGGCATTTGATTTAGGGCCCAAATTTCTCAGCCACCTAACTGATTCTGGTATATCCAGCTCTTCAGGTTCCCACTGGCCTGCAGGGCCCTGCGCTTCGTCAAGTTTAAGGCCAAAACCGCGTCGCCCATCCTGCTGAACGGCAATAATCGGCTCTAAGCGACCTTGATTACTTTTTCCCAAACCTTTGTCATTCTCGTAACCCATTTTCTTCATCATCTCCACGGCTTTGTTGGAATAGCTCTTCACCCATTCTCGCTTAATTTTCTTTGGCGTCGGTTCAGAATTTTCATCATCAGAGTGCTCCTCCATTTTGCCAGGATCCTTTTTTATATTTGCTCGATTAAGAACTTTTTGTTTGTTCTAGGTATATGTATATATTTCTACCCACAGTGCACATACACTACTACAACTGTTCGCTTCCTAGGCATTTGGTAGCGATGACAATAGGGCCTAAGGCTGTGCGTGAGTATTCATAGTCGTAATACTCTAAAAAATACCGAAAATTAAATTCTAAAACCCTTACAGGTGCGAAAGCCGAAATAAATAAAAGCCATTCCCGACCAAAACAATTAAAAACCTCACGAGTTTCCAGAGCCACAAAAGTCCTTAAAATTAAAAAACAAATGTGACGAAAACAGAAAGTATCGCCTTTACAAAGAGTCTTGTGGAAGAGGTAGCTTATTATACAGTGATAACAAAATATATCAGCATGTATATTTATATATTGAGGCATTAAAGAGATCTCAAAACATTAAAAAACAAAGAAAATTCCGATCTCTAATAATCCTCAATACAGTCTGCAACAAAAGCATCGATGCCGATACTTGAGTACCACAACGAAGTAGTCGATAGTCCTCGTTGATATAAACACACATTCCAATGCCATACCTATATATGATACAATCAAAACAAACGCGATGCTGAGGAAACATTATAAATTACTGCTAAAATGTGCGCTTGTAGTGCCTTTTGTTTATCTGCTAGATTATTGCGGCATTCCCGCGCACTTTCTAGAAATAGAATTTGAAAAAAACTTTTACTACCCCCTGCAGAACCAAAGTACCAATTACAATGGGACAGCGCCGACAACATTAAAGTTTTTGAACATACCCGCATTTAGTGAAACAAATGATCCACCGCGCCTTACTATACTGGTTAAAAGCGCAATTGGCAATGCAGACCGACGTGATGCCATAAGAAGAACCTGGGGATATGAGTCACGCTTCTCCGACGTGCACATACGGACCGCTTTCCTTCTAGGTGTGTCGCCTAATTATATCAGCGCTGAGACTACGTCGCCGATAGCAAGGGCGACAACTGAGCAAAACATTGCAAAGGAAGCCAAGCAGCATGGTGACATAGTACGTGCCGAGTTTGTGGATGCCTACTTTAATAACACCATTAAAACTATGATGGGCTTGCGCTGGGCCAGTGAACATTTCAGTAACAGTGACTTTTATATGTTTGTAGACGATGATTACTACGTGTCCATCAAGAACGTTTTACGCTTTCTTGGCAGGGTTCGGCGGTTAGGTCATCAGCACGATTTGCTTTATGCCGGCTATGTGTTCCAGAGTGCGCCCCTACGGCATAAGTTCAGCAAATGGTATGTGTCGCTTCAGGAGTATCCCTTCGATAAGTGGCCACCATATGTAACGGCAGGTGCTTTTATTTTGTCCCACGACGCACTTCTCAGAATGTACGAAGTGGGGCGTTCTGTCCCACTTTTTCGCTTCGATGATATCTATATTGGCATCATCGCACTCAAGGCCAACATACCATTACACCACTGTAATGATTTTCACTTCCACCGGCCACACTATACCGGCCCCGAAAGCTACAGTAGCGTGATTGCAGCTCACGGATTTGATTTTCCTGACGAAATGGAGCGAGTGTGGAACGAGTGTCGATCAGCAAACTATGCGTAGCAGGCCATCCCCATGTTTGAGGCTGATAATCGTTTTGGCTGTCTGTAATGTCCTACGTTACTGCATTGTACAATGTACATACATTCTAGCAGATCACATTCTATGTAAATATGTATACACTATAAGCACATGAGCTACTTATGTATATAACATAACATGGACTCATATGTGTAAATAGTATAGGGTTCCTTCATGTTCTTGACGGATGCTCAGTGAATATTTTTCTTAAAACTAGTTTTGGCACTCGATAGGTTAATACTAATTTCGTTATAGAATGATTGCAGAAACTAAGAATAAAGATACATATGACAATGGCTATGTTAATGGAAAGAAATAAGTAGTTAAGAAATAAGAATGTAATGTTAAAGGTCGAACGAGCCCAGCTTCGAAATACACTGCACCCATACCCACAAAAAATGTTTAAGTCAATTTATGAAATGAAATACATACATAAAAATACAGTTTTAAAATCATCGTCTACTTTTTGCATTGGTTTTATGGGTGCTATTATATTGAACCAAAGCAGCAACAACAATAACAGCTGATGCCAAAGCATGAACCGATATTACATTTATGGTTATAAATTCCTTTTTAATTGACCTATACCGATGTTACCTTATTCTAGGTTAGTGCGAATGTATGTACATTTGTAAGTATATATGTACATACATATATTATACACAGGAGGAGGCGAAGACATATGCATACGTAGTATGTATGTATGTACATACATACATATGTATATTCTTGATCACTACGACAAGGCAAATCCATATGTCCGCCCTTTCAGTCACAAGCAGCTCGCTTTTATTTTTAAACGAAAGCCACTTCTAAGTCATCTGAATACAAGAATAGAATGCTAAAGTCGGACGGATCTGAACTCCTTAAAATCGTAAACACACCAATTTAAAAAAATTTTTTTTTAAATAAATTAATTTATTTTATTATGGCACATATTTACAGGATTGCGCATATTGACTATACGGGTGAGTGCGCGAGTTGAGCCAAAGCAGTAACAACAAGAACAGCTTGGACAGAGACAACATTTATGGCTATAACGTCCTTTACATTTGACCGAAAGCAATGAAACAAATAAACCGAATGTAGTTTGAGTAAAATAAATTCCAACAAGAAAGAAATGCTAGACCCTGTACCCACCCCACAAAAAAACAAAATTTAATTAACTTAATTATATATAAATGTTCAACACATGCATACATACATAAGTGTTTATGTACAATTTCAACAGCAGACATTTGCATCAGAATCATGTCTATGCGTGTTTATATTCGTTTATGTGTGCAATACAGCAATAAGTTAAAGCACCAACAACAACAGCTGAGAGCAGAGTTTAAGAGATTCGATGTATGGCTACAACTTTCTTCACAAGGGCGTAGGCAGCTTTTACCAAAGGGGGCCCAAAAATTAAAATTTTGATTAAATAATGCACGATGCATTTAAAAAATAACTTATGCATATGATCAATGAAAAAACAAATCCATTTTTTTTTTTGGGGGGGGGGGGGGCGGCCCCCTGCCTACGCCCTTGTTTCTTCATATTAGATCTATCATGATAACACTTGGCATACGGACACATAACCACTACTTGGATGTAAATACCAAATTGGATGGGTCCAAGAACTATGGAAGTTATAGAAATCGCGAATTGCGGGGGAGTGGGGGGTGCATCGAAAAAAATTCAAACCCGTACATTCTCGGACTTGGGAGAATCTGGATACCAAGCTGGGTAATCTATCCCTTATAATTGCTGAGATCCTTTCGTTCATACAGATATACATTTTATCATATTTATAAAACCAAACCCAGAGAAAATTCCCCTAGCTTCGCCCAGTCATATATACTTGTATATGTATTCAGTTGCATCGAATACTGCCTTAAGTCACGAAAGTAAAAGCAAAAGAATGCTAGTCGTTTTGGAAATTTTTCGTTACAGTATACCTTTACCCATATACTTATTAGATATAGCTATAACATAATATATGGAATAAGAACGCGTTGTGATCATTTATATATGTATATATTTAATAGTTTAAGCAATCTTGTAAATTATAAATATTTTGAAGAATACCGAGGTAACTTAGGTTCCTGGAAAAAATATATAAAACAAATTTGTTTTCCATGCTCCTAGTTGACGGGCGCAAACTGTACTAGCGCCTTGATTCGACGGAGTAGAGACGAGCTAAAATCCCTGCACTTGGTCGTATAACTCTCACTGGCCGCCATTAGTTGCGTGCAGAAAGTCTCGTTAAATGTGGAAATGAGCATTTGTTTAACCTGCATTATCTCGTCTTGGGAGGCATTCAGCACAGAAATATTACTGGCATCTGTAAAAAGTTAAAGATTAAGAATTGTTGAATGTTGAACCGCCACATCGTACGTACCCAAGTTGCTTTCATTGATGGCGCTGCGATTCTCCTGTGCATATACAACTGTGTTACGAAGATAAAAATCCAAATGTATCCACAACAGGTAGAGATTCTGCTCAGCTATGAAAACCGCCTGCATAAGCTCGCCGCGCTTTTCGTTGTGCCTGTGACTAATGTCGATAATCTCCTGCTTGTCTGTAGATTGCAAAGGATCGCATTGTAGAGATTGTATGGTAAATTGCATTTTCTTCGAACAGTTAAACATTTACGAAATATTATATACAATTATACATAAAATTTAAAACATTTTTTATAGTAAAGAGTTTGGCCCGACTGACCCTAACACCTAATTCTTGTTCTGCTACGTCTCGTTCGTTGTGTGTTAGCTAGCGTATCCTTTTACCATTTGGGTACAGGGTATAAATAATGTATGTTCTTATATACATACAAATTATTTATAATGAAATGGTTGATTTAAAATGTTCTTACCACATGGTCCAATCGTTATGTTGAGCAGCGAAGCCCGCTGTTGCATAAGATTATCGACTATGTTGTTCTGCGACAGATAGTAAGCAATTGCGCCCTTTAGCTGATTTAGAATGGTTATCATGATGGCCGTCAACTTCTTTCCATCGGATTTTCCTGTCCTGCAAACCAAAAATAAGGTTGCATAACTAACTTTGGAGCAGAACATGAGCATTGTCATCGTCTTGGTACTTACAGCGGGGTGATATCATTGATCATGGTGGTAAGCAGATATTTGGACGTCATGTTGTCATTCCCGTGGCACGTCACCGCGTTTCGGCAGTAGAGTGATAAATTGGCGGTTATATCAAGAAAGTATTTGACATGGAGATTTTGTTGTTCCTCGGTGAACTCTTCGTTAACTAGTTCATGTTGCTCCAGCATGTGGCGAATGGTCGTCTCGCTGACTGTAAAGCGTCCGAAAACCACAATCATCAATTGCTGCAGACGGGTAAGCCGGCTACGCAACTCCAGGTCATGCTCTACATCCAGTGTGTCCTCCAAAGTGGCCACGTCATGTGTGGTGGTCCGCGCAAGCAAATTGGTTATAGCTGAAAGCTGCTGCAGGTGACCCAGGTCCATGTATGGCGTAGCTGTGCGCAGAATTGACTCAATCATGTCGATGTGTGCGAAAAGAAAGTTCACCACCTGCAATGCAGCCGAGTTATTACGCGAACCGAGTGAGTTAACGATTCCATCGCAAAGACCAAGTGCAGGCATTAGAATGGAGCGATAGCGTTCGTCGACGCTCGGTACGAACGACTGAGGGTCATTGCGCTTCAGTTCGCTAGTCTTCACATCTGGCAGCAAGTCGAAGACAGACATGTTTGACAGAGTGCCAAGAGCGCGCTCGCCCAACAACAGGCCTGCACCAATGTTCGTGTGCGACAATCTTGTGAGAAAAGCCATGATCGATTCGTAAACGAAAAGGGCGCGCATTTCGGACGGAACTGGCTGCAGGATAGCGCACAAAGCATCGTTTGATCTGCCCAAACTATCTAGGATGTGTTTGAGGTATCCACGCAGCGTCATAAAGTCGCTCAGTGTGCTGACTGCATGCAGTTCGGAGATCATGTCCAGGCAAGCCAGAGCCATTATGCGGCAAACGTGATGTCCGCTGATCGCATCGTGGCAAATAGTATCAATGAGCTTTTCGCCAAAAGTCCCAATAACTTCAGCAGCCATCTCCTTTTGCATTCCATCTTCATTTTGACGCATGTTATATGCCTTAGAGCTGTCCAAGCGAGCAACAAAGCTGTAGTTCGGTAGAAATCAAATGTAATTATTATATTAAAATGCTACTATATAACGTTAGCTTAATGTTACATTATTATTTTAGCCATGGCTGCCGAGGCTTTCACCAAGCAAAATTATATTTTTTATATTATTTCATTTATTAGAATTTCCTTCATTTGGTATTCACTTACGTTTCGTTAAACTCCAGTTGCTCATCACTGCGCAATCGCTTTACAATACGCAAGCAGTTCAGCAGAGAGCTATAGAGATTAATGCGCAGCTTCTGCGACTTCACTTCGCTCACCATGATCCACTCAACTATATGCTTGAGGATGAAGCGTAAGTTGCTGGAACTTGTGTTTGCTCTAGCGTGTGTAACATCGCCGATCCCATTACCATCGCTGTCCTCCTCTAGTGCAGTTTGGTCCTCTAGCTGGTAGCAACAATAACGAAGATTGGCCACCAGCAGAAGAACCGCCTCCGTTCCCTGAATAGATATTTCAATTAGGGGCTGCATAGGCTGCACCTTCATCAATATCTTCTCGATAATATCGATGATGTGTTGTTTTCGCACGGTCAGGGGCATCACTGCCTCGGGCATACAACTAAAAAGCACCTGCACCAACTGGCACCATGCCTTCATAAATTCCCACGTGGCGTACCGTTGAGTACGCGCCTTGTTCAGCTTCATTGTGTGCTGCATCAGCAAACTGATTTCGCCGGTGATGGCCTTGCGTTGACCACTTGCAATGGTACTTTGAACCAAGCGCAGCTCGTTATGCAGAACCTCGTGGAGCTTGTGTTCATTAAACAGACTATACGGACCCGAAGTCTCACATTCATGCAATAGTTGACTCAAAAGCTGTGGATCAAAGAAGTTTAGTTGCGGCCCGCTCACTGTTTGTGGGGCCAACGTGAGGCAGTCAAGCAATCGGTTCACATGCAGGCCGACCGCTGCATCTTGTAGTGGAGGTTTTGTTAGCGAACCGGGCAGTACATCGGTTCCATAGAAATAGTGGCTGTGCTGCGGTGTTAGTAGACTGCTGTTGCACTCGAGCGGCAGGCTAGGGGCATTACGCTGCGTTTCTGCGCCCCCGCCGAGCATCATATCGCACAGTAGATTGTAGCGCGTCGTTTGACCATGCGTAGCGGCCAGCTTTATCTCGATGGCCACACACTTCATCAGGTGGCTCATGGCTAAAAGCACATTGTCCTGTTCCTGATGCCTAAAGGGCATTGCACTCAGATGGCGTACCAGAAAGTCATTGCAGGTCAAACGAAAGTAACGCAACACGGTCTCCGAGGTACGACGGTTGATGCACAGGCCATAGAATAAATTATAGATGCGTTCTACAATATGGGCGGAGTGATCACAGTACTCGTCGTTTTGGGTCTGGCGCTGAAAAAAAAACCAGCCAATCGAATTATTGTTTCAAATTATTAATTAGATCGTCTACCTCCAGATGGCGTTCGAGCACAAGCACTAAGGAGTTGATGCAGGAGCAGGTCATATCAATGGCCAATTGCTGCCTCTCCGAGGTCATGAAGTCGCGAACTACGTCAATGCCCAACAGAAAGTGAACAAAGTTAGGTAGCAACTGCTTACGATTCATATTAAAGAGCTCGACAATGGCCTCCTTGATCTGGAGTTCTATTCGCATCGGTTTTCGGTGCATCAGACTAGCTAGATCGAGCTCCGAATCCGAATCTTTTTCGCCATCATCTTCGTAATTGAGCTCAGTAATGGTGAGAGGTTCCATTATATCCTCGTACTGCTGCGCCTGACGTGCGTCCATCTCCAGACATTCCACGAAACCCTGACGTATCTCCAGCTTCTCAGTGCACCCCTGGGCATACATGTGTAATATCTGACCAGACACGTTGGGAAGCATGGTCACTGCAGACAGTATCTTAATAGCGGCGAGCGTGTGACGCGGCAGCCAGCTATTGTATGTGACGAACTTTATAATGTTAAGCACGTTGTCGGGCTGATTGTTCCGTGGATTAATATCGAGCAATATACGATTCAATCCCGTAAGCATTTCAGTACCATTTCCAGCTGTGTGGGCCTCAAAGAACGCGTTCTTTTTGGCCAGCCCCACCTCGAGCAAAAGCAGAGCATAAAGCACGCACTCCTCGAGCAGTTCTTTGCCATGGAACTGGTTGTAGTCGTCAAGTCGCTCGCGGGCCTCTTCGATAATGCGTAAAAGCAGGCACATCAGGTTAGATCTAGTCTGCAGCTGCATCATTACGTGGAAGCCAGGGTAAGGATTCTCATCGCGCAACTCTACGAAATCCGAAGCCTTGGGCTTATAGGATGCAGCCAGAAAGTAAATTAACTTCAGGCATAGGGCGCCCACTTTCCACTTCTCTGATGGGTCCTTATAGGCTCTAAAATAAAATTTGAGCACTATGGAATTTAGCACGAAATTGACGTATGCATCGTAGCCGGGCAGTCGTGGCCCTACGCCGAGGCTGCTCGGCATGTAGGTAGTCATCAGCGTGTAAAGTAGCTCCAAAATTCCACGCGTAAGCGTGAAGGTTTCCAGGCGAGCCTCGTTTTGATCGATTTCATCGGCCAAGCTGCATTGATTAAATGTGAAGTTAACCGGAATGGTAGGGATGATTTGGGACTCTTCCAGCTGAAGCCAAACCGAACGTGCCGTCTCTTTTGATTTGCTAAGAGCGGCAAGTGTAAAAAGTATCTCCGCTTTGAGAACAAGCGCCGTAGAACAGGATATCAAACCCAGTAGCACCTGTAGTGACTGCCAGCTAGCATTTTCACATATCATAATGCGCGAAATCTCATCGTGCTCGGCCACAGAACGTATTATTCCCACTACGGCCACCAGATGCTCCGTTTCCCGTTGTGTAATAATCCTTGGCATAGAGCGGTTGCGGAAGATGGGGTCACCTGTTGTACCGACACTTGTGTTAAGATCATTACGCATGTCACTGTATAGATAAGGAGGTACGAAAAAAAACTGATTACAATTTTGTCTAAGCTAAAATCAATTGATTAAAGTAATTCGAAACAAAGCGAGCAGTGCATCGAGTCAATATTAATACATTTTCGATTCCATTTCGTGAAAATTGTGTGAGCAACAATTTTTACGAAATTTACGATTTCATGTGCACTTATATGAAATCCTGTACCTCAACGTATATAAAAATATTAAAACCGAACTTAACTTAATCTTAGTACACAAAAACGAATGTGAAATTTTTTTTTTGTTTCTTAAAAAATTAATAACAGGACATCATTTTAAGTATAAAGCGAAATGGTACTCATATTAAAAGGGAACATTTTTTCTTTTTGTGAAAATAGAGAGAGTTGTAATTATCTGTAAAATGAAATGCACTAGGTGCAAAATTAAAGTAGAAACTGGCTTACTTGTAGTAGTTGCCCAAAGAGGTGAAAAAGTGGTCCCAGGAGACCGAATAGGTTGTAGGGCTGGTCTGCGACTGCTTAAGAAGATTGAAGGCACAGCGAGCTGAGAACTCGGTGCGAGTCAGACCGGTGATCATCTTCACGTAAGATTTAAATAGAGTCTGCGGGAGCAACTCACTAGCCAGTCTTATAAACTTGAACAGTGAAACAGCTCGTGCGGTGTTCTTTGCATAGTTGCCGTTGACAGGGTTTGTCGACTCCCAATAGTCGTTGCATAAATTAATGACGCCACGTCGATCTCCGTACAGCTTGGCAACACACAGCATGAGCATTTCGAAGTTTCCATCCATGCTGGGTGGCGGCCCACCATCCTCATTCTGGTTGTTGACTCCAATGCGAGCTTTTTCGTCGGCACAGTTGCGCAGCTCAGAAACCTTTGCGTGCATGAAGTCAATAAAATCCGTTATAAGCATATGCATGCGTCGGAAAATAAATTCATTCCTAAGTGTGCGAATGGATGGGTTAATGGTAGTAGGTTTTAAGGCCCTTTTTTCGGGTACTTGTCAAATTTGTACTCACTTGTACACAAGCTGCTTTTCAAGCAGCTGACGGTAAAAGAAACCAAACACATTACTCTCTAGTGCCTCGTCAATCAGCTGCTCGTCCAAATGAATGACTCCAGCTGCAGCTTCCTGCATGCTAGACGGTGCATGGCGCAGGCTCGCTAATGTCAGACCAAAGCTGTACTTGATTATGCTGTTAAGTTGTGGTGTTTGCCAAACCGGTTGTGCGTAAATAGCCTCGTGAAACCGCTTGGCAAAATCTGGATCACTAAGTATAGGTAGGAAGGCCGTTTGTGGATTGTTGCAGTCAGAGAATAGTAGCACAGACGTATCGTATCCGTACAGGAGTGCCATAAGAATGATTAGAGTGACATCGTCAATATTATTTGAGCCGACTTTCGGCTTATATGAGGCTAGATGCTGCAGGAGTCGTATTGCAATAGCCTTGGGCAAGCCACGTTGCGCGGACCAGTGAAACAAAGCCATGGCTACGGCCGTTCGTATTTCCTCGTATAATCTGAGCACCTGATTTTGATGCTTTTTGGACCCAAAGGCGCGGTTTTTGGTTAGTAGTTTACTCTGTAAAAGGGAATACATTAATGACACTCTGTTCTGCTTGTTAGCTTTTTACTTACTTCTTCTTCTATGTCCATGTGTTCAAGCAGCTCGATCAAACGTCCTAAAATATTTGAGTCCTCGACGAGGTTTTGTGAATAGTTGGTTATTACGGCAGTTATCTGCAGAGACAATTGTAATAAAAGTTAAAAGTCAAAGATTTCTGTACATTTGCATTTAATCGCCATCCTTACCTCTCTCGGAAGCTCAGTACTCCACGCAACACCGGAGACGGCCTGAAACATGTCACGTAATGCGCAGCTAATTGCCTTGCGGCCATCGTAGTAGAGCAGCACAGCCACCAGGCCGCGAGGCAGTCCTGGGTGATGCTTCTGTTGCCGTTGTGCGGTACAGAGCAGTTCAAGTGCAAGGACTTCATCCAAGTCAAACATATCTGAGATAATTATGGCTTCGTCGACCAACTCCTGTGATAAGACTATTTTCCGCGCCTGACCAGATAGCGCTACGCCTTCTGATAGTGCCGTCCGCAATTGCTCCCGGCTTTTCTCGTTCTTTGGCTGTGAAAATATATAGCATAAAAAGTAAATTAAAGAGCGTTTAGGTTATGTATTAGTTAGTTATTTACAAGTGTACGCACCGGATTTCGAAGAAAATTTGTGAAATTTTGCTTGTACTTCTTAAGACATAGTTCCAAGTCAGTGACAACAGTATTAGGATTTGTGAGCGCCAGTTGAAATATGCTATACAAGTTCTTGTACGGCGTCCACATGTCCTCAGCCAAATCTGGAATTAATAATTTTTACGTGAATATAAGATAAAGAACTGCTGGGCAAATGGCATTGGGTCCATGATCACATACCGTCCATATTGCTTGATAAATACGCTATAACGCTATTTGCAATTAAACGAACAAGCCAAATTAAAGCGGCAACTTTCGCAAACGCTTAAGTCTACCGGTAGTGGTGACGTTTGAATCGATAACCAATTTTCGACAAACTCTAACATCCAAGGCCTTTTCGATAAGTATCGAAATAAAATGTATCGTTTATAGAGAGTTTCTATAATTATACTCCATCGCTAGCATCCGCACTCATAGTAAACAAATCTTTAGTTTCCGCTTACTTAGTAACTGAAATTGATTGTCATGACCAAGTTGAGTGAAACTAAAATACCAATGAATGACTTTCTGATAGCATACAGGAGCCAGCCCAGCCTATACAATTCATTGCTCGACACATACAAAAATCGCACATCTCGGGAGGAGGCTTACAAGGCAATCATTAAGTCTTTAAAAATCCCTCAGCTGACCGTTCTGGATATTAAACTCAAAATCAAAAGTATTCGAACAGTGTACACTAAAGAGCTGCGTATTTTGATGCGGGAGAAGGAACAAGGACGCCCATATGAGCCCAAACTCTTTTGGTTTAAGCTAGCTGATTCATTTCTTCGTGCCGTTTCTTTATCCCACTGCAAACGGGTGAGATTTATTTACATACATTGTATGTATATATTCTAATCCTATACATTTACTAACATTTTAAATCCGTACCCAAACAGATAAAGAATAAACATACTAATTCTCCCGCCAATCTGTCAACGAAACAAGAAATGCAAACACGAAAATCAGTTTTCAATACAACTTCGAATATTATGGATGAGGATGCTTTAGAAGGTGAACAGGAGGACGATCATATAGAAGAACCCTATGCTAATATAGTAGATAATTCAAATAAAACGAACAGTGCCAAGCCCGCCTTAATCGCGACATCAAGCGTGAACAACAATCATCACCATGGGAATAGTTGCATCATTTCAATATCCAGTGAAGATGTGTCCAGTATTGCTATGACCTCCGCTTCCACGGCATCGGTATCTCTACCACGTACACCCAATAAAACTGAACTAATAATTGATGATTCGTCATTATGCATGATGGAACAGCAGCAACATCAACATGAGCCCGCACCACAACGTAAACTAAACCTTATCCAACAACAAAGAGTTTCAGCTACCTCGTTTGCACTACCATCACAGCAGCAGAAGGATATGTCTTTAGGCAATGTCGAGGACGATTTGGTTGTTTTCGGGCAAAGCATTGCATCCCAATTGCGTAGCATAACAGATGCGTATTCTCGGTCCGTTGCGAAATTGCGAATACAGCAAGTCCTGTTTGAAGCTGAAACGGGCCAATTACAAAGTAACGAAGCAGTTGGTTCCCACCTGCATACGTTTTAAGAAATGCATTATACAAGTCTAGATAAATAACTTATTACAAACCAAAACAATTATATTTATTTATGTACATAGTCTTAATTAAAAAACGTATATAAGGAAATCAGTAATAGTGTATTAATGCATCTAATCGTAGATTCCTGTTGTCCTACGGCACCAACATAAAATGTTTAAAATAATTTTAAAAGCCACCTGTTACACTGACGAAGCTAGATACTGACAATGAACACCGATATCAGTTTTTCATTGCAATTTTTACCAAAAAAAAACGTTGACTTTTAAATAATGCATACATTAAATTTTAAAATAAATGAAAATTATTTTAAAAGTACAACAAAATAGTAAGGGTATTCCTGATTGCTGTTTAGGATCCGCATCAATCAAAGCCCTCAAAAAAAAAAAGAAGACAATTTTTTTTGTGATTGTTTTTAACATTTGGTTTTGTTAAACAACAGAGAAATTTGTATTCTGTACCCACTCCCACAAAAATGAAAAAAATTAAAAAATATATAAACAAATGAAATTAATTAATTTAATTAAATAAAAAATATTCATTATATACATGAGTGGAGACATCTGTATGTCGAAACAGCATAATTTACATCAGAACCGTGTGTGCAGTACAGAATTACTGCTATTATTACTACTATTACGTAGTGCACGCACATAAACACGCATAGACATGATTCTGATGTTAATGTGTGCTATTAAAACTGTACATAAACATATGTACATATCTCTCCGCTTAAACTATTTTTATACTCTGTACATGAAATGTACAAGAGTATATTAGGTTTGCGGGAGCTGAAAATAAAACAGGCAGAAGGAGGCGTGGCAGCGTGACCAGCATGATAAGACGCGTCAATCTATGTCTGTCTGTCTGTCCGAATGAACACATGGATCTCAGAGTCTATAAGAGCTAGAGACAACAAATTTTGCACAATGATGCCTTTTAATTTGTTAATTTCTATAATTATTCTACACATATGTATGAACAGAGTATTTCAAAGTAGGGACACCCGACTTTAGCTTCTTTACTTGTTTTTATAGCCTGTACCCAAAGGGTAAAAAACTATAATAGTTTTGTGCAAATGTACATATGTATGTAACAGGAAGAAGGAGGCGTGGCAGACCCCACAAAGTATATACATATGTATATTAATGATCATGATGACAGCCGAATCGATATAGCCATACCCGTCTGGATGAGCGCAAGGATCTCAGAAGGTACAAGAGCTAGAGGGGCCAAACTTGGTATACAGGTTCCCCTAAGCCCTAGGCAGGTCAACCTTGTTTTTTATTCCGATGCACCCTCCCCCCCCACTCCCCCGCTATTAGTGATTTTCCATAGCTCCCATAATTATTGGAATTTCTTAAATTTGGCAATTACATCCAGTTTGTGATTATGTGTCCACGTGCCAAGTTTCATCATGATAGGTCAATTCTGAAGGAAGTTATAGCCATAAACATAGTCTCTGCCGAAGCTCTGCCCGCAGCTGTTGTTGTTGTGATGCATACATATGTACATGTATATAAACACACAGAGACACGATTTTGATGTAAATGTCTGCTGTTGAAACTGTACATGAACATATCTCCACTTTTGTATACATATATGTATTAAATAATTTGTAATTAATTTAATGAATGTAATTTATTAAAATTAATTTTTTAACTATATTCTTTAAAATTATTTTCATTTTTGTGGGAGGTATAGGGTATTTAAGAGTTGAGCTCGCTTGTCTATAGTATTGTTTTGTTTCGTACAATTAAATGCACAGTATGTGTATAAATGTTTACGTAATTAATCCAAACCAAATCTACGACTTACTTTTCAATAAATAGTTTAATAGTAAACTAATCCTTTTTATTTTATATTTTACTAAATTTAAAATAACAAATATGATTATATTAATACTCATAATGATTAATTTTATTTTTAATGCAACACTCTTTTGTAGCTGCAATACCTGCCGCAACTTCTGTTGATATGGATGTTAAAATATTAATCTTAAGAGCGATATATATGCTTCGGCTTTGTGTCTAGAAATTCCGAAGATTTTCTTTTTGACAACAATTTTCTATAAAATTGATTTATCACAATGAACCTTTTTTATTGTACACATGCATCTATATATAATGAGATGTATTAAGCTGAATATAATAATATACTTATAAGAAATTTCTATTGTGTGTTACAAACATTATGCATAAACAAAGTATGGTCGTTAGAGGGTAGCGTATAAATATTCATAGCTTTTTCGATATATTTCATTCGATGTTTTCATGTAGTTTACGATTAGGGGCAGCACCACGATGATAGCATCACTGCGTTTCACGATTTGACAGCTGCATACGCATTATGGAGTCACCCTGTAATGCTACTAGTTAGCTGTCATTTATCTGCTGCTCTTGCATTTTGCCTTCTTGAAAGAAAAAATTGTGTTGTACAAAGTGAAATTGTTAGAATAACTATTGTTATAGAACGTTCTAGCTAAACAAATAATTAACGGCAATATGTTGCAGTTTAATACAATTGTGAGTATTATCCAAAAATTGTGCACAATGCAGAATAGCTGCATTTCATGTCGAAATTTCTTTTCTTTTTTTTTGTACTTTTTCCGCTACCTTTGCTACACAATTATTTTGATTTCTACGGTACTTTTTAGTTTTTGCATGTGTTGTTTTCTTGATGTGCCGAGTGGTGTGTGCGTATGTGAAAAGAAGTATGCTTTTCAAATATTGTTGTGCAAAATAATAGTTAATTAAAATACAATCCAAAGAAAATACGCTAGGGTTGCAATAGGTTTACATTAAGAAAACGCAGTAAGAAGTGAAGGTACATAAATTAAAATGAACGCCATGGCTGTTGCTATTGTTTAAGATGCAGGCTATATAATATGACCATTTGGTAAAGTAATCGGTAAACCATAAAATTATACATGCTTACATATGCATTCATGCATGTATGTAGATACAAATGTAAGTATGTATATGTGTACTTAAATATGTACATATTATTTTTTGCTTTCTCATTTTTTGGCAAATGCTTTTTTGTTGTGGCTGTGGCTGCCCCTTCTGCTGCTTCTTTAAACCAACGGCGACGCTGATTGGCACATTAAAACTGCACGCACGCACTCACTCGCTCACCAATACACTTGCGCTCACACTCGCGTTCGCAGACACATTAGCATTATCTGTGTTTTATTCCCGATTATTGTTCTTTTTGGTCTGCGCGGGGCGGGCGCTGTTAAAACTAAAAAGTGAAGCATGCATTTATATATATATACATATGTACATACGCATGTACATACATACATACATATGTATATACGCAACTGCGGTGAAATGTACGATTGTGATCTCAGCGCGCTTGTTATCAAAGCTGTAATAGCTTGCACAGTTTTGGCTCGATTGTTGCAACGTTGTTTTTGCCGCATATTTTGATGCACCGAATCAAAATAGCTACCTATACGTACATACAAGTACATATGTATGTTAAAATACTAGCGAACAATAGTGTTACCTGTTTCAAAAAATATATGTATGTACATACATACATATGTGTATACACACACTAGCAAAAGCAAACAAAAAGGCAGCAGCTGCAGTTGCAGCTGCAATTGTCCCAGCTGACAAGTGCAGCTCACTAGTTTTAATTCGTGCCAATTGTTTCATTGGTGTAAACTAAATAACCAATGCATTGTTTTTGCTCTCGACAGTTTATTGAACACGCAGATACATACATTTAAAAAAAACCAATGCTTAGACACTAAAGAATACAACATATAATCGACCAACTGACTGAGAGACGACGCGTCAGACATCCTGCATTGATTTAAAACGGGAAACGACCAACAGCCATGAAAGTTGACACGGTTAAGCTGAAGAAAGGCTCCTCGGAGTTGACTTCAGAGTGTCGCGAACTAATCGATGAGCTGACTAAGCGACGCACACGTCCCGAACTCTTGGAGTTCCTCAATACTGTGCACGTTTGGATTTATGGAAAATGTGAGCTATACCACTGGATTGAAATACTGGATCGTTTTGACAAAATCCTCGAAGAGGCGGCACGGCATGTCAACGGCAATGAGTTTGTGTTGCAGTGCGATACGACATTTTTGGAGGCGGTAAGTGCCAATTTTAATTGCATATTTTTGTATGTGCCCTAGCACTCGTGTATCTACTGGATTGTTCATGTGTTTATTCCCCTTCTTGTCTGCAGGATGTCACGCTGTTGCTGCACGTGCTCAACTTCACAACGCTGCTGATTGAGCACTCGTTCTCGCGTCACTTGTACAATTCGATTGAGCATCTCACGCAATTGCTATCATCGCAGAACATGGACATTGTACTCGCAGTGCTTAACCTGTTGTATATGTTTTCGAAACGTAGCAACTTTATACCGCGTCTGCCTTTCGAGAAGAAGGAGTTATTGATCGTAAAACTCTTTAATATCGCTGAGGTAAGTTTAAATGGACATGTAGGTAAACATGAGCAACAGTGGCTCTTTAAAAAAGCGTGTTGCCATTACTTGCTTCTCTGTTATTTTCTTGATTTGTTATTTGTTCTTTTTTAATATTATTGCAGCGTTGGGGTGATCCCAATTATGGTCTCTCATTGAAAGATTGTTGCATTGGCGAACCCAAACTAGAATTTCTTTACCAATTATGCATCGACTATGTAGATGAACATGGTCATGCAGCACAATTGGAAATACCGGACATGATGGATCTTTGCCGGACAGCTGCAGCACCCGAAGTTATCAAAACCATAGCTGGACAGATCTCAAAGCCCAGCGAAGCCATCAAGGTTAGTCACCCATTCCCAGCACCCGAATTTTCGTTAATCCTTAAATATATAATATGGCGTAATTATTTCCCTATAGATGCGTATCGCCCATCGCGTACGTTTGATATCAGGCTTCAATAACTACAAGCTCCGCCTCCAATTTGTCCAAGCACGCCTGCAGGCCGTCTCAATACTGATATACTCCAATGCCCTGCAGGACAACACCGATAAGGTGCTTTATGCCGGCTTCGGCGAGGAGCTGTGCGAGCTAATAGACAAGGAGGACCTACATCTGGTGGAGATACGCGCAGCTGTTTTGCGTACCCTTACATCAATGCTTCATTTTGATCGCAATCCAAATGTTCCCAGGTAAGTAAGCTCCCACCCCGCACTTCGGGGTTGACTCCACTGTAACCTTTCACTCACTTGGCGGCTTGTTGTAGCAGGGCTGGTTCCCGCTTAATGAAAATCGTGCATTATACAGGCGCAGAGCGCCAGGGCGGCACACTTCCTCTGCTCGTACGTGACTGCATTGATAATCTGACCACGCATGGCCTCACCGATCGCTATCCACTGATTTTGGCCACATCGCTTTTCTCATTGCTTTACCATCTGGCAAGCTATGAGATGGGCGGCTCGGCGTTGGTAAAGAGCGGAATGATGCAGTCGTTGTTGCGCGTGATCAGCTGGCCTGGAGTCGACCTGGAGCACATCACATTTGTGACAAGAGCTGTGCGCGTCATCGATTTGATAACCAACATAGACATAGCACGCTTCCACCAAAACAATGGACTTAACGTGTTCATCGAACGACTGGAAAAAGAAATCAAGAGCTGTTGCAAGGCTCTAGCCGACATTGGCATCACACTAAAAGAGTCAACACTCAAATTAGATACCTCCCTAGAACAGGTGGAGGATGATGGTGGGTACTTCAATACTGGAACTTTTTAAAAAACGCTAATATCATGATTTTTCAACAGATGCTGCTACAGAAAATGCGTCCATTGCCAGTGGCAGTGCATCGCCGCGTCGTGACAATTCATCTAGTGATGGCGGCAGCGGCACTGCTAATGAAAACGCTTCAAGAGCCTATCGCGTTTTTTTAGAACATAATGAGCAACGCGGGGGCGCTGCAGGTGGTCTTCTAGATATAGGCGTTCGTGGTTCTGGAATACACGCGCTAAGCAGCCTTGCCAGCAGTGCTATTGAAGCATCGGCGCGCGAAGGTGATAGCGCCGGCTCTGCAATACGCCCTGTGCAATATCCAGCCAACAGTTACTATGGACGGCCCTTGGCAGAGCGTAAAGCGGAACTAAGCTCACAGCTACCCACGAGCCTACCGCTGAAGAAGCCCTCGTGTGTAACACAGCGCGCAGCTCTCCTCAAGTCTATGTTGAATTTCCTCAAAAAGAGCATACAAGACCACGCACACTTCAGTAACATGCGCAACATCATGGAAACGAGCCTCACTCAGTCACTGCGCCATATTATCGCTAATGCTGAGTACTACGGACCTTCGCTATTTTTGCTTGCCACCGACGTGGTCACAGTCTACGTTTTTAATGAGCCGTCGTTGCTCTCCTCGCTGCAGGACCTGGGTATTACCAGCGTTATGCTAAAGGCTCTGCTGCAGAAGGATGTGCCAGCCACTCGCGAAGTACTCGGATCGCTTCCCAATGTATTCTCAGCCCTTTGCCTCAACGAGCGAGGGCTTTTTGAGTTTCTATCATACGACCCCTTTGACAAAGTGTTAAAGGTGCTACTCTCACCAGACTATTTGGTGGCCATGCGGCGGCGCCGCTCCTCCGACCCTCTGGGAGACACCGCTACCAATCTTGGAAATGCCATGGATGATCTGATTAAACATCATCCTTACCTACGCGCCGACGCCACTGAAGCCATTGTGCGTCTGCTTAACGAACTGGTGCGTCTGGGCTCGGATCCCTCCTTTATCTGCTGGCGTGCCAACAAGGAAAACAGCACGGTTGCTGGTACTTCCCACAGCAGCGCGCACACAACATCAACTCCATCCCCCATGGTGATGGTGGCCGCAGGTGGCGGCCCTGTATTGCAGAGCGTGGGTGCTGACAACAATGATAGCAGCGGTGACGATGATGATGACGACGATGAGATGAGCTCTGCGTCGCAGCAACAACAACCACAGTCCACACAGACTCAGCAGCTTCAGGTAAACGCCCAATCTGTAGCCGCCCGACCTCTTCAACTGCAGTCATGCAGCTCCACCCGTGCAAGTACTCATCTTACTCTACCCGAACGCGAGGCAATACCACTGATCGACTACATTCTTAACGTAATGAAATTTATTGAGGCCATCTTTAGCAACAGTCCCAATGGTGACCACTGCCGCGAGTTTGTACTGCGCGGAGGTCTCAAGCCCATCCTGCAACTTCTTTCACTGCCCAACCTGCCGGTAGATTCGCCCGTGTCTACCACATCGCAGGCTGTGGCCAACGTCTGCAAGGCCATATTGAGCCAGGCGCAGGAGACTAAAGTACTGGACATCGCACTGAAGCAGCTGGCCGATATTGTTGCTCAGCTGAAGCCGCTTATCAAACATTTTACCTTCCCAGGAGGTAGTGTACTCCTTGCGGAGCTCGTTTGCTGTCAGCGCCTGGAAGATGGCTTCGCCAATGCTGAGTACACGCCCATACTGCACAACATGAGCTTTGTTCATGGCTACGTGGTCATGCTGGTGCATCTTTGCCGCAATGCTTCCGCCGAGATGCGTACTATACTGCTAAAACGGTGGGGCGCCAATCGGGAAACAGGGATTGCACTGTTGCAGCAGCTTGTGCAGCTGTACATCTCCCTAGTTTGGGAAAGTACCATTCTACTAAACCTCTGCTCGGACGAGCCCACACAGCATCCGGATCTCATCTGGGACGAGATTGCCGCCCAAATGTCTGCCGCTGCTGGCACCGCTGATCCCCTCACTGAGGCCGAGCTGTCGCGCAAACTGGAACGCGCTGCGGAATTTCGCACCAAGTACACGCCTGAAGAACAGTTTCGTTACATTAAATCACTTCTCGCAGCCTCTTCACGTTTAGGACGGGCCCTCGCTGAGCTGCTAGGCACTCTCGTAAAATTGTCCGTGGGTTCGCCGCAAACACGCCAGCGTCGAGTTAACGACCTCATCAGCAACATAAACAAAGTTCCTACACCGGAGGCCCGAGAAATCGCGCGCATACTAAGTTCGATTCTGGTGAATGGGTTCAGTCATGAAAGTATTTTACCCAAGCCGGTCCCCAAACTTAAGTTGACATTTCTCATCTGCTCAGTGGGTTTCACTGGACCCATGCTGTTCGACGACAAACGTAGCGCCTTTCACTTGATGATCTCGCAGTTCTGTGCAGAGAATGGTCTGAAGGCTTTCTTTGAGATGTTTTATTGGGCCTTGTCCCTCGACAACGTCTCGCAAAAATTCGTCTTTGATCAGTGGGCCCCGATGGACAACCTGATGCAGTCGTATGAGGACGACAAGCGTGACTGTCCAGAGGGTACCGGCGAGTTTCTCGATGCTTGGTTGCAGCTGCTGGAAAAGATGGTTAATCCACGGGCAATGCTTGACTCACCATACACCATGAGCACCCGGCTTAACTACATGCCCGACAGCGTCCCATTTGAGCCTGTTTTTTATCTTATACACATACACCAGCTGGCTATGCAGGCCCTTAGGCGCATCTGGAGCCGTCGCCCTATACCCAACTATGGCCCCTCCATGTTCGAGACCATGATTCTCATATTGAAGCACCTTATAAAATCGCACCAAATGCTCCTCGAGCGCTATCATACGCGTATGAAGGAGATTAAGTTTGAGAACCTCTACATCCGTAGCACCGATGACGGACTTAATGCCGATCACATCAAGGTCCTCACAGACATGGGTTTTCGTCACTATCACATCATCGAAGCTTTGCGCACCAACGCATCGTTAGAGGAGGCCACTGACCACCTGCTTAATAACCCGGAGGCGAGTGCGCTTTCTGTAGGTCGAGCGGAGGCACAAACCCCGGCTGGGATAGCCAACCCCGCAGCAGCTACGACTGCTTCCGGTACTGCAACGACATCAGATATGGACGTAGATGTAGATGTGTCAGTGGGAGCCTCTGAGATAGGCCAATTCGGAACCAATTCGAACGACACCTCAGTTTCAGCAACAGCGTCGACATCCTCCTCCTCGCTTCCATTGCTGCTGCTACCTCCAGCGTCATTTAGCAACACATATAACTACAAGCAGATTAAGCTAATGCCGCAACTGGTCTTCGACCGTTTCTGTGATGAGGCCATCACACGTGCTTTCGAGTTCATGGAAGCCATTCCGGATACAGTGACCAGTGCGGCAGACCTTATAGCAGTGCTTTACCGACGGCACAACCAGGCCCACAAGCAGGTCTTTATTACCAACTTTGTACGCAACATCATCCAGTGGGTAGACTTTACGTTGCAATTGTTCGAACCGAAAGCAAGCAGCCAGCGCATTGAAGAGTGCCTAACAGGTATGACGGCTACACGATTGTTTGTACGCCTGAAGACTTCTACACTGTTGCTGGAGGAGAACTACAGCGACCTGCACCGGCCACTGGTGGAAGCTATTACGACTCAAGGTGCCATGGTGTCGCTGGTAAAGTTGCTCGATTGCATGGGCCAATGGCTACTGGAACAGACGCGGTCGACCGTGCCGCGCTGGGTGCAGAATCTTGTAGATCTCATAGATGCCATCGACAGCATCAGTCACATCCTGCAGCGTAAGGCAAACATGCGTGCGGTAAGCAGCGATGTGTGGCGCTGGTACGATACCTCAACTGGCAAGTGGAATGCCTATTCGGAAGCTAACAATGAGCTGATACGCAATGCGTATGCTGCAGGCGAGCGCTGGCTGCACATTAATATAGGAAGGCAGCGCTGCACCGTTAGCTTTAACTGCATGACGCAGGTGAGCGAAGCATCAGGCAGCCATAGACCTGTCTTCCCGTCGCTTAAGGTCAGCGAGGCCATCACCAACCTGCACAATTCAAACTCGCAGCACAAAGTGGACAACATATTGAATCGCATAGTACGTACTATCCCCGACGGCGGCATCTTACAAGTTGACGAGCTGATCCCGCTTCGCCAGATAGTTAACTTCAACGATCCACAGGTGCCACCAGCTACGGCTCCAGCAACAGCTACAGCACCAACTGCAGAAACCTCTGAAGATCCTGCCAACGATAGCTCTGGCAGCGCTGGAGCGACTTCCCCACCTGGCGGTAACTATGTGATGACGCGCAGCAAGTCTAGATTGAAGCACGCAGCTGCAGCAGCTAAGGCCAAAGCAGCCGTTAGTGGCACTTCGCCACTAATACCAAAGCGCACACAGAAAATCGTGCTGAACGAGGAACATGTGGGCTTGAGCAAGTTCGACTGTGGCCGTATAATTGGCAGCATTGTAGATTTGCTGTTGCAACCAGGGCAACTTCTTAATTACGAAACAAAACTCTCACTGCTGCGGTTGTGCGCGCGGTTGACTAGGAACTATGAAAATGCCCAGATCTTCATAAAGCGTGGCGGTGTGCGGATGCTGCTCCAGCTACAGCAGTCGTGTAGTTTTATGAGCTTTCCCACGTACGCAATTATTATACTGCGCCACGTATTAGAAGCGCCGCCGGTGTTGCAAGAGGCCATGGAGCGAGTGCTGGGAATGCGTGCAGCCGGAATTGTGCCTGTAGGCCATCGAGATCTCATATATGTGATTACGCAGGTATCGACGGCGGTTTCTCGTGATCCAACCATTTTTGTGGCAGCCGCCAAGGAGATGCTCAAGGGCGAATACCTAATAAATTCAAGCAGCAACCCCACTGACGACGCGCGAGTTATGGTCAAGTCAAAATTCGGACAGCAGTCCCAAGGTGGTACGTCCAACGCGACAGGCACCGAACAGCAACCAAAAGATGAAGCCAAGGATGACTCGCTAGTGCAGTCATCTATATCTGTGCTGAAGGAGTTGCTTCACGCACTAATCCAGCCTTGTTGTCACTACGGAAGTAGTACGGAGTCTGTCCAAAATGCAGCGGAGCTTGTTGTCCCGGATCAGCCACCCAGTGCCGTAGGAACAACCAATGTCGGCGATGAGGTGAGTTTTCAGACACACACAGCCTACAGCTCGACACTTTCTTACCATAAATTATGTTTGCAGGATGCTCCACCTTCCAGCAAGAAGGCAGCCGGCGTAAACATTGCCACCGGTAGCACTACGGAAAAATTTGAGCCATGTTGCTGTACCTGGCATATACCAACAACCGCACATATTCACGTTAAGCCCACACTCTCACGTGCCACTCTGCTTAAGGTATTGGCTGATGCGACACGTGCATATCAGTCTCTGGTACCACGAGTGCTCTTGGGCCACGTTTACACTACAGCGGACAGTCCATTGATCACTGCGCCAAAGCAATCCTTCCTGGCCGTCCTGCTTGATCGTTTCCTGCCGCTGACACAGCGCCAACACGTGCCAGAGGTGAGCACTATGGCGCGGGTGCTACTTTCCTCGCTTTCTGACTGCTACCAGCAGCCGGGTGTACAGACTCAAGTAGCTGAAGAAGTCCACGCAGCGGTGGCGCGGGCTCTTGCCCAGCCAGATTCGGCCGAGAAGCACACACGCCTCCAGGTATTAATGAGCCTCTTCCCCAATCTCATCGAATCACCCATGCTCTACGACAAGGTACATATGCATCGAAATAATATGTACAGAGTCCTGCTGCGTCAGGGCGTCATGACCTACCTGACTAAAGTGGCCCAATACAAAGATTTGTCTAATCACAACACACTCAGTACGCTGGCTGCTATATTGCGACCGATGGAGATACTGCTACGCTTTAGCGTGTCGACAACGACGCTTGGTTCAAAGCGCATTCTTTTTGGCAGCGCTAGTGGCACCAGCGGCGGCAGCGGCACAAGCAACAGCAGCGGTAGTAGTGCTGCCAGCAACGCTGCGGGCGGCGCCCTGTACAGAGCCAATGCTGAGTACATAAACCGTCGCCTGTACCCACGTATGGCGGCCCGTTCCGCGGTCAGTGCGGCGGTGGAGCGCTCGAATGCCATTGGTGGTGAGCATGTGCTGCGCGATATAATACGCAACGTCTTGTCAGATCGTCGTCACGCTTTTGAATTTATCTTCAATTCAGATGAGATGGCCGTCGATTCGGAGGATTCGGCGTCGGTTAGCAATGGTGCTGGCGCCACTGCTGCCAGTGCTAGCGCTGCTAGTGGCGGTGGTAGTAGCGGTGGCAGCAACGCTATCGACGTGGTTGACGAGCGCAGTCGAGGTATGGAGGCTCAGGAGCCAACGCCGCCTAGCAATGCTAACAACGCCGGTGTGCGCCCCGTCCTCAATTTCGATCAACTCTGGGATGATTTCCTTCAAAGCGAAGGTCTCCGCTTGGCTTCACGTGTTGGCAGCGGTGGTGGTTCCGCCGGAACAGGTGCCAGTGGGGGCCAACAGAATGGTATTGGCAACGGGTCTGTCAGCAGCACTGGAGGGGTCGCAGGAAGTTCTGTAGGCGGAAGCTCTAGCGGAGATCCACGCCTTCGCAACAACACTGATGTGGATATTGGTGGCGGAGGCAGTGGTGTCGTGGCGGCTAACGTCAATGACAATGGCATTGGCGGTGGTAGTGACGGTGCTTCCACCTCATCGGACACGGGTGCAGCAGGTGTCGGTGACATCAATGCCTCGTTGCTGGGTGATGTGAGTACCAGCGACTCTGATTCTGAGTCCAATGCTTCGACAGAGGAGCGCAACGAGGACGATGAGGATGAGGACGACGATGCTGGTGATGAGGATGTGGACGATCACAGTGAGACAGATGTGGATGAGGGACGGCCGCGTCAATTCATCGAAGTATTTGATCATATTTATGAACCCGAGTCGTCGGAGACGGCCTCCAACGATGCTGATGTAGATGCTGATGATGATGATGAGGACGAAGACGATGAGGATGAAGATGATGATGTGGACGAGGATGAGCATGAAACACATGATGCAGTCGACGTGGATGAGTCGGCTGATATTGATGATCTGGTTGTGCCACAGTCGCGAAATCGACCGCGACGCAGCGCAGCTCTTTCTGCGAGCGTAGAGACCGGAGGCGGTAATGCCAGTGGTGCCAGCACGGGAGCTGGAGTTGGAGACGCTTTCCTCTACGAACGTCTAGGTGGTGATAGTAGTCATGAGCATAGTCACAGACACACTATGTCCACGCCACCCGCCAGTTTTCGTGTGCGCATCAACAGCTCTATCGCACAGCCACTGGACATCGATGTGAACGGAGGCGGAATCGTAGGTGGCACACCTTCTGGAGATGCGGGTAATAGCGGAAGCGGTGGCACTACAAGCGGGGTATCAGCTGCACTACGGCCATCGGCTGATTCGTGGATGGCACCGGACTTCAGCTTTATGGGCGGCGGTCCTTCCAATGCCGTAACCTCCAGCAGTAGTGGTGATGTTAATGTGAACGCCTTCCTAGCACCCACAATAGCACAAATGGATCGCACTGCAGGCGGGGGTCAAAACATAAGCAATCTCTTAGACGAACCCGTAGCTATCAGTTCTCTTGGCAGCAATGGAAGCGGCGGTGGTAGCACTAGCGCAGGACACCCCAATGTCCCGACTCTCTGCAATAACGGTGTCCGTCGGCGGCTACTTTATTTAGACCAACAGTACTGCGTATGCATGCCTACGCACCAGAACCCAACGGAGGAGACGCAAATGGAAATATTCACTCAAGATGGTATGTTTTATTAGTGGCTTTTGCGATGCGTTTTTTATATCTTTATATTTGTAGCACTTCACTGGTGGTTGGAGGAAGCTAAGGCACTGGACATGGAAAGCCAAACTGATGCATGTCTATATGCTGCTCATTTTCTGTTGCCTCATATCATCAAAGAACTAAAGGCTGCTCACATGCAGCGAAAACAGGATGAAGCTACTCGTCAATCCAGCGCAGCTACTACTGTCAGCACACCAGCAGTACCCCTAACAGGAGGCGTATCTACTTCTAGCGCGCCTAGCACAACCGCCAATACTTCTGTGGTTACCAACAGTACCACAACAAATAGCAGTAACCGCCGCAGTTCCATACCGGTTCTTATCCATCAAGGTGGCTTAGGGATCCCTGGTGGCCCCAGCAGTGGTATAGCCAGTGGTGTCTCCGTTACGAATTCCAACAGCAATCCATATATACCGGGACCAAGTATGAATCACCCGCCCTTTCATCGCCCTCAATTTCTCACCGCTATTTTCTTTTCTATATTTTCTTAGCTACTGGTGTTGAGCAACCCCGCCCACGACAACGTGGTGGCTCCCGCCAGCAACCGCCCTATAACATCTACGCCGAGATCGACTTGACAAGCGAACAGGATCCAACAGCTTCGCTTACTGTTTCCGCCAACAATTTGGGAAATGTATTTCAGGCCGCAGTAACGGCCGGGCAGCCGCATTCGCATTCTCATCATAGGAATCAGCCGCCTGTGCCGCACCTAGGAACAAATGTGCGCCTTTCCCGACCACGTACGCGCCTGGACGAGGTCGATCTCTACGCGCCCGATGACTTGCAGGTAATACCAACCGACAGCGATGATGAACTCGCTACTGAGGAGACTATAAATCGTTTTGCGGCACTCGTATACGATTCCTTTCAGGTACAGGAGCAATCTGTCTGTCAATCAATCAATTTGTCTGTCTGTCTGCCTATCAATCGTTCTCAATTCCAAAAACCACATCTCATGCTGTAGTACCTTGTAAATCTGTTAGATGCATAACCAGCACTGATGCTTTACTGTTATTGTTAACAGATCTTTTCCTGATCGTGGATAACCTCTCATACTTATGTTACTTGATCAATGTTCTAAGTATAATGGCAATTCAGACTGATATATGTGCACCGACATTACATTTTTCACAACTTAATTTAGAATACTGTGTCCTACGGGTTTCCAGACGTTGATCATATTTCACTCCTATCTTCTTTTCCATTCAGCTCCATATTTTCTTGTCCATTTAAGCCTGTTATTATTTTTTTTTTAATCTCACCCGATTGAAGAAATGTCATGGCATTTCAGCTCAGCAGGAGATTTGTTCACAACCAAACATTATTCTTTTGTTATTTAACAGGTTAATGAACGACTTGGGCCGTCGCGCCGTCACCAACACTCGTCAGGTAATCACACAACCTCTTCGCGCACCTCCGGCGCTATGCTGCATAGTTCGCGCTCTAATCGAGACCTGCCAATGCGCACAATCCCAGACCTCCATCGTCTCGTACAGGCACATACTGCGTCACGCAGTCGGAGCACAACTGCAGTAACACCGGCGACAGCGCCTACCGTTTTCAGTAGCTCCACGGACGACACCACCTCGGAAGAGACATCACTAGATCCGGGCAGCTCAGAGCTGAGCTTCATCCTACCTCCCCCATTGGAGGCCGTACCGGCAGTTTTGGATATACCTGCTCAGCGACAGGCCCAACAAGCGCAAGCTCAACAAGTGACAGAGACATCTCAGCACCCAGTGACAACAACGCCTCCCATTGCGGAAGATGAGCTGTGGCCTGCGAGAGAGGACACTGTGACACTGCCATCCGATCAGGCTACGACGCTGCCGGCTGCAGATGTGACTGCAGTTAACCCGACAGCGTGTGAGATTGTCGCCCAACCAAGTGAACAACCAAATGAAGAAACAAGCGAAACCACGGCGACGACGACCATTACGGGTAGCACAAACCCAGACTTGGAGGCTAGTGTGGATGCCGCCGAACCACCATCAGAAGTGGTAACAGAGGGGGAGGTTGACTCTGCAGCTGCAGCTGAAGCCGAGCTAGATCGATTAATCGACGAGGCAGCGGCTGCTAGTAATATAACTTTCCCGAGCCCGATCCGTGGAACAACTACTACCACCACCAGTTCGACCACGAACAGCAGTAGCAATTCCAATACTACATCGACTGCTGCGATTGTCACCGACATGAGTCCCGAGGTGCGTGCCGCATTAGGTGATCTGGAGGTGCCCGAAGGCGTGGATCCATCTTTTCTAGCAGCATTGCCCAGTGAAATGCGCGAGGAAGTAATTCAGGAGCATTTGCGAATGCAACGCATCCGTCAGCGAGCACAACAGACTGCCATACAAATTGCTCATGACTCGCTCGTAGAAGTGAATCCAGAATTCCTGGCCGCGCTGCCGCCCAACATACAGTCGGAAGTGCTAATGCAGCAGCGGATTGAACAGCAACGTCAGGCGGCTCAGAGCGCTAATCCTGATGATCCTGTCGACACAGCTGCCTTCTTTCAAAACCTGCCCGAGAATTTACGCCAGGCGGTAAGTCAATAGTTAATCAAATCGTCGATATTGAAGTATAACTAAGATGTTTTCCTGCAGATACTCACTGATATGGAGGAGTCACAGATAGCCAGTTTGCCACCAGAATTAGCTGCCGAGGCACAGTTTCTGCGCCGCGACTGGGAGTCTCGAAACGGCGCTCGCATGGACGCCCATCCACCAAGCAATGCATTGTGTAAGTTATGTCGGTTGCATATCTAAACATAGGTTCATTATGATTGTCGATATCATGTTTGTTAGCAGCACGGTTCCAGACGACTCTACAAAACTTGGACGATGCGCGCTGGCAGAGCGCGATTTGGTACGATGCCAGTGGCAATGCTCAGCCGCAACATCACCAGCACACCACGATTGTGCATCATCACCATCACGCACCCAACGCTGGAAAACCGCTCGCACTCCTTATGATGGAGGACGAGAACATACTACTCGACCCGGACTCACTGGCTACGCTGCTACTCTTTTTGTTTGTCGAGGACCAGAAAGTGAACAGCATGCGGCTGCACCGCGTCATCCGCAATCTGTGCCACCATGAGCCCACACGTGACTGGATCATAAATGCGCTCATTAGTATTATTCAAAAAACCAATGAGGATAATGCAAGTCTAGGAGCTGGTGCGGGTGCAGTGACGAATGCGGGCAGCAAGCCGCAATGGCTAAAGCTGCGCGTTGACGCGGCCTTTGGCTACAAGTCAAATATCTTCCTTATTAACCGACTCTATGAGGGTACCGCACGCAGCATCAGTATCAATCCTCAAGCGGCGCAGATGATCGTACGCAACTGTCTTGACCTGCTCTTTGTGCTGGCCAAGCACTATCCGCCCAGCTTTGTGCCCTACAATCGGGATCTGAAGGCGCGCCGTGTGCTTAACGCTGTTTTCGCTTTATCCTCTCCAACACTCACGTCCAGCTCGGCATCGAGTTCCAGTACATCGTCCTCAACACGCCTTGAAGATGTCAATAGCATCGTCCCCGGAGCAAGCTCTTTGGATTACCGTTCGCGTTTTTATCGACACCACGTAGCCAATCGACTACGCGGTATTTTAGATGAGCCTAAGCCTTTGTCAGGACAAACACTTACTGTACCGCTGGATGAGGCTCCCTCTACATCGAAAGCGGCGGCGGCAAAGGCTGCCGCTTCGGCCGCGAAGTTGCCCACAAGTACAGTGGCTTACCAAACCAATGCGAAGAACTTTTGGGATGTAGTGCTCAACATTGACCGGCAGACGCCGCTACGCCTCGCGAATGTGGCTCAGTTCCCGCTCACCTCTCAGCCACCTTGGGAATGGAAGACAAATAACAGCGACTTTCTTTCCTTTAGCGATTCTCCGTTCGGGCAACTTCTCGAGATGCTGCCCTACAAAGTAATATGTCGTTCACCGCATTTGACCGACATGCTCGTTAAGCTGTTGGCCTCGCTCAGCACTGAGCTACCCAAAGAGGAAGAGCAGTTGTCTGCAACAGAGCAGATGCTCTCCATGGCATCAGTGACGAGCTTGCGTGATGAGAGTGGGCGATCCAGCGAAGGCATAGGCGAGGAACTTCCGCGCATTTCAGCCGTGAGCAATGAAAGTGAAGGAGCTGGTGATGAAGTGTCAGGCGAAGAGCAAGTTCATGCGTTATCGGCTTCGGTTCCGCCTACAGGTTTTACATCGCAAGTAAAAGGGCAGTCGTCGACACCAAATGTGTCGAGTGCGCCGATTAAGCCGCGCCGTAGAATCTACTCCAAAAACTTTTCACAGTTGCAGCTGGTTATTGAGGTGCTAACCCACCAATGCGGCACTACTGAAGGCCTGGACAATGTGGCTAAATTAATCGTCAACCTGACACAGTGCTCGAAGGCATCCAATGCCATTTTCATACAGTACTTAACAGCGGCCATCCTAGGCTTGGCCGAGGAGGTACGTCAGGCTATACAGACGCTTCTGAATGAGATACGTTCCTATAATGCAGTCGGCGTGCAGGACAACAAACCGAGTACGTCGCAAAGTTCCAGCTCTTCCTCTACCGCTTGCACAGTACCCGGTATCAGCGCCCCCAACAACACTTCACTTCTCTCCAACATGACTGTGCACGAAGGCACCATGCAAGATCGCTTCACAGCCGAGCATGTCATCATATCGGCACCAAAAAATGCAAAACCTACATGCGAGCTTCAGCTGCCATCGATGAAGAAACTAATGTCCACCTCATCGGCACAACCATACTTCTTGCGCACTCTCAAGATTTTCATGCAGGTGCGTGAAATGTACGAAGAACAGAACGGCAGCGAAGAAGATGACGTTATCGACATTGTGGGCGATGGTTCCGGCAGCAATAGCTCAAGAACTAGCATTAGCGTCAGTAGTGGAGGCAGTGGCACCAGTGGTGCTGATTCAGGCATGGATGCTTCTGAAAACGGCAGTACTGTGATCAATAAGCCAGCTTCTAAACCTACACTCAGCCAAATACTCTGTCTCGATGTGCTCTGGCATACGCTTAGCGAATGCTTGGTGGCGCTTGAGGAGTCCAAGGACGAATTTGCGGTACTTGTTCTACAGCCAACAGTTGAGGCATTCTTTCTTATACATGCCTCTCATCGAGGCACCCCCAAGAAACCGGGTCGTGATACAGTCGCCCCCGGGCGCGGTAGTGGCTCTGGTCATGGCACGAATGTTGGTGCTGGGGCGAGACTGGAGCAAAGTTTACCGCTGGACGATAGCAGTAGCACAGGCACACTCAATTCTTCCGTGTACGAGGGTAAGTGTGCTTCCACGTTTTTCCTTAAATTATATTCTCTAGTATTCCCTCATTACCCAGCAGAGGAGACGCGCATGCATGACGGATCCAGTAATACGTCTAGCTCAAGCCCTGGTGGATTCTCAACCTCACAGACAAATGTTGTGCTGTCCGACCACGAAGCGCAACTTAAGCAAGATCGCCAGAAGTTCCTGCAGTTCGCCGAAAAGCATCGCACCGTGCTAAACCAAATACTCCGACAGTCGCCCACGCATCTGTCGGACGGGCCGTTTGCAGTGCTAGTCGATCACACTCGCATTCTGGACTTTGACGTGAAGCGCAAGTACTTCCAAACTGAGCTGGAGCGACTCGATGAAGGCATAAGGCGGGAAGAACACACAGTAAGTGTGCGTCGTGTTACAGTTTTTGAGGACTCGTTCCGCGTTTTATATCGCCTTGGACCAGAGGAGTGGAAGAATCGCTTCTACATTGTGTTTGAAGGTAATGTTTTGAGAAATTGTCTATCTTTTACACTATTCTGCATCCCTTTCTCGCCCTCTCTCACTCACTCTCTCTTTCTCTTTCACTCTCTGTGTCATTCAAACATACATTAATTTGTATCCACACAGAGGAGGAGGGTCAGGATGCAGGTGGCTTGCTACGTGAATGGTATGTCATCATCTCACGGGAAATTTTCAATCCCATGTACGCTCTGTTCTGTGTGTCACCGGGTGATCGTGTCACCTATATGATCAATCCATCGAGCCACGCCAATCCCAATCACCTGAGCTACTTTAAGTTTGTCGGCCGTGTTATCGGTAAGTCTTTTAAATAACAGTATGCTAAGACGACAACGCAAGCTAATCCTCTCCCACAGCGAAAGCCGTGCATGATAACAAGCTGCTCGAGTGCTACTTCACCCGCTCCTTCTATAAACACATATTGGGAAAACAGGTGAAGCATACAGACATGGAATCGCAAGACTATGAGTTCTATAAAGGATTGGACTATCTAATGAAGAACGATATATCTACACTCGGCTATGAGTTGACTTTCTCGACCGAGGTGCAGGAGTTTGGTGTCACACAAATACGTGATCTCAAGCCAAATGGGCGCGACATAGCCGTCACTGAGGAGAACAAGTTCGAGTATGTGCAGCTGGTCTGTCAGCTGAAAATGAGCGGCTCCATTCGGCAGCAGTAAGTATATGCCCATGAAGAGTGTGCGTGAAAAGTGGCCAGCATTAAAGTTCGTCGCTTGCAGGTTGGATGCGTTCCTCGAGGGCTTCTACGACATAATTCCAAAGCATTTAATATCCATATTTAATGAGCAAGAGCTGGAGCTTCTCATATCCGGGTTACCTGATATCGACATAGAAGATCTTAAGGCGAACACCGAGTATCACAAGTATACATCGAAATCAGCTCAGGTTTGTTTTTCTTCTTTTTTTTTCGATATTTTGGCTGCTCTATTAACTGCCTACATTCAATTCTAGATACAATGGTTTTGGCGTGCTTTGCGGAGCTTCGACCAAGCCGATCGTGCAAAATTCCTTCAGTTTGTAACCGGCACGTCGAAAGTGCCGCTACAAGGCTTTGGCTCGCTGGAGGGTATGAATGGCATTCAAAAATTCCAAATACATCGAGACGATCGGTCGACCGATCGTTTGCCCTGCGCCCACACTTGGTAAGTGATGTTACATATTTACCGCATTTTTTTGTGGAGCAAATTTTCATTATCTTTTATTCTTTTTCGTTGCAGCTTTAACCAGTTGGATCTGCCTATGTACAAGTCCTACGATAAACTACGCAGCTGCTTGCTTAAAGCTATACACGAGTGCTCCGAGGGCTTCGGTTTTGCCTAAGATGCAAGCAAAGAGATAGTGAAACGAAGATACGAATATAGCACCAACGGCATCATACACAGTGCATATAGTTATTATAGTATATATATATATATAAAATGTTGAATTAATTATTAATTTTCGCGCATATATATATAATATATATTTTCTTAAAGTTTCAAAGGTTAAGAGAAAAGCATTCAAACAAAAAGGCATGAAAAATGTTCTTTTTAACGATACATATAAATATTAATTTTATGTTCTTAAATCAACACTTAAAAAAAAATGAAGGTGGATGAAGAAAATGCATTAACTGCACCACTGGTCGCTTTGTTTCTTGTTTATATAATATAAAACAAAATATTTAATACAATCTACAAAGAATTGATAAGAAATATAGAAAACAAAGAAAATAACGGAACAAAGTATTTGAGCCAAGAGTAAGGTTTTATGTTTTGCATTTTATGATTATTTTTTTATTGAGTAGATGTAACATTGACAAAAAATGAGTAAATATTTAGTAATGATGATACAAGAACATTTAAAAATAAACGTACGCAAGCTTATAAGCATATTTGATATAAAATTAAAGCAAAAAGTATAAATAAAACCGAAATGTGTTAACTCCAAAGCTGACTTTTCTATACTTCTGCATATATGGTACAGTGGTTTTCATATGGTGATGTCTTAACTATTACTATTCGTACTTTTGAAAGCGATTCCTCTCTCCATTCATACTGTTCATATACATTTTAACATATGTGCTTGAGTGCTTTTTAAATTGATTTTTAAGACCCCACACCCAAAGAGTAAAATACTACTCCCCAAAGTATATATAAATATCATTGATCAGTATGATGAGACGAGTCGATATAGCCATGTCCGTATGAACACAAGTATCTTGGAAAATATAAGAGCTAGATTAACTAACCCCGAGAAAAGACAATTTTTTTCTACTACAGTAATCTTCCGTTATAGATGTACATAAGTCGTATTTCATGGATTTTCGAACTTAATATTCAAATTTACTAATTACATCCAGTTAGTAATTTCATTATGATAGGCCGATTTTAAAGGAAGTTATTCCCATATATGTATGTAGTTAATATCTGCCCAAGCTCTGTTCAGTTCCTTAAAATGTATGGCCCGACGAAAATAACCACCTGTTTTTAAATGTGTATATCCTGTAACCAAATCAAAAAAGGTGTACTAGCTTAGTGCGAATGGACGCTGCACTAAAATTTAATCTTCAACCAAGCAAAAATTATTATAAAAATGGCATCGACTTATGTATGTATATTGATAAGCATTTCCATTTCAAAGCTGTTGCAATAGTGCAACTTGCACATTCCTATTTCTGCAAGAAAATAATGTCCAGCTGCGTCGGATTATCCATACCCAACTGTAAAGCGAACTTAAATTAATATACTTGTACATTCATATGTTAAATTAATCAATTAATAATCAATCAAATCGGACTACTATGTACATACATATATCATGAAGCTAATTCTCTGGTTTACAAAGTTAGCGAAATATAGATATGTATGTATATAAACTATGCACATATAATTGCGCGACCATTTATAATTACACCATGCCCCATGTCTGTTTGTTTACATATATTTTCTCGTCTAGACGGGTGAACAGCTGTTGTTAGGGTTTTTGAAGATATCATCTCAACATATCGATGTGTTTCGTAACCATCGATAGTCCAGAATCTCTATCGCTAACCAAGTTGGCAGCCCACTTGCTTACATATAAATTGTAAAATTGTTCGAACTCAAAGCAAAACAAATTATATAAAACAGATAAATTATGGCAACTCGTGTTGTGGCAACGGCAACGGTGCGAGCTGTTAAGGGCCGTAAACTAATTCCCACACGTGCCGCGCTGACGTTGGTAAGTGTGCGAATCTGTGTTTGTAATAAAATGCGCGTGTTGTCCTCTCTTAAGAAGTAACAGCTATTCTATTGGCCATCATAATCTGTGCTTGTTGTTTACAAACTGTTTCATTGCTTTTCAGACACCCGCTGCGGTGAACCGCATTAAGGTGTTGTTGCAGGATATGCCGGATAAAGTAAGTAGAACAGAAACTGGGATCAAAATGTATAAGTCATCACTATTGCATATGCACGCACATATTAACAACATATGTACATATCTTGGCATTTTAGATCGGTCTCAAGGTTGGAGTGAGGCAGCGCGGCTGTAATGGTCTATCCTACACATTGGATTATGCTACTCAAAAAGGTATGGAAACTATATACATATGTATGTATATTATTGTGGATAGTTTTACGTCGCAATTATTTTCACAGACAAACTAGACGAGGAAGTCGTGCAGGATGGTGTCAAGGTCTTTATTGACAAAAAGGCGCAACTGTCGTTGCTAGGTAAGTTATGTAATTGTGCACAGGGAATAAAATATTAATTGAGTATTTCTCCTAATTATCTTTATTAAGGCACTGAAATGGATTATGTCGAAAGCAAACTTTCGAGCGAGTTTGTCTTCAATAATCCAAATATCAAGGGTACCTGCGGTTGTGGCGAGTCATTTAGCATGTAAAGTCACTAAATTAAAAAGTGGCCTAAAGCCGCACCTGCCTCGCAAACGATTAACCTAAGTTGATGCAAAAGTGAAGAAATGTAGTTTTTATTAGCGACAAACAAAACATGTATGTAAAAAATGCTGTTAGTTCAAAATAACGTTTTGTAGCAGTGTAAATTCTAAGTTCTGGATAATGCCAATGATATGAAATTAATTTGCGCGATTTCTTATTATAAGCATACAAATATGCATGTTGTTCAAATAATAGCGTGATTAATTTGATTAATCATAATGTATTTTGTATTAAATTTGTTTAGTTTTATAATTGAAGCATAGAAGAAAAATGCTTAGATTGATTTATTAAAATTAGGTAGTAGTGGCTTTAATGTCTTTAAATTACTACATATATACATACATACATGCGTTAAAATATATAGTTGAAAATAAATACGAAGTTTTCCCACAAACTCAGAGCTCAATAATTAAAATTGCATTTCCAATTCATACAATATGACGTGAACCAGTTTTGCGGTCATCGCTGATGTAGCCCATGTATACCATATTCGTCGTATTCCTCCCGTGTATAAACAAATTCTTCAAAGTTGACGCTTGTTGCCACTTCTTTGCCTCCGTACCAAGCATAGCGAACAGGATCTTCGGGGCATATAAGTGACACTTCTAAATCGTCTGGCACTAAGGAACGCAAATCTCGCTTAAGTCTTGGTAGGAATCCAGGAAATTGGGCGCTGCCGCCCACAATTAGTATGTTAAGCAGCAACTCACGATGTGCTTCCCAGGGACACGCTTTCAAAGCATCTACGACGGCCTCTGGAATGCCCACCTGCTGAATGCCAATGTCTGAGGGATTGAAAAGCAGCTCCGGCACTGTAAAGCGTTCATTACACAATGGTACCATTTGTTGATGTTCCTCTTCCTCTCGCGGCTGGCCCGGCATACGAATGTAGCCACGCTTGCATGTAGTAAAATCAGGAAGCACATAGTCAACGGCAATCTCTTTACGTTTCTTGTCGCACTCATGCACACGCATTGCATTTTTGAAGTCTTCGGCCACAAAACAAACATCCTCTTTTATTTGGTTAACCACATGACTCTCGTCCATGACGTTGAGGTGGCGATACGAAATCAGTTCTTTCAGGTGATTAGTTAGTGCTTTTCCACCGACATCAATTCGACGAATACCCTCCAGCACACGCCGGCCCAACACAAAGGGTACAACATGTGTGAAACTATATCCGACATCGATAATAATGCAATTTAGTGATTGCATTGTGGTGCGCTCCTCACTGTCCGCCACATAGTTGAAGGCGGCCAGCTCAGCAGACGTCGTCTTGTAAAGGCCTGCTACGCGATACTCTTCAAACAGCATCTCAAGCATGGCCTCTTGAACGCTGTGGAAATTCATCTGCGGCTCTGTTATCACGATGCTTCGATTTTCCAGCGAACAACCGATGCCATCCTTGCTAAAAATATGATCCCAAACCGTTTTTTGGGTATCCCAATTGAGGAGATAACCGCGCTGAAAACACAATATGTAATAAAGTGCAGATGTATCGCGGCATTCGTCAATTTGGTTGCCCACAAAGACGCGGCGTCGCTCGCTTTTTGCCTTCATAATGCAGTTAGGAATCACTTGCGGTTCGTCCTCATTGGCAAGTCCCACCTTAGCCGTGTACGCACCATTGTCTAGTACAACTGTGGTATTGGCCATTATTCTATTTTAATAAATCTGTCTAAATAATAACATCAACGAATAATTGGTACATCACTTTTTAGAGATGAACCACCGGCATTTATTCTATTAATCGGTATCTCGTACTTGCTATCGCTCTGTAATTGTAGTATCGATACCATGAGAGAAGTATCAGGCCGACAACTGTATCGAGCGACCATCGCTAAGAAGCGTACTTGTTTAGCAAACTGCTGCCGCGCGGTTGTGGTCGCCTGTTGCTGTTACTCTTTTATTGTTTGCTTAGCGCGTTTTTTTACGTTATGCGGAATCCGGCGGTCATGCGAAGGGCTGTGCAATTTTTTTTGAACTAATTAATGATTAAATGAAAATGATATACATAGTTTGTGCGTTCAACTAAAAAATGTTGTTAATTGTGGCAAAAGGCGGCACATTGGCAGAAGAATATGAAAAAACATTGCCAGCAACATCAATAATAACGACCACGACAGCAATAAGAAGAGCAAAAGAAGTGCGTGCAGCGGGAACGACGAGTGCCAAAAATAAGAAGACGAGCTAAAAATTAACGAATTCTGCTTTTGTATAGTTTTCGCTTATCTTGTACATACAAAAGGTGGAAGTAAATAAATCAAATAAAGATCAGAAAAAGGGCAAGCGGCGTGGCAGCCAAACCGGCAACTGAGCGCAAAATGTACACATGACAGCATCGAAGGTTCTTTATACAGCATCCTATGGTATCAATCGATGTCAAGTTCAAGTGCAGTTCGTTAGTTGCCCTACCAGTTAGTTGCCGCTCTGCTGCTTGCCTTTGTTTGAACATGCGTAGACCGTCCGCCTTGAGTCGTAATCATTACTTCGTCATTGGCCTGCTATTGGGTCTAGTGCTCAGCTGCTACATACCGCAGGACATTTGGGAACTAGTCCAGCAAGAGGAGTGTCCACAGGAGGCGGCCGAGAATCTGCTGATCGAACGGTTTGGCCAGGACGTTGAGCCGCATTTGAATTTAATTAACAAGCCGTTGGCTGCCAAAAAGCCGGTAAGCTTAATCCTTCCGCAGGTGAATTTTGCGTAATATCAAAATCCATTTGGTTATGCAAATAATACCAAGTGGGTTGGTCTTTCATCCAAGTAGTGCCCCATATATCAGTCAGGCGCTGATAGCAATTTATTGACCTTCTTGCTTATCGCATTTATTTCGCGGACGCTCAACAGGTAGTTGTTTTTGTTATTGCTTTGCATTTCTACTGCTCTTTGCTGTTCAGTTTCGTACTCATGCCATGAGTGTATCAACGTCAACAGCGCGCACACGTCACTTCTCACTTTCGACTTTACTTTTTGGACATTTTATGGGTTTTTCTTTTTCTTGCTAAATGTTGGTCATCGTATGTTTTCTGCATGTGGTGTACATTCATTTTTAAATGACATTGGGAGCGAACAGTAGCCGCGTGTTTCATCTACAAGGATCAAGCGAGGACCTTCAAAAATTTGATCCATATAAATACATACATATGTATGTATGTACGCATGTACATGTATATATGTATGTATGTATGGTTGTCAATAGAGCGCGAAAAGAGCGCAATGTAAAGTAAAGCAGCAGCAAACAAACAAACCAAACGCAAGGAATGGAAAAGGGGACAACTGCCTGACCACTTTGTAGCCGGATCTTACAAATTAAAAAATTATTCATTGCATCTTTAGCTATGTGTGTATATTCACCCGGCCGTTCCGGCTACAGCCACAATTGTAACGAAGGGCAGCAGTGCTTGGCTGCAGTTTTGAAGTCACTGAGCTGCGCTGCACAAATAAATAAAAACTGAACCACTTTTGCACATTTTTCGAGCATTATTACAAAAAAAAAGAAGGAAAACAAATACAAAACACACAAGGAAAGAGAAAAAGAAATCAGAAATGTAGAGGCGCGCGAATAAATTGAAACTGAATAAATAAACGCATTTAAGAATTATAAACCATAGCGAAATATAAATACACATGTGTGTATGTATGTATGTATGTACATATGTATACATATATTGTATGTATATACATATACATACATATGTATATAAGCAAAGTCTGCACATAGTATAATATTTTTGATCGCGGCACAAATTGCATGAAATAAGATTGATTGAATTGAATAAGAGTAAACGAAAATCTAAATGGCGCTAGTATATATATATATATATATATATATATATATATATATATATATATATATATATATATATATATATATTATATATATATATATATATATATATATATATATATATATATATATATATATACATATATGTATATTTGTATGTATGTATGTACCTACATACTTAGTTCGGAATCAAATTCTGTTTGAGCTCGCTATTCGAATTATACTTATGTACATACGTATTAAATCTAATCAGGGACACATACATACATACATATGTAAGTACTATGCGTTCACATTTTGACTAACCAGCAGAAATAGCTTCGTTTAACCTCGTTTTTGGACCTTTAAAGTTTAAACTGTTGCTTCGCACATACATATACATAGTTAGTATATCAATTATTCATTATTGCATTGCGGCCTCCACTTTTTCGCAGTTTCGTCGTTTTTCGCTAGCATATTCCTGACTGATCAGAATAGCGAGACGACTCGATATAACCACGTGTGTGGCTTTATGCAAACTAATCTCCGATTTAAAATCAAGCGCCTGCATTTAGCATATGTATATAAAAACAGACTGTCTTATTTGTCAAATGGGCTCTATAAGACTATTATAGATTATAACTGTCATAGGCATGATCGGCTATATTTTTTAAGCTGTCTCATCAAAATTTGATATCTTATGGTTTTATATAACGGGAAAAAATACAATATACTACTATATAATTATGAGCTTTAAGAGCGGTCGTCCGATTTTCCATTACTTTTTCGATCTGTTCACAACTTAGTTCTTAGTGCTAAACCCATTGTTATGTTTGTTATTTTAACCAAATTAATGTATTTTGTATAAGTTGTTTATACACTGTAACCGCAGAGTGTTGGTGTGTGTGTACATATGCATGTGAACCATAAAGTATACATATTCTTAATCAGTATGACGAAACAAGTTGATCTAGACATGACCGCTCATCTATCCGTCCGTCTTGGTGAACACCTGAATTTTGGAAATGCCAAAGCCCACATTGACCAAACTTGATGTCTTAATTCTCCTCATCCACGAGTTTCTTTTATCTTTCTGATCCCCCCCTTCATTGCCGCAGGATTTCTTCAATATTGCCCACAAGTAAAAACTGCCGGAAGGGTATTTCGTTGTCGGTCTTGCTGGACTGTATAATTCTCTCTTGCATAGTTATATTGTATGTTTTGCCAGAATGTTCATATAGTATGTACTTAGAAATGCAATTTTTGGGCCAAAGGTATTTCTTAAATTATCTTATCTAAAATATTAATAATCAACTCCATCCACCATCAAAAACTGATGACGCCAAAGCAGTACAACTACTCATACCAGTTTCTAGCGAATAAAAATAAATTAAGTACCATACTATGATTGCATAACAGAAAAAACATTTGTAGGCTAAACGTCCGATTATATGTATGCATCATTGTCATACTTTTGTGTTCAGTGAAAACTCTCTTAACGGACACCTCTTTTATCTGGACACTTTTTCTAAAACATTCGATTGGTGTATAAAGTATTCAATTATCCCCTTAAGCGGACACTCCTCTTAAACGGACACTCCCCTTAAGCGGACAGTCCCCTTGGGCGGACAAAAATTGGCCAACCGTGAGTGTCCGGCCAAGAGAGTTTTCACTGAATATCCTTGGGAAGGGTCAATTATTGCAAAGGTTATATATGTTTTAATTATTTTTTTTCGATATTTATAATAAACGGCAACATATTCTTGGATTTCGAAACTATGTATTTTGATACTTTATTAAAAAGAATAACAGTACTTGTACTTTTTTTATGTATTTAAGTAGTAGTAGGTAGCTTTATTTTTATATTCACTTTAATTATATTTACAAAACATTGCTTCATTTTATAGTTAAGCTAAAAAAAAATAAAGCTATATTTATTTGTTATCGACTTGGTTAAAAAACCGTCTGTCTTGTATTTAAGTATCAGGAGAATTTTGGTGCCGCTGAACCATGAGCTGTATGAACTATACAGCGACATTGATATAGTAAAAGGTATTTAGGCGAAGACTTATCAAAACCGACAACCGGTTGTCATGGGCACACAAGAAGTGTCATGGGAGCGATCGGTCCGAAATGGTTCCTATCCTCAGAAAATTGTATAAATGACATCGAACATGAAATTGATTGAGATATAACATACATACATACATATGTAGATTTTGTAAACAGAAAATTTACTAAATAATAGCAAATATAATGTCAATATGTATATCCCTTAGCTGGACACTCTGTCTGTTGTCAAAGGGGGAAGCAATGTCTGTGTTTTGTGTAACTAAGCACTTTATTTTATTTTGCAGTTGATCGCAAATTTTTTACAAGAATTGGAGCTTATTCGCCGATTTATTTTTGGCTGGCGGTGTATGGTGGGGTGGGATGGGGTGAGGTGAGGTGTGGTGGTGTAGGGGGATTGGGGAGTTTTTATAATTATTTGCATAACACGAGCCGTGCGTATGTCGGCATAAGCATTGCCAATCATTTTTTAAATATCGCTTTTTAATGACGTACACAATGTCTTAAAGCACTTGTGTTTTTAAGTGCGATGGAGTGGACTCGGACTGGCTGCCTTGTGTGTGTGTGTACAAGTATGTGTGTGTGTGTGTGTGTTTGTGCGCTTAATAATAACTATAGTTATTATTACGTATACGTAATACATTCGTATACTAAAAAGCACACACACATGTATATACATACTATACTATACACACGTACAGCGTCATAAATATGTATGTATAGTATAATGAACTCATATACATACATACAAATATACTTTTCGGTGTGTGCCGCACATGAAAATCAACCAAGAGCCATTTTTACATTCACTTAATAAAAAACAATAACTACGTTTACTTAACGCAAACGCTTTTGTGCCCGTCATTGTTGTTGTTGTTGTTGCAGTTGCTTTGGTTCAAGCAAACATAACATGTATGTAGAAGTGTGTATAAATATTCATGTACATATATGCATGTATGTATGCATGTGTATTGTAGACATTGCTAAGTGACGACGCTTAAGACTTAGCTTAGTTAGCAACGCATTTAGTTGTTGTTGTGCGGCAATTTAAGAGCAACTGAAAAGTGAAACCATAGGCCATTCGCACTTTGAACTCTGCCATAAGCTGGACTAACACACTCGTACACATGTATGTACATACATACGTACGTGCATATGTATGTATGTATGTAAAAACTTAGTCTGGGCTATGATTTTCGACATATGATTGGGTCATAATTTAATTAAAATTAATATTTGTAACTACTATCAATGTTTGAAAGTACTTCGATGCACACCCGTTATCTTTATATGTTGATATATCTTTGTGTACGGCATGAGCCCTAAAACCAAAACTCATGACAAGCGAATTTAACTTACCTTTACTTAATTATGTTTTGTAAGAACTAAAAGAAGTCGTGACTAAACCCATATGGCAGAGTATGACGAGTCCTTCTAAAAATTCCCTCTGTCTGTATAAATGTGGGGATCTCGGAAAGTATATATTTTCAGGGGCTACGTAAAATATTTGCTTCTTTTCTATATTAATTTTTCAATACCTTTCATTAATGTATTTAAAAAATATATAATATAATGATGGGGTTATTAACAACCAAACACTAGAGATGTCTGATGGGAGTAAAGTATAGAAAAGAAGATTTGTTAGTCGCGGAAATAGCATAATAAATTATTTATATACATATATTTATTTATTATTAATTCCTAGTGCAAAAGGAAAGATTCTTGTAAATTAATGCACTAGTCACAAAAATAAAATTTCCTTAGATATTAAAATTCAAGTGATTTGATTAGCCTACTTAACCTATTTTTATTTAATCAAGCTTTCACCATTTTCCTCCAGAAGTCTTTTAAAATGCACCAATTTTTATATGACCGAAAATCTCTGCCTACAGCTTTTATTGTTATTATTAAAAGAGACCCTTGTTATTCATCTTTTTTCATCAGTCATTCTTGGAATTTGTCCCAAAATGTGGCTGTTGGATATTATGTGACCTTATTTGTGTGTATCATCATGATAGGTCATCTATAAAGAATGTTTTACCCATAAATGTACTATCTGTTCATGCTCTGTCAGCGGCTGTTGTTGGTTTGCTCAGAAAAAGGGTCGTAAGCTCAATCAAGTATTTGGCGATATTTTACAACAATAAAGCTGACTTTTTGTGCCATAAGGAGCTGACAAAACAATGCACTGAAAGAGGAGAATCAACTCCAAAGAAGGCAATACTGTCCTCTTTTTAAAAGCTACATAAACCAAACATAATTTATAAATTTGGATCCAAATCGGTCAATTCCAAGAAAAGGTTTTAGCGAAACAATTCGCTCCAGTACTGCGCCCACAAACTGCAGCATCAAATTCGCTCTTCTTCTTCATATAACTCAGTGCCGGAAGTTTGTCTGGGTACAGGGTATTTTCTTGTCGGGCTTGCTCGACTGTAGCGTTCTCTATTGTTTGTATTATACTTGTATGGCGGGAACTGCTCATGTAGGGTTCTTTAAAATGGGGCATGTATGACTCCGGCATGTCATTCTAAAACTAGATCACATGCAATCGAAATTGTAGATTTTGCCAAAAATAATTTCTTGGATATGTTATGCCCAACTGTTTCTTAAAATGTGTTTTTTCTTTTTCTAGCGTGTTTCCTTTTCAATTATTTTTTGTTGCTGTGCTTTATGAAAATTTTACTTGGGAATAAATTTAACTTAAACTTAATGAGACGACCGATCACATATGTATGTATATGTACTTGTATGTACATATGCTTACCACGTGTACTGGGATTCATTGTACACGGAAGATCAAAACATGTCGTACCACAGTGGTCCCTTAGTCGCAAATGGAACTTATGATCTGTGCGTTGTCCGTAAAAGTTGCATAGTGGATTTCTTCTATTTTTTGTACTTTTCTCGACATTTGCAGATTTTAAATTAAAATATTAATTTGCTTATTATTTGTTTTTGAATATTTTTAATTTATAATTTGTACATTATAAAAATCGGGTTTGTACAACTATGTACATATGTATGTGTGACTGCTTGGATCTGAAGCTTGCCCTTTCCCGGACTCGATGTATGTAGGAGAACTTGCATACCAAGTTTTCTGACTTTACCTCTAATGTATCGAAGATCCTTATGTTCGTAGAGACAAACGGATATATATAAATAAATATATATTTATACTTTGTGGGGTCGTCTCTTCTTGGTTGCTACAAAAAACTGAACGAGTTCATAATATCCTTTTAGTCTTTAAGTCTTAAATCAAAATCGCTACACATCTATGCTAGTAAATAATACCTCTTTATTTACTTGGAGAGACGCACAATAGTCTCTCATTAATTCAATTTTTTTTATTAATATTGAAGCTGTTATGAAATGAATTTGGATTAAGCATCACTGTGTGCCCCAGTTATGTTAGAAGAATTTGACAAAACCACATGTGGTTTCTGTCATAAATTCATTTGAAAATTATAATTCGATGTTTTCGTATTTCTATTCACGTTTACGTATCTATTTTAAACTGCAATCACTTTCGTAAACACACATACACCACGAATGGCCTATTGTTTCTTTATCCGTGCACGCCACATGTGCATGATAATGCGTCAAAACTTTGCCAAAAGCTGCGAGGCGAAGCTGAATGATCAGATCAATATGGAACTTAAGGCTTGCCATCAGTACCTGGCCATGGTAAGCATTTCTGCAGTTTAGCTTACTCAGGCGACCACCAAGACCACCAATTTCACACCCACATCCTATTAGGCTTATCACTTCGACCGCGCCGATGTTAGCTCGCCGGGGATTTTCAACTTTTTTGTAAAGGCCAGCATGGAGGAGCGCGAGCATGCTGAACTGATAATGAAATACATGAACAAGCGCGGTGGGCTAATAAGGCTGAGCAGCGTGCCGGAGCCAGTGCCTTGCTATAAGGACGTGCTGCATGCCCTCAAGCATGCGCTTCAATTAGAATTGGAGGTTAATCAGGTGTGTGGTCCGAAGTCTGTGCCAAGTACTCTGCCTTGTAACTACTTGTATGATCCCTTTTGTTAGCATCTGCTTGATGTTCACGCTCTGGCTGGAAAGGAGAACGATCCCAACTTGTGTGACTTTATTGAGGCAAACTTTTTGCAGGAGCAAGTCGATGGACAGAAAATCCTGGCAGACTACATACGTCAACTGGAGCGCGCCCATATCGACTTGGGTGAATATCTGTTCGACAAGTACATGGGCTCGGGCATGCATGGGGCCAGTAATGAGAAAAACGGCCACTGAGTGTTGCTCAGACAAATGCGTTTTAAAAATTATCAGTGTCTACAAAAATCGTTAGTTTCCTGAACATTTCTAGTTTGCAGGAGTAATAAACAAATATCGATCGGTGGTAGCTGAAGTGCACCCACAAGTCAACCAAATACCGACTTTATTTGGGGGCAGTCTCGCTTAATTGGAAAGCGCGTCGCATTTCCGGCTAGAAACCCACATACTGATGCCCCAGTGCTTGCTCCACATCAGCACGGTCGCCGAGCGTCCCACCCGCAACTGAACTTAATTAATATTTACTGGGTAGAGATAACGCCGCCCACCTCTCAACCGAGCCAGCAAGAGTTGTTACCCGTGCCAGTTGCCTCGTGCATCAGCTGACAACGCCGCTATTGTTGCACTTGTTTCAATTAAGATTTCTCAAATCCAATGCTATTTGCAAGTGAGATCGGGCACTGTGAGCATTTAAGAGGCGTACTTGATTGCACCGATGTACCAGTACGAAATGGGATTCATTCTGTGCATCCCAACAGAACATAAAACACAAAAATGCAAATCAGCATTTGCATCGAACTCGTGCAAGTGTGACAATTTGTTCATAGGTATGAAAAGGAATGCTGCAAATATTTATATACAAGTACACTCGTATGTACTTATAACTGCAGCATTTTCCCTAACATAATTTTCCTACACAATTTTCCCTAACAATTGAACTACTTAAAGGGAAATTTGACACTTTAGAGATTGTAATTTTCATATTTCTGTTTCACTAAAAAGGAAGCATCTTCTCAGCTTCTTTATTATTGATTCTAAACTGTAATATAAATTTGCTTAAATTTTGAAATTCAACATTATTGTTGACGATTATGCTGTAAGAATTTTAAAGGATTCATTTGGTGGTGTACCCCCTCTGCAATGGCTACCTTTTTCCAAATGTATGCAAACATGCAAAATACTCTAGTTTCCATATACAAGTATGTTCACATACTATATACATAAATTACAAATATAAATATACAAAGTCTGTTCAAAAAAGGGCAATTTTGGATTTTTTTTAAAGAAAGTATTTATTTATTCATCAATATCCATCTTGTCCCCTTTAAAGTAGTCCTCGAAGCATTTCTGAAATGCGCTTTTCGGTATGGCTTCGGTATGTCCATCAGCTCGCTCTTCGATTCCGACTTTATCTCATAAATTCTGGCAAAACGCTCTACTTTCATCGGTCTCTTCTGCTTTGGGAATAGGAAAAAGTCGCAGGGAGCTAAATCTGGTTAATTTTCTTAATACATATTCTTTGATCCAATTTTTTTCAAAAGTCAAGAACTGAAGTACAAGTAGTACGAATTAAATTAAAATATGAACTCTTAAATATCCTGTACCTAAATCCACAAACAAAAATATATACAAATTGTAGCCTGTGTATCAGAAAAAATACTTAAACACAATCGGCTTACGACATAACGGATCCTGAATACCAAGTTTTGTTATTGGAGGTCTTATACTTTCTGAGATCCTTTCGTTCATACATATGGGCCTTTCTCACTCACATAGTTAAACATTTTTATAAATAATACGTATAAATACTTGCTATTACACCTAATTCTGTTTTTACACGGTTTTGATTTAACACGGGTTGAACTCATTCCGTTATCCATCATGTTAAGTTTCGTCATAATATTTTCAAACATAAAGGAAGTTATAGCCATAAGTGTAGTCTCTTTTGATGTAAATGTATTTTATTTAATTATTATTTAAATATTTTAAAAATTTGTTTTTGTTGGAGCGGGTACATGGCACTCTTGACTCGTAAGTTTTCGACTTAGTAATAATCTAGAAGGGTACCATTGGCTTTTGCAAGGCAAAACATGATTTTTCATTATTTCATGTATTTGTTTATCGTTTGTTTATTTGGCAAAAATTTCAGGTATTAGCTCCTCAGTATAATACTATTTGTATAAACTCTTCGCACTCATATGTCGCAGACTGTTTAATGGCATTTAAAGTCGGAGAACAGTCATAGTTAGAACAGAGCTGTTAGTTGGGATATAAGGAAATGCGCTTAGCTTTAGTAAACGCCCGTCCCCCTGCACCAACAACCTTTAACAATAGCCCCGTGTATACATGTTTATAATGTAATTCATATAATATCTACTATTTATGGCAACGTGCACAATAAGTTAGCACAGGCGCGGGCTAAGTTCAAGTATGAAACGCCAGCACTTGAGTCATTGGGTCATCTTGAAATAGAAAATGATTTGAAGTAAATTAGAAGTGGCTGGTAGGCACTAATTGGCGGGTATATGGTATGGATATATCGTTTAGTACACAGGTGGTATGGCTTGCGATAACGCTTTTTATTGATAATGGCAACGGTAGACCTTTACTGATTGAAGATATGCCGCTCCACTTTAGAACGTAACGTAATTAACGATAAATTGAATTACTGAACCTTTTAATAAGTATGCAGCACAGGTAACAGTAGTTACAGAAGTATCCAACCTTACGTAAAGATTACTGTTGGTGTTTTCAAATAGTGACTACCTTAGAAGCATTTAGTTTGAAGCTTCACAATAGTTAACGTTCCTTGGTGGATTGTTAAAATATAGAACAAATTATCCATATATTATGTTACATCTATATAGTCTAGAATATACTCTGTGACCATCGGCTCCTTCATGTCCAATACTTGTACTACAATATTGGATGGCAAAATTAAAGACCATCGCAGCAGTGATATTGCCAGAACTGGTAAGGAAAATCAACAAAATACTAAATGTTTTGGATGCGAGCTAGTAGACTTTCAAAGAGTAAGGTAAATCCTATATGTATTGACAAAAATTTGACATCAGAAAGGTAGGTGGGTGTTGCGATTTGTCATTTGGTGAAAAGAATGTTTCATTTCCACAATAAAATGTACCAACTTTGTTATCTGTACGGCCAAAAGCAACTAGTTGAAGATTAAATTGCTTCGCCATGCTGATTATTTCATGTTTTCTAACCGAAAAAAATGAGTAAGTGATAAAAGATTTGTCTGCAATACATTGGGGTTTACTATTGATAGTTATTTCGAGGACTATCACTTTATATATAATATATATCTTAACAATAGAATCTATTAGTTAGTTGATAGTTATTTCGAGGACTATCACTTTATATATAATATATATCTTAACAATAGAATCTATTACCTTGCAAAGGTGTATCGGGTAGGTAAGTAGAGTAGTTCGGTTACTTTTGGGACTACCCTCGTATACTACCTCGTATATAAAGCACATGTCTATATCTAGAGAGATAGTACTTAGTTATTATATGTACGTGTTATTGAACTTCCGTTGAGCTATTGCGTCACAAGGTAATGCGGTTCGGTGGGTTTCCATTGTTACTGGGTTCGGTCTCTTCTGAATTGGTTTAGGTATTAGTTTTTAAATTATACATACATATGTATGTATCCATCGTCATATTTATATACTTATATGCTCTTTCACATTAAATTTGCAATATTAAAAACAAACTAATCTTACCGCTCGATGATCGCGGATCTTAAATTAAACTTCATTATCTAAATCCACAAATGAAGTTTATTTCCGTCTTTCGAGTATTATTGTTTCTGATCATAAAAAATTAATTGCAAGGCGTTAAACAGAAAACCAAACAATACGGCACCCAACAAATCTTCGTGAAAATATTTGTATATTTCTTATGCCATACTATTGCTGCAAAAAATATATGTACTATATGTATGCGATCATATAGACGCGCGAGCAGACATACCGACATGGCTATATCGGTACAGGATACAAAAACGCTTCGCTTTAAGGAAAACCGCGCCAGAAACAACATTCAACCACAAAGGAAAACTAATGTCAAGAACAAAAAAGTAACAACAAAAGTTTAACTAAATTTGGTTTCAGAATTAAATTGATTAAATTAAAATGTAAAACAAGTGGAAATGCTAAAGAAGGGTTCCCAAACTTTGAAATATCTTTTACCTATGTGTAGAAAAATTAAATTAAAAATTAAAAATAAAAAATCAAAACTGTACCTTTTTCACTGTCAGGCTTGAATATTTATTTTCTAGATCGACTTAGTCTGGTGTACAAGTGTATTTCAAAAGTTACACCCCTTCCCTCCCCCGCTTTCCATAACTCTCGTAATTTCATCTTAATAGTCCATAAATGTAATTACTGCATTCATATACACTTTACGTGAGTTTTAATTTCGAACGATTTATTTTATTATTACAATTTTGTTAAAATTTCTATATAAACCTTACTTGTTAAATAATGGCATAGCAGAAGAAAAAATATAAGGAATAACGAAACCGATGCTTCCGCTTTCGTAATGGTCGTAGAAAATGGTTTCGCCCATAAATTTTCTTAGGATTAATTGATTTCGTGTAATTTAAAATAGCTATAAAATATGACAAATATATTAAGCCTGCAATTTAACTTATGTAGCTGCAGAATTATGAACAGTATTTTGTTGTGGGGGAAGGTGGGAAGAACCGAACGAATAAAATGTAAGGTTGCGTTAGCCAGATTCTTGTGCACCCCGCAATCTCCACTCTCTTCTCAACAGTCCTTAAAGTACAACGATTGGTTTTTAGCAGGCAGAAGGAGGCGTGTCAGACCCCAAAGTATGTATATTCTTGATCAGCATGACAAGTCGAAACCATCTAGCTCTGTCTGTCTCAGAGACTTTAAGAACTAGAGACACCAAATGTTGCACACAGCTATACAAGTTAGTTTCATTTATTTCATACACCCCCCACTGCCCCCGTATGTGGAATTTTCGGAAACGCCTTTCGTATAATCACCTATATCTCGTTGACTACAAGACCTAGCGACACCAAATTTTAGCCCAAAATGCCTTATATGAATACGCAGAAATGGGTATTTCAGAATTTCCCTCCAAGTATCTTCAGTTTATTGTTGCAGTTTCGTTCAATTTTCTTAATTTTAACATTTTTCTAATTTTTGTACACATACTAGGTACAGAATACTTCAAAGTCGGGGCAGTCGACATTTTCCACTTGTTTACATGCACAACCCTAATATACTCTTTTACCTTTACGGTACAGAGTATAAAACTTCAATTCACTTTACCTCTCTTATGCACTTTTAATGACATGCTTTAGTTGCTGTTATTGCTGGTAGGGCTCAAGCGGTTGTTGCACTAAAATGTACTGGGGAATACTTGTAATTGCACATTAATTCTATTTTTCAGAGACTATTCGATCTTTTAATTTTAACTAATGGGGGAAAATAGTGTAAGGTAGATATTAGTGATGTATGGCGATAAAATATATATGCGTGTCCGCATCTTTGAACGATACACCAATTGCTTCTAGATTTTGCTTCGTTTGCCAATTTAATATTTGTACGCTTAATTATCAGCGTACGTCTGGTGCACAAAGTGCTGGAGACCTAGAGTTTTGAAAATGGCACACTAAATATTCGCTTAACCAATGGCAAAACAATTTTTGCGCTAATTGGAAAATAATGTATGGCTGCGCTCTATGCGTACAAATTTCAGGGTTAATCCACTGTGTGCTTTGAACTCAAAAAAAAAAAAAAAAAAAAAATCGCTAGGTGCTGGAGAACTTGCTTAGATTAAATACAAGTCTTCCCCTGTCGATTGTACTATAGAGCAGCAACAGCTTGACCCATACCAGTAATAACAGCAATTAAATCACGTCATTAAAAGTGAATAAAGAAGTGAATTGAGTTATTTTTACTTTTGTTAAGAGTATTATAGGTGCAATCTGATGGTTGCCATATATAAAAATTCTCAATATATAATCAATACAATTAACCGATCAGAGACGATTTTTTCACTTGTGCTTTGCATCTACATACATATGTATTAAGATGCTTTAAAGGATTTTACACAGGGATCTTGGCTTATGTCCTTACAAGATTCGTATGGTGCAACAATTAGAGCCTCAGTCAGATCGTTCTGGTCGTGATTACAAAGAATTAGCAATTGTCAAAGGAAAACGCAATGATGATATACTTGTATTAGGCATATTATCTGTCGGTCCTCAAACATCATTACTCAAAAAGTAACAAAGAAATGGATTCATTTTCGAATTAAGGGTCTAATGGTACTTGAAACAACAGTTTAATACACATTTATATATATGTATATATATTTGTTCAATATTATTTTTGCCCCGATTGCCTAGTCAGACACAAGCTGCTTAACGTCCAAGCACTTCAACACCGACAAAATACTAACTGACAGCTGAACCTATTCAGCCATGATCTAAAGTGCCTGAGATAAGAATCACTCCAGCCATTATTAAGCTCCTAAGAAGTGTAACGTTGTTAATTGCTGACGACGAAGGTGTGTTCTCTTTTTTTTTTGACATGTTTCTTCGTATACGATAGACTCGGCTTAGAGGCTTTGCCAACTCTGTTAAGACGTTAGACGAGACTTTGATGTACGATTGAATGTACGCCAGAACTTGGTACTATAAAAGGTGGAATTGCTCAATTGAGAAAGGACAAGTTTATCAGGGCTGTTTCCGAATCCGATCAAATTAAATTAAAAGCAAGAGGTTTCAAATTGTTTTTGATATATGTAGATATTACCTAGATTCGAAAGAAGCTGCTTGTGTTTCCAAATTAAAATACGGATGACACAAACAACTCGTTTAAATGAACATTGTTAGTTGAAGGATAAAGAGAAAAGATCATGCAAGTGTAATAAAGAATCATATTTTGGACTTTTCATTGCTTTCGTAGCACGCTCGAATCTTTGTCTTACTCGAAGTGTTTAAGCCGAAAATATGAAATCGTCGGAGCTCTTAAAATTGTAATTTCAAGATAATGGTATCATAAACTTTGACCAAATCAATTATGTGGATAGAATTGTTCGGTTTACAAAACGACCGGTTTTTCATGGTAATTTTCTTGTACTTGTATTTTATTTCTAAAGCATGACTGCGAGACAAATAAAAAGAAGGAATTAAAGGGGGAAAACATTATACTTGTAGTGTTTCATTACGATAGCATAGTGAAGAAAAGGTTTCAAATTGTTTTGTTGCACACCTTTGTTTGCCAAGCCTTCTCTTTATGGATTTCTTGAAGCTTATCCCACATTAATCGCGTGTTTTGTTGCTCGTCTTGTTTATACTTGTAGGTAAAAAATGTCATACGACCACGTTACTACTCTGCGGAGCTGGGCATTCGCGAGAAGATCTTTATCGGCGTGATGACTTCACAAGAGCACATCAATAGTTATGCCACCGCCTTCAACCGCACTACTGCTCACCTGGTGAACAAAATCAAGTTCTTTATAAACGCGGATAGTGTGAAGACAAATTACAAATTAAAGAACATTGTCGGGTTTACGGACACGCGGGAAAGTCGGCGACCATTCCACATTATTAAGTACATTGCGGACAACTACCTGGACGACTATGATTACTTTCTCCTTGTGCCCGACAACGTGTATGTGGATGCGCGCAAGCTGAACACCCTTCTGTACCACATGAGCATTACATTTGATTTGTACATGGGCACACGGACTAGTAGCAGCAGCGACGATGCAGGGGCACCACAGATGGCGCCACTCAATGCCGACAGTAGAAATAGTGGCCAAAACGGGGAAGCTGCGGATTGGGACGCATCGGGTCCGCTCAGTGACCGCAATTACTGCGCACTGGAGGCGGGCATATTGCTGAGCAGCGGCGTAATACGAAAGATGCGCAACAACTTGGATTGGTGTGTTCGCATCGGCATCACCGGCGAGCATAGCGTGAATATTGGGCGATGTGTGAAGTATGCTAGCCATGTGGTCGGCTGCCAGGACAGTTTCCAGGTGAGTTATCAATTGGGAATGCAAACTATTATACCCTGTACATGCAATTTTCGAGAGTATATTAGGCTTGCGCGAGCTAAAAAATGTAACACCCGACTTTAGCTTCTCCACGTGTTTTTGGAAGTGGCACCTTTTCCTTACTGTCGAGCACTTCCGACACTAAAATACCCTGTACTCTCCACAAAAAAGGAAAATTAAAAAATAAAATTATTCAAAAAAAAATGAAGTTAATTATTTAAATTAAATAAAAACGGACTCGTAACCATTAACTGGAAGTGTTTGGCAAATTTGAGTCCAAAATTGCGAGAATTACGGAAGTTATGGATAATCATTAATTGTTGGAGAGAGGGGGTAGGGAAATTCCAAAATACACATTTTCTGCGTATTCACATGTTATTTTTGAAAATAAAAAAAAAACACAAACTCGTATCTTTGTGCAAAATTGGCTGTCTCCAGCTTTTATAGATTTCTGAGATCCAGGTGTTCATACGGACATACGGACAGAAAGACAGACAGACAGGGCTAGATCGATTCGTCTTGTCATGCTGATGAAGAATATATGTATATACTGTGTGGGGTCTGCCACGCCTCCTTCTGTGTGTTACATACATTCCCACAAAACTAGTATACCCTTTTACCCTTTGGGTACAGGGTATAAAAACTGCATAACACTCGAGTTATACTGCATCTATGCTGTCTTAGTATATTTAAGAGCTGGACTGTTTGTTGTGCACTCATTATTACTTTCTCTATACAGTTTTATTCAATAGAATAATTTACCTTCAGAAATTCGAAAGTGGTCCCGTAATAAAAAAAACTTACCAGAACATGCAGTGCAGGAAAACTTGACTTTGAGATAAGAAAACAATTGAAGCCATCAGTGCCGTCAGTTGCTTTAATTCCTTTCGTTAAACGTTCGGCCAACAGTCATTATAGTATGTACGAGGATGTGCGTGTTACACACAAGTTGATGGACATTCATTTATTTTCCAAGTGCGTGGCAGCAAACAATCTTTGAGCTGACCCTAAAAAGCAAGCAAGGTAATGACTGTAAGTACGCCTCGCAGCTAGTCAAAGATTGAACGTGCTAAGCTGACCAAGTCAGTCGTCTGACTTAAGTCCGATTGCATTCCTTTGGGGGAATTTGCAGAGTCCAATTGGTTATGGGGAGAATCCCCACCTTTATAATGTCAGTACAATGACTGAGTTTTAGTAAACTCACATATCTTTTGATATGTACTATACATGGTCTGTTCAAGAGAAAATAATGCATTTTTTTAAAGTATTTATTTATTCATATTCATTCCATAACTTCCTCGTATATCGCATATACAAAAACGAAATATTTTCAGCCCAATATTGGATATTGCGTTTATTCAAACCCACTTCATCGTCAAGTTAATTTGAATTCAAGTTTTATGCTCTATTTTAAACGGAATCCGTTCTAAGCAGAACTGTGAGTTTGTTCGGCTTTAGATAATGGAAAAAGCAACAGCAGGTAACCTTTGGATACCTTTACTCAAGATTAATATTGCACATTTACTAGTTATTTTAAAATATTTATACTCTTTCCCTAAAAGGTAAGAGAGTACAAATTCGTGCAAAGAATAATGTAACATGCAGAATGAGGCGTGGCAGTTTTTTTTTTTTGTTTTATCAACGGCGAGACAATTCTATTATATGCAGCCTCGTTGTTTTATTGCTGCCACAAGAACCGGGAATCAGTTAGGAAAACACTCGAGAGTTCCCATAGCTTATGTCTTTATTGTAATATCGTTACCAAATTTTGTATTTACCAGTTTTACATAGTGCCGAAGAAAGGAGGCGGGCACTATTCACTTAAGAATATACTTGTGTTGATTGTTTGTGACATTTTTGCTCCTTCACTTATAAAGCAGAGCATCAAGTTGGCCAGACCACTATCTCATCATACAAATTATATTAAATAACGATATTTCGTATAAACTCTTTTCATTTGTAATTGTTTTTATTTGATCGAAATTTCAAGGAAATACACCTTCGTAACTGCTTTAGCCATTTCTTTTGTTGGGGTGGTGGGGGTGCGGGAGGGCCTCCCGATCGCGATCATTAGCATTTCTTAAAGTTATGCTATTTATAACAATATTTCGCTTTCGGTATATACATACATACATACACACAAATGTTTGTATATATGTATGTATATGTATATGTATTCGTATTAACACGCATTCATTAAATATTGGCGGACGTATTTTAGCACGAGAAATGGAAACTGAATCGAAAAATGAGTCGGCGCCAATGCCAAGAAATTGATGAGCTGCGGTGGAGCTGTTTTGGTTAAGTTCCCATTTGTTTAGATTTACACTTGATGTTTATGCATAAAGAAACGGTCTGAATGACTTATGTTTGCTTAACGTGCCATACAATACACACTTACATATGAATGTATGAAAATGTTTTTGCATACATATGTATAATGTATCTTTTTATACTCTGTGTTTAAAACGTACAAGAGTATATTAGGTTCGGGGGAAGTGAAAAATGTAACCGGCAGAAGAAGGCGTGACAGACCCCACTAAGTGTATATGTTCTTGGTCAGCATGACATGGCGAATCGATCTAGCCCTGTCTATCTGTCCGTCCGTGCGTATAAACACCTGGATCTCAGAGACTATAAGAGGTAGAGACACCAAATTTTGTACACAGGTGCCAATGTACGAGTTTTTTTTTTTTTTTTAATGCACCTTTACTCTCCCCATAGGGGATTTTCCGTAAAGCCGTTGTGTACTCATCTATATCTCGGAGACCATGCCTTATATGAATACGCAGAGAATTTGTATCTTAGAATTTCCCTCCAGCTATTAGTGGTTTACCAAAACTCCCGTAATTCAGCAATTTTTGACTTATATTTAGTACAGAGTATTTCAAAGTCGGGGCACCCGACTCTGGCTTTTCCATTTGTTTTTCCTCAAGTGTAGTTGGCTAATTGGTGGAAGTTGCTGAGGCCTGTTGCAGCTTCAGTTCTCAGTACTGACTTTGTATACTCTATAGCCGAAGGATGAAAAGGGGCCGTATAAACGCAAAAATTTTCGATATTTATTTAGCTGCCAGCACGTAGTACATAGATAATAATATTATATATTATTACTGTACATATTAGTAGATTATTTATATATGTACATATTTGTTACTGTACACAAAGAGTGAAAGGGTAGAATAAAGTCTAAACGTCAAATGTTTGAACACGGCACAAGGAGGCGTAACAGAGCCCACATACAGATACAGATATGTACACGTATTTATGATCAGCATGACAAGACGAATCGATATTTATTCATATTTAAATCTTTTAATGTAGTTGAGGTATGTACTATATAGAGACCGCTAAGTCTTAGTTAAGTTAATGAAGATTCTTGTGTTCTATTTGAGAACTTATTCTAGAAATTAGGGTAGGAGTTGTTCTACTTTAGACATGGCCCTCTTTCCATCTATTAAAACTAATCTCTATAATAAATCGTCATAAAATTGCATATAGGCCTGTCATTTCTGCAAGTTTTATACAATATCATATTATGGAAATCGGCAGGATGGTACTGCAATATCATATAGTGTCTGTGCTTTTTTGTTGGCGATAATACAGCAGAACACAAGCGCGGAGAATACATTTAGGGCAAATGGCTTTTTAGAGCTACTAGAGGGGCCGCTTGGTACCTATTGAGCACAGTCCAATAGCCAATGCTCATGCTGTACTTAAGAATATAATTAGAATATGTAAAGCATCTATTAAACCATTATTGTAAAAGTATAGCCCATAGAACCTAAAGTAGTACTTCTATTCTAATTATGAGCGTGTAGGGTAGGAATAAGTCATCTACGCAAATGATTTGCAGTTGTCTAGTATTGGTTAGTACGCTAATGCTAATTAAATTATGTAACTGCTGTGTGGTCTTGGTCGGCGCTGAACTTTAGGTTTGGCTGGAAATCTTATGCGAATGGCAAATAGCAATGCTAAGTGCAAACTGAAGTCAACGACGACCGAAACTTAAGGGAGTTTTATTGTGTGACAAACTCAAGAGCTATGGCCATGTGTGCTTAAAATCTGTCACACATATGTTGGAGATTGGTGTGGGAACTGCATCTGCAAATGGCCGGGAAAGTATATACTTGTACATACTTGTACTCGGATTTGAAGTAGTCTGCAGCTAATTTTGCAGACGTTTGCTGCATAGTGGCTTTAAACCCCATGCTTTGCTAATTATTTCTACCAATGTCTTCTGCAGGGCATTAAACAGTACAGCTACTCCCTGAACAGACACGCACGCAACAACAAGGACTTTAGCGTGCTAGCCAAGGAGCAAGCGTTCCAGAATGCCACTACCGTTTATCCCGTGGCAGTACCTGAAGATTTCTATCGGCTGCACGCCTATTTCTCCAAGGTAAGCTGTGTGCTCAACTCTTTTTTTCACTAATCAACTAACGGCGCAATTTGTGTTTTCGAATGCAGCATCATCTGGAAATGGTGCAACAGCGCGGCTACGCCCTCGAGCATAAATCATACCGCATCGCCAATGGCAGCATATCTAACAACATTCTCGAAATACGGTGGCCACTTGGTGTGCCGCCGGCCAGTGCGCCCGAGACGCGCCACGACATACTCACATGGCAGCTGATCAACGGCACGCACAGCTTCCTGCCGAACGCAGAGCATGTGGTGGCGCCGCTTAGTCGCATCGACGCGCTTGATTTCGAAAAGGTCCTGGAGATCGCGCTCCAGTATGCAGCACAGAAACACCCCAAGTTGCAATACCACAGCCTTCATACAGCATACCGGAAGTTTGACTCAACGCGGGGTATGGACTATCAGTTGCATTTGAACTTTCACGGCCCGGCCCAAAATCGTCTGCTGCTAAAAAGCTTCGAGGTGATCAAGCCGCTGGGCCGCGTGGAGGTTGTGCCATCCCCCTATGTCACCGAGAGTACGCGCATAGCCATACTGGTACCTACCTTCGAGCACCAGGTGCTCGATTCGATCGAGTTCGTGGAACAGTATGAGCGCACTTGCATGCACAACCAGGACAACACCTTTCTTCTACTGGTGAGTACTCATTGATAGTCCTTTCCAAAAAAGAAGAAGGGATTTTGTTAAGACTCGAGCCATTTGAACTACTTATAAATAAGATACCATACTTATTTTCTTATTTTTTGCCAAAAGAGTAAGCAGACTCATATAGTTTCAAACATGTACTTACATAAGCGTTTTCTTTCAACATTCGCAAGACTATATCATCAGTTTTCCACTGTGGAACACTCAAAAGTACATGTTATGCACTATAACAGTCAATTATAACTTCATTTGAAGGATTTGTGATTATATACAAATATTATTTTGATTTACTCCAGTTCACAATGTAAAAGGGATCGGGATAATGTGTTTTTTTTTTACTCTTTAATCTTTATTTAAGATCTGTCCCTGTTGGACAATTATTGCATTTTATGATAACTTTCAAATTTTTGTACATCAATTCGAACCGAGAACTTAAGAACGAACTCACATTGTAGGATTCCTTCTAGCACGATAAACTATGCCAGGCCCCGAAAAAAAGTGTTATATTAAAATCGTTGTAAATGCCGAACCACTTTTTATATCCACAAGCGAATTAAACCGTAAAATCAACCAAAAAAAAAGCCCCAAAAAATACACCAACCCATAATAACGCAATTAATTTTAACAGCAATAAATTAAATTCGTCGATATACGATCTTCAGAATCCTTACCAGGTCCCAATTCGCAGTTTTCGAAAGTCATTCACACTGCCTACCTATGTATATATATTCTAAGCATACATATGTATATTAATGCAACCGCTTTAATTGAGCAGAATTTTGTCAATTATTTATCATATATCATTATTTAACATGCTAAACTAGAATCAATCAAAAATGGTTGATTTCAAAAAAAAAAGAATGCGTACACATTGCTAAAACTCTAGGCATGTCCGACCATCTGTCTGGATGAGCGCTTGAATTCCGCAAACGGTTTCATCCACAGCGATTAAAATTGGTATCTAGACTATGGTAGGCCCTGTGCAACACCAGCTTATGTTATTGTTCTGATATTACTCACGCAACCGATTTGCAGCTGCAATTTCAAACACTTTCCGCACCTAATCTGTTTGCAATTATTACCCATTATTTCTAAGAATTCGATATCAAAACAAGAATAAAAAGCTAAAACCGACTGGGCTCAACTCTTAAATACCCTGTATCCACTCCCACAAAAAGTACAGGTATACAAAAAATGTGTATAGCCTGTACCCAAAGAGTAAAAGGCTATACTAGTTTTGTGCGAATGTATGATAAGGACAGAAGGAGGCGTGGGAGACCCCACAAAGTATATATATTCTTGATCAGGGACAAGCTGAGTCGATATAGCCATGTCCGTGTGTCCGCCCGTCCGTCTGTCTGTATGAGCGCAAGGATCTCGGGAAATACAAGAGCTAGAATAGCCAAACTTGGTATCGAAGTTCCCCTAAGTACTAGGCAGGTCAAGTTTATTTTTTTATTTTGATACACCCGCCCACTCCCCCGCAATTCCTGTTTTTTTTTTTTTTTTTTATAAATTCCGTAATTCATGGAATTATGAAATCAATTTTGGTAGTTACATCCAGTTAGTGCTTATGTGTCCGTGTGCCAAGTTTCATCATGATAGGCCAATTCTGAAGAAAGTTATAGCCATAAATAAAATTGCTGCTCATGCGCTGCATGCAGCTCTGGCGGCAGCGCTGCCCGCAGCTGTTGTTGTTGCTGCTTTGGTTCAACTTTGTGCTGCATACATACACGCATGCATGAGCATGTGATGTAAATGAATGCTGTTAAAATTGAACATTAACATGTCTTCTAATTTAATTTAATTAATTAATTCAATTTCTTAAATTTAATTATTATTTTTTTTTTTACTTTTCCTTTTTGTGGAGAGTACAGGCTATTTTTCTGTCGGGCTTGCTCGACTGTAGCGTTCTCTCTTGTTTTTGTTTTCTAAATTAAATTATTTAATAAAATGCATGCAATAAACAAGAAAGGAATGCTAGAGTCGAGCTGGCTTAAATCTTAAATACCCTATAACCGCCACCACAAAAACAATTTTAAAAAAATATTTGAAAATTATTTTAAAGAAAATTTGATTTATTAAATAAATTAATTTAATTCAATTCAAAATATTCAATACATAACCACATAAGTACAGTTTCAACAGCAAATGTACATCAGAATCTATGCGTGTTCAATATACTCTTTGAGCAAAGGGTATAAAAATGGGTACAGGGTATAGAGTATACATATATGAGTGGAGCGTGCTTTACTCTGGCATTGGACACGTTTAAAATGATATAAATATCCAAGGGTATGTAATGTGTCGACTCATTATCGAGTGTCAAAAGGGTTGCCTTTAGTGAGGTTTAGTGGTTTTCGGTTGGGAAAACCTTGAATTTTGACAATTGACTAACTGATTAATTTTTTTTAGATCTTTCTATATCGCCTAAACTCGCCCAGCAAGGGTGAAGAAGATCCATTCAAGTCATTGAAAACGCTTGCCTTGGACCTCTCCTCCAAGTACAAAACGGATGGCTCGCGCATCGCTTGGGTCTCGGTGCGTCTGCCCGAACAACTAAGCGCTGATGTGGACGTTGATAAGCTGGTGCTGCACAATTCTATGTATGCGTCTCAGCAGCTGCTCAGTCTGGCCGTGACAGATCTGGCACTGCCCAAGATCGGTCTGGAGTCGCTCGTGCTTATAGGTACCCCTGGCATGAGCTTCAAGACGGATTTCCTCAACCGAGTGCGCATGAACACAATTCAAGGCTTTCAAGTGTATGCACCCATTGGCTTCCAAATGTATCCCTGCCGCTGGGCACACTTCTGCAAAGAGTGCGAAACATGCGACGTAAGCCAGAGTACCGGTTACTTTGATCGCCGCAACCATGACGTCATTGCGTTCTACAGCCGCGATTATGTGCAGGGTGAGTATCATGATCATCATTAGCGACATGATCACCATAAACAACTGACTCAAATATCATTTCAGCGCGCAAACTGTTGGACCCCCAGGGGCTGCCCATTGTTCGAAGCGATCTTGACATTGAGCTGCTCCTGACGGCACCTCAACGGCCGAGTGGTGTCAAGAGCATTCTGGACATGTTTGTGGCTGCTCAGCATAATGTGCATATTCTGCGCGGCGCGGAGCCAAACCTGCGTTTTGGGTTGGCCGTGCGAAACTATATTGAGCGTGCTGGTGATCTTCAAGAGCTGCAGCCGCCGGAGGAATGTGAAGACCAATGCATCCACCTGGCCTCCCGCAAGCAGATCGGCGATGCTATCATACGCTACGAAGACAGGACCATTGTGCACAAGTAGCGGACTTATGGTCGTTATCGTCTGTTTTGAATCAGTTCCTTTTAAACTCACAAACATACGCATACGTTTCCCTATGGGGAGCACGTATATATGTTTGTATCTGTGTGAGAGCGAGTGTGTGTGTAAGTGTGAAAGGGGACCCACTCGTACCATGGGTCTTGTTTCTTGTTATTGTAGATCACTTTAAAGTGAAACTTTTAATGCTCAATTGTCTCTTGGTGCCTGTGTGTGTGTTTAATAATTTAATCATAATACATACTATATACTATACATAGCTGCCAAATGCTTGCTTTAGTGCTAGGATTGTACAAACGAATATGTGCATAGATACATACATACATACCTATGTGTTTTTACAGTCGATGGGGGCCGGTAGCATTCGCTGGGCACTCCATCGCCGTTGTACGATTATAAGTATATACATATTTATGTATATGTATGTACATATATATGCATGTATGTAAAACAGCTTGCCGCAAATGTAAAGCGATATTCCTATACTTGTATTTTTACCAATTTAAGTTGACTCGTATTAAGATAAGTGTTATTCTATGTATGTAAATACATACTTATACCTAGTTGTGTTAGACATTAAAAAAAAGCGGCTGTATACCGGTTAAATAAGCTAACGGGTGACACCAATAAACAAAAATTGTAAAGGTACGTTCGCAATTGCAATTAAAGTCCCTCTTAATTGTCAAAGCGACCTACCTCTTCCCGGTAATTGTATAAAGGTATGTTCCATTTCTGTTTTTTTCCTTCTTTTTTTTCATCTGACGCCTTAGGGACTCCTTTGTAATGCGCACAAAATTAAGAACTTGCCGTTTGTGTTAAATGGAGACAAACCATCTTCGGCACACGTATAAGTAAATTGTTATACTTTTCTACACTTACATACCTATGACGTATAAATTTCATTCAAGTTATTAAACATCGAATATGTTTACGAGTTTTAATAAGAAGCCTGCCATTTTACTTGTGTGTACGCCTACATACATAAATATGCGTTTAACTTCCACGTATGAATGTATTCTCTTATTTATTATTTAATTTAAGGATTTCAATGTATATATTTATTTCATGAAAACTAAAAACTGAACACTTTGTTAACTGACAAATCAATTAAGCAGTGTCTCATAAATTTTCATAACATTTTTGATAACATTTCCCTACTCAAGCGATCGATCTGCAATTATATACAACCTTATATCCATGTACATAGGATTATATTTGACAAACATATATTAAATTGTTGATTCAAAAATATTCATATAAACATAAATGTGTTTGATTTTTTATTTAAAATATAATCTGTGTTGCTGCTGGCCTCTGAGGAAGCTCCTTCCTTATTGCTGCAGTAGAAAACTCAAATCGGCCTGAGGCGCATACTCCTCCGCAGCGCCATCTCTGTACGAACGAACGGGACAAATTTTATCATAAATTATGCATGTACATACATATGCATATGTTTATCTTGAAGCTACACTTACGCTTTAAACAGCTTGGCAGCGCGTGTACCCAAGAGCGTCGCCCGATCCCCCTGGATGCGGAGGAAATTGCTCTCGCGCAGTCCTAGAACCGGTCGCTTGTGGTAAGCGACAAATTCCTCGATGCGTTCGTCTCGCGTCTCGCCTTTATGATTGGTGTTCGCATCCGTCTCAAGGTAGTGAGGGTTAATATTAAACGGCACTAGCGCTAGCGCCTCGAAACTAGGCGGATAGGCGACAGGCATATCATTGGTCGTGTGAATAGAGCGCGTGGCCACATTGGTGCCAGCACTGCTGCCAACGTAGGGTAGACCGCGTTCCAGCACTAGCTCTCGTATAGGTTCAACTAAATTGAGCTCATAGAGCGTGCGTAGCAGGACGAATGTGTTGCCGCCGCCCACAAAGATTGCCTGTGCATCGCGCAATGCCTGCGCCTTATCGACTTTGTTGTGCAAGCCCTCGACGGCGTAGCCCCAAGGCTGCAAAGCGGAACGAACGGTCTCGGTGTACTTGTCATGGTTCCGTCCCGCGTAAGGAACGAAGAGCACAGTCTTCACGTTCTTGCTAAGATAATTAATTGGGTGGTTTTAAATCAACAGGCAGTCTTTTAACTTACGACTTAAAGAGATCTTCCAGCTGAGCCCGGGCGTGTTCCAGATAGCCGTACCCGTGCAGGCGAGATGAGGATAGAAGTAAAATATTACGAGCGCTCATATTCTTCAGAGACTTGGAAACAAAGTACACGGTCAATCTTTTTTTTTTGCTTCAGTTACCACGATACACCCACTTATCAGTAACATAGCAATCTCATCAAGAATGCATAGTCAGCTCTCAATGCAAGCAATGTAAGCAAATGTGTGTATATTCAAGTACAAACATCAGTATGTATGAACATACATATATACATACACACATACATTCAAGCGATAGTACTGCTGTAGATTATCAACCCGAGCAGATTTGCGGGGCTGTAAATGCTGTTGTAATTTTATTCTTCGGTTAGGGCCAAGTTTAACCGAGCCGAGCAAAATAACGTGACATAATTTTGTTGACCCTTAAATAATAAACGGCGTTTTTGTGTGTGATCCTAATTGTGTTAAAAGCGTTAGTTCAAATTAGGGGTGCGACTATATCGATATTATATCGATATTGCCGCAACGTTGCTCATGCCACCTCAAGTGCCTAGTCCAGCCATTTTGGGTAAATACATTTAACATTGTTTCTCAACGAGCTTCAAATACGGTGTACGGTCACATGACATAACGCCCGATGACTTCTCGCCCGAAAATGAACTTGGCGTTGACCTATTCTCTCTGGTTATATTGCCCACAAAATATCTTGGGCGATACCGATTTAACGCACATAGGATAAGACCAGCAACAACAAAACATCGAATGAAACGAATTTAAAAGAATTTAATGCATTTTTTATGTACATATGTATGTATATGTATGTAACATATGTATGTATGTGCTAGGTTAGGTTAGTCTTCAATGACTTAGGCCTAAAAGGCCCGTTCTCATGCCATATAATCTCTATTTCTTCTATAGCCCCCCACCTTCAGGCACCCGGTACTGTAAATGAATTTGGCAATGTTTGCGATCTCGATTTTAGGTAACTCCGAGAGCTCGCTTAATACGGCCAAGTTAGCGTTGCTCGAACACAAAGATTTGTACTTTCTCAGCGCTGCTGGGTCCTTTGCCTGGCTTCGTGGCATAAGTCGGAAGGAAGCTAACGGCATACCCATATGTTAATTGTCAGAAAAGATACTTGCGAAGGTTCCCTCTCTTTCCAGGTCATCTGCAATGCAGTTGTCCTCGTTCCGGTCTCCCGGTATCCGCATGAGCTTGACACTGACATGCTGGGCCATCGCATTATGAGACCAGCGCCAGTCTGTGATGATATGTACAAGTATTATCAAACAATGTAAATACGATGTATGTATGAATGTACATACATATGTATAAGCCTTGGACACTACTTTTGTGAAAGTGAAACAGTAAATACATATGTATGTATGTACATAGATGCACAACGACGCGACTCACAAAATATGTGATATCAATGTTGTGTCAAAAGCACTGAGTCTGTAAAAGTCTGTCGTGAAAAATAACTCTACTATAACTCTAGTAATCAGATGGGAAAATATACATACATACATATGTATGTATGCATATTGAATTTCATTTCGAATACTCACAATGTTAGAAAATACTTGTTCGCCAAGTAGAGAGATTGCTTTTGAAAATTAAAATATACATGTATGTATGTATGTATGTATATGTATATTGACTGATTATGACAATTGGAATGTAGACTGAGACTCAAAGTGTTAATCGGAAACTGCTGTTGCTACTGCTACACACATATGTAGCAAATAAATTGTATTTACTAAGACCTTAACCCTATTCGAAAATAACAACGCAACCAAGTGGATCAATAGGGTACATTTTACCGTGTAGCCTTAGGGTCATGGACTTCGAAGACGGTTAATTCCAGGTATTTCACTGTCGGACTCGCTTGACAGTAGCTTTATCTTGTTAAAACATTATTGGTAATTAAAATCGAAATCATAATCGAAATGCTTTACAAGAGGGTAAAACAAAAACTCTTCATTTAAATAAAATAAAAAATATTCAATACATATTTACATGTATAAATGTTAATGTACAGTTTCTATAGCATACATTTACATCAGGATCATGTATATGCGTGAGCGTGGGTGCCGTATATAGTTGAGCCAAAGCAGCAACAATAACAATAGCTGCGGGTAGAGCTTCGGTAGAGATTACACTTATGGCTATAATTTCCTTTTAAAATGATCGATCATGATGAAACCTAGCATACGGACACAGAATTACTAACTGGAGGTTTTTTGTCAAATTTGAGTGGGGAAAAGGAAGAAATACACCTGTACATACTTTTTACTCAAATGGGAACAAAATTTTGAGATCTAGGTGATTATACGAACAGAGTTTTCGAAAATCAGCTATAAATATAATGTTTGAGGAAATCTTTTGGTCTGTTGCATCAGATATGGAAACCTCAACAAATTCTACATGATTGATTCAAAACAAATCCTCCAACTGCAGAAGATACTGGTATAAAAATGTAATTTAATTCTATTAATCATAATAGGAACTCCGTATTCGCGCAATCCATGCACAGTATGTTTCTGTTTTCACACTTTCATAACGTTAAATACACCTTATAAGTTTTAAGGCTGTTTATTTTTGTTGTCTTACAACGTTTTGTGTGATTTAGCTTATTTTTCACAATTTTTTCTCTTATATATGTAATATATAACTTTGCTTTAAACATTTATTATGCAACACACTCAATTGTTAAACATTTGCTCATTATTTTCTTTTCTGGACCATAATTTTTTTTTTCTGGCTTCACTATATATGGTTAATTGCTTTGAGGCCAATATAAATATACATATGCTTGTATGTTTGAATGTATGTACATATTTCTCAGTATTAGGATATCATCATCATTGATCCGCTAGCTGAGGTCGCATCACATTTTCATATTCAGTTTGTATTTTACAGTAGTTATATGTATATGCAGTAATCAACTCTTGATTATATAAATAATTTGCATTAAACATAAATTGCTAGCGATGCTACCAGAACAGGCACAGTTTGGTTGTCGATAATGTTTACCATTAGTTGTTTTGAGCGTTGCATTAAGGCGAAATGTGCGGCAACGGCACGTAGTACATATTGATTTTGTATGATTTTTTTCGTTTTGGCTTAAATCCAATATGCATTTTTTTCTATTATTATTTACGCGAATAATCTTAGTTTATCCGCACATATAATTATGTGTGCACATCTAGAAATACATATGCATTTATACACATACATAAGTGCGTATGTATGTTCATAAAAAATTAACAGAAGACGGCGGCAGTTTATTTGCGATTTGAAGATGTAATTTACTGTGGCTTCTGCTCATCGGGCAAGTCCAGTATTCTGGCCACGAACTCCGAGATATCCGTGTTGCGTTGTAAATGCTCCACTATAAATTTGTGTTGGAGCAGCTGCTCGTAGTTGGGCCGCTCTGTAGTCTCCTTTTTCAAACACGTTGCTATAAAGTCTTCGAAATCTGGCGAAAATTTTCCGGGCGGCAAACGTGGTGGATCATCCTTGACAACCTACAAAAGTAGAAGATATTATGGTAGCTTCATAAAATAAAAAATATAGGACAAGTCTACCTGACGCAATTGCTCGAATGGTGTTTTCCACTTGCTGTACGGATATTGACCGGTGCCAATTTCTATCATACTAATGCCCAGCGACCAAACATCTGAGCGTATGTCGTATTGTGCAGGATTGCCCTGGGGATCGATGCGCTCAGGCGCCATATAGGGCTTACAGCCAGCGTCAATGGTTTTCGCGACAGAGTCCACGAGATAGCCTGCGGATTGCTCCAATTGTAGGGCGCTAACAATTATTGGATGTTCAACGCTGCTTACCTGAAATGCCGAAGTCGCATATTTTCACTTCACCACTGCGATTGATTAGTATGTTCGATGGCTTTACATCCCGGTGTATGACACTAAGGTGGGCATGTAGATAGTGCAAAGCACTAACTACACTCATGGCAATCTGTAAAGGTGTAGGTCTTTGATTATAGGAGGCTACTCTTTCCTTGCTTTACTCTGCTCACCTTGCCCAGCACGCTCTCATCCATAGCCAGATCATGTTCGAAGACTTTCGGATAGAATTTGTCCAGACTGGTATTCATCACCTCCATGCATATCCACACGTCGCCCTCGCGGTACATAGCACCATAAAAGTGCACTGTATAGGAACAATCGCTTGAACGCATAGATATATCCAAGTCCATGATCAGGCGCTGCTGTTCACGGAAGTTAACCGTCATAGGTATGCGCTTGACGGCGAGCAAAGTGCCCGTTTGACGGTGACGCATCTTCTCAACAATGCCATAAGCGCCCCGACCCAGGTCGGAAATCTTTTCTAGGCTATCGGCATCGATGTCGAATGTTTTTTCGCCGATTTGGATGGTGGCGCGTGAGTCCAAATTACGCGGTGGAGCTCTGCAAAAACAAAACCACCAAAATTGAAACAGCACAAACGGGAGTAAAGGTACCAGCACTTACAGCGAAGGTTCCGTGTCCGGCTTCATATCAATCTTGAGCTGCGGTCGTTTTTTTGACATTGTGTATATTTTAAAGGTGTCTGTATATATTTTCCAATATAGTATATGTGTATATATATTATTTATATGTGTGTGTGTGACTGTCTAGGTATTAGCGGCGACGCTGCACTTGCCCTCTCTCACTTATTCCGCGTGCCCGTGCTGCACGTTTCGATTTGCAACCTCTTGCTGTTCTTATTACACCCGTTTTTGGCGGCTTTTTGCACCGATTTTCGGTTGATGGTATTTTTCTTCAATTTGCCGTTTGAGTGGGCTGCGACGTCGGTGTCGAAAACAACAACAACGACGGTGCGGCGTTGGCTGCTGCTATTTTTACCACATTTGGGCAAACCGCATTTATTGGTGAAATACGTTTGCTGCGGGTATGCGTGAGCCAAAATGCTCTTCAAATGCCGCCTTCGGGTTGCGCTGTTGACTTTTTTACTTTTGCCGTTTACCTTTTGCTTTTCCGACAGCTATGTACTACACTACTACTGCCCTAACGCGGAGATAGGCGGTAAACGCGGCTGAGCGGCAGACAAAATTTAAGTCAATCAGAAACTAGGGATGTGCGATGTGTTAATGGTAGTCACGGGTGACTTGCGTCACAGCGTACGAAAAATGTTTATTACGCTTTCGTATTCCAGTTTTCGCTCATAACCAATTAAACTCATTTATATATGACTAATAATTTTCATAGATGCAGATTAACTAAATATTCGTATAAAGGCATTTGCTAATTTCTCCCAAATGATAATTATTTTATTTAACAAGTGTAATGAAGGTAGTTAGAATACTGTACTAAATAACATTATCGAATTGCCTTTTGTGGGCCATACTTGTACAACCTTCAAATGATATGGAGCTTATAAAATTGAAAATATTAATAGGGACTTTTCTAATTGACTAAGTTGAAATTAATAACTTGACATTGAGTTTCTTTTTTATGCCATGGAACGCATCAAAGATCTCGCACATCTAACAGTAGTGCAGTTTTAGAAGCAAATTCCCTGCACGTCTGCGGCACTGCGTGTCCATAATGAACACAAAATGATCGCGTGCCGATTAAAGAGTGTATGGCCCGCATTTTACTAACGATTGGTCAAAGTAAATGTCACAATACTTTGCTGCTAATATAAAACCTTTGGGTTTTAAAATTATGATTAATTTGTTGTTGGCTTTCTTGAGTGCCCCAAACATAAAAACAACTTATGTCAATCCGCCATAGTCTTTAAAGTGCTTGGCTATGTGCTTTGTCAAAAATATTGGTTTTGGAGCTGCGAGTACAGGGCATATTATAAAAAAGAACATGGTAAAAACAATAATTTTAAAATAAACCTATTAATTAAAAAACACTAACATTAACATTTTAAATATATAACAGCTCTCGAATTTGTGGTATTTTGATGTTCGTCAGCCCTGGCAACTCGAATGTGTTATCGCACCTATCGCAGTTATCGCAGTGCTTTTTGCCATCGTTAATTTGACTATTTTTTCTGGTTGATTATAATTGAATATTAATATTAACAGCTAATCAAAAATTTGCATCGATAGCTTATTAAACACATAGGGACGCGTGCGAGGTGGTGGGCGAACGGACCACAAAGCGCTGTATATGTATGAAAAATTGCAAGTTGTGTGCGTGTGCATGGTCGTACGGTCTAGCTCTAGTCGCTGTCTACCGCTGTTTTTTGTTTTTTATAATACTAAATTGCTCCTGCATGTGAAAAGTTCAAGCGTCTACATGCGCACAAAAACAAACAAATAATAAAGACAAAGCCATAGAGGGTAAATCACTCTATTTCCGTCTCTGTGCGTGTGTGTGGATGTGAATGTATCCCCAGCAAGCGCCAGCCAGCGCTAACTGCAGCCGCAAATAACTACGAAAAATCGAAGTCGTTTTAAGCGCAGGCACGGTGCCGCATGCCCAGCACAGTTTTCTACATAAGCAACGCTAAATGTTGTGAAACAGCAGCAACCACAATGTCCAGCACTATTGAGTTTGAGACAATTGGGAACCGCTTGCAATCGCTGGAAGCTGCGCTGCAGGCACAAAACGAATCGCATGAACAAATTGTTCTAACGAATACGCGTAATGCAGCGGTGCGGGTCCGACCCACAACTTCAGTCACAGCCAGTGCAACTGCCTCCTCTACAGTGGCAGGTTGCGCATCCACGTCGTCGTCATCGTCTCTTTTGCCAGTTAGCACAGCCTCAACAGCGACAGGAGCAGTGCGACCGATGACGCCGGGCGTTTTCGGTGGTAGCTATGCCGGAACTAGAAAAATACGCCAAACTCCAAGTCTACCGATATGTAAGTACAAACAGTTCTCTCAAACAGCGTCGAATTTATTTACAAAACATGTATGCAACAAACTTATACTATGTACATACATATGTTCATGCGTATGTAGGTACCATGTCCGACAGTCGTAGCTGGCCTAATGTTTAATTAGTAGAATGAATATCCTTGGTATTCATGCGTGCGAATAGTATGTTAAGGCATACATGCATTTATTGTATGTACATACATATGTATATGTGTCCTCTAGCACACATTACATTTTATTTTTATGTACGAGTATGTTATTGCTGTGGCACTGCATTGTGATACCATAGATAAGACCAGTGCAGACCAAAACAAACTTGTTTTTTGCCATCATGTGCAGCATTTGTATATTTACACTTGCTGGAACGCGCCGCTTTGGAAGTGGTAGTAACCGTCGCACAGTGCCCTGTTTAACAAATACGTGTTGCAAAAATAAAGGAATTCGATTGTTGAAACTATTGAGAAGAATTATACTTACTCAGTAGACCAAGTTTGTTAAATTCATGTTGGGTGCCTTCTATGCCATATTTGTGATTATGTGCCAGCCAAATTGTATATTTTTTGAAAACATACAAAGATTCCATTCAATTTCAAACATCAACTTTAGTTTTATTACAACAATTTACCTGGTCCCTGTTAAAGCTTGCATAAAGATAAACATTTAATATGAGCTCCAAAAATTGAATAAAAATGTTGTATATAATTAAATCATCAAATGATTTATAATCGATTTCTAATGATTTCAATGAACCTTTTTTGAATGTATGTGATCCAAGTTAAGAACTAATAGGATTGTTATGTAAAAAGATGTTGCAATGAAAATATTTGCTTATAAACTACAATATCATCTTTGTTTCTTAACTTTTTTATCTGTTTGATATTATAGCATTTAGTAGGGATATTTGGTACAAATATAATATTAGAAAATCTTTTATAAGGATTTTGCAAATCACTATATGGTAGAGATGATATTTCATTTAGTTAAAATTATATTTTTAAATTCTTTGTATAAACAAGTACGAAAGTATTGTGGATCTACTTTGTTCTTCTACTCAAAAGAAAAGCTTCAGTCAGATTAGCCATATATGTAATGAATATATAACTTCCATAGTTACAATTGTTGTTTTAATAATATTTAAAAGTTGAAGAGCACATTGGCAATGTGATATTATATAAATAACATTTCCACGTACTTTTTAATAATGCCATCTTTTTGATTATAAACCTGTTAAAGTTCAGCTTATTGTAGCTACCCTGTTAACCCATACTCATAAATTTTGATTCATTTACAAAGGAACAAGAGTTAACTTTTAACTTAGCTTTTTTTTCTTAAAAAAATGGATTATTTCTACAACCAAAAAGCCCGGATGGGTCACTGTGCGTTGTCGCCGTTGTCGATGTCAACTATGCGGTGCGTCGGTTAGCTCATGTAGCTATTCATCCACCTCCTTCTTTCCCATCACATGTGTTTTAAGCAATTCGCCATTTTTCGAATCGGCTTTTCTTAAACATCGACACTTGCGATATACACAAACATACTACAAGTATATATACTCGTACCCACACATTCAGGGCACATGTTGGTAGCTGTATCTGTGTGCGGCAAGCGTTTGGCTACCGCCACCTCGGCCGCCACCGCGCTCGTTATTTGGCATGTTTGTTGGTTTTTTGGCATTTCCGGAGTAATGTCTTGCTCGATACGCGACGCTTATTGTTTGTGTTTCACTCGTTTATGGTTTTCGTTTTGTTGTCACCCCCACATCGTACCAGCAGCGACCAGCGTTTGTTCCACTTTCGAAATGTTACGAATAATATTAATTTGGTTATTCTTAAATATCAAATTGATAAAAACGATTACTTTATTAATTGACTCTTTAACGCCCTGTTATTCTACTTCAACCGAATAAAAGTACTTTTTGTGGCTGTCACGCCCCCCTCTTGTTTTCGCACTACACTACACTTTTGCCCTTTGCCAACAGACTATATAATGATCATATTTAATCATCGATATATGGGAAAATGTTTCATGTTTGTAGGCTTATGCCTTTCATCACTAACTTAAAGAAGCGTTTGCAAATAAATGTTCAATTTATTATTAATGTTACAACAAATTTGAGAATTTTAACTAAACAGAGTTATCATTTTTCTTTATTATAAGATATTATGTTTAGTGGTGTCTTTTGATGAAAATAATTTGTTCATTCAATGTCCGTGAAGCGCCTTTCCGCGAATGTTAATATTTGAGCCTAGAAAAGCTCTTTCGTGATTTTAATTGCAGTATGCTTCTGTTTAGAAATGATTCAAACTAAATGTCTACGGCTAAGAAAATGTATTTGGGATCTGAGAGGATGGAATTCTAGAGTAACATCTATACTTTGACTCTAGTGCTGTTAGTGCTGATCAATAGAACCAATATATATAAAATGGTTGTATACTGTATACTGTAACTGTATACTTTTTAGATACCCTGTACCCCAAGTGTACACTATAAATATATACTTATCCCTACAAAAGGATGACAGCAAAACTTCGTTAATAGCGTCTTGATTTAGTGTGCATTGCCGTCGGTTAACCCGAAAACTCCTCAGTTTCTAAATAACGTGACCTTGTCTTCGCAGGACCGCAGTAGAGGTAAAGTCGACATTTTTGGTTATGCCTTTAAATACCACCAATAGAGGAATAACTTTTATATCTAGCGAAATGAATCTTTACGGATCTTGACTTGATCTTGATTTTAATGAAAAGAAGGGTTGATAATTACAAAAAAATTTATATTTTTATGGATATTATTATTATACCCTGTATTCGTAGGGCAAAAAGGGTATATTAGGTCTGTGCAAAGTATGACGAGAGAAATCGATCTAGACTGTCCGTCCGTCTGGATGAACGCCTGGCTTTCGGAAACGGTTAAGCGCAAAATCGATCAATTCTTAGCGAAACAATTTCACTCCAAAAACTGCCGCACATGAACTTCTTTTTCTTCTTTTTGGTTCTACTATTTCACTGTCGGGCTTGCTCGACTGTAGCGTTCTCTCTTGTTTTTGTATATTTTGTTGCAAATCGGGCGGCAGCTTGATATTTTTAAATTAGAGAGCACTCTTACAGAATTTAAGGACTGCTAGTAATTTTTTGAATTTTGCTTTTTGCGATTATTGTAGTAGCGCCGTGATTTTAGCCGAGTTCCTACCCAGTAGCGGACTCACATTGTGGGATTTCTGCTAGTTTGTTGAACTAAGCCCCTTAGATATTATTGACGATATTTTGAAGCGGGGAAATGGCGATACAAGGGAAATACAAAAAATAAAATAAACTCGTGTTACCATTGATTTTAACATTATTTGGCTACGCAGCCTATAAAAAGTGGTTGTCGAGGGGCTTGGTAAATGGAGAATGCTTGATCAGCAACATCCCTACAGTTGTGTACTGCTCCATCATAATCAGATTTTGCATATTGCCGAGTGGCACTTTTCGTATTGTTTTTTTTTTAAGGATTCTTAGCACCGCTAAGGCTGTTCTATTCTTATTGTTTATACCCTGTACCCAAAGGGCAATAGGGTATACTAGTTTTGTGCGTGGCAGACCCCTTAAAGTATATATTCTTGATCAGGATGACAAGACCAGTCAATATAGCCATTTCCGTCCGTGCAACCGTCCATCTGACTCTCTGCATGAATGCAAGCATCTAAGAAAGTAAGAATAGAAAGAGCTAGAATAACTTAGTGTCCAGATTCTCCTAAGTCCAAGAAAGTACGAGCTTGAGTTTTTTTTAGACTTTTTTACTCAGATTTCGCATACTTCCAGTTAGCGATTATGCGTTCGTATGCCAAGTTGAATGACGATATGTTTATTATGAAGATAGTTATAGCCATAAATATACTCTTTGCCGAATCTCTGCCCGCACCTGTTTCGACTTATTCCTGTACTGCATACATAGTACATGCATATAAACACGCATAGACACGATGATGTAAAATTTACATGATGTAAATGTGTGCTGTTGAAACAGTACATACATATCTTCACTTTTTATAGCCTGTACCCAAAGGATGACAGGCTATACTAGTTTTGTGCGAATGTATGTAACAGGCAGATGGAGGCGTGCAGACCCCACAAAGTATGTATATTTTTGATCAGGGTGACGAGCGGATCGATATAGCCATGTCTGTCCGTCTGGGCGAGCGCAAGGATCTCAGGAAGTACAAGAGCTAGAATAACCAAACTTGGTATTGAGGTTCCCCTAAGTCCTACGCAGGTCAGGTTTATTTTTTTATTCTGATACACCCCCCTCCCCCCCACTCCCCCGCAATTCGTGTTTTTGTTTATAACTTCCGTAATTCTGGAATTTTGAAATCAATTTTGGTAGGTACATCCAGTTAGTGCTTATGTGTCCGTGTGCCAAGTTTCATCATGATAAGCCAATTCTGAAGAAAGTTATAGCCATAAATAATATCGCTGCCCATGGATTGCTTGTATCGCTGTCCGCAGCTGTTGTTGCTGCTTTGGTTCAACTTTGTGCTGCATACATACACACCCATAGACACGTGATGTAAATGTAAAACTGTACATAAACATGTCTTCTATGTATGTATGTATTAAATAAATTTTCTTTAGTAATTTAATTAATTAATTTCATTTTTTTTAAATAATTTAATCTTTTATAATATATTTTTTTTCAATTTTCCTTTTTTGTGAGGCTATTTTACTGTCGGGCTTGCTCGACTGTAGCGTTCTATCTTGTTTATGTATGTATTTAAATATGTATTGACTATTTTTTATTTTATTTTATTTAAAGATATATATTTTTTTTTAATTTCTTATTTTTGTGGAGATACAGGGTATTTTCTGTCGGGCTTGCTCGACTGTAGCGTTTCCAATTTAGAGGGTTATGTCGCAAAGTACTCGAGACTTTCTTTAAACGCGCTGTGTACTCGGAAAAAGTCTCCTCCACGTTGGAAGTGTGCTCGCTTTTTTTGCGCCTTGAATTCGCATTCGACTTTTGCCTTCGATTTCACCTTGAGCTATTGCTTGCATGAGGAGCTGGTGTCTAGAGGCTATGACACTCTCCCGGCTAGTGCTTTGTTGTTTCCTTCTCAGTTATGTTGGTTGGGCTGGTTATTTTAAAACAAAAATGTGAGCGATATGCGTATATCGTGCCTATTGTGGCTATTCTGGTATATTGTGGCTTTAAACAGACATGACAAATACGAGTATAATAATAGTTTAATCCTATTTATATCAGGCTTCTTACCGCCTAGTCTAATCAATATCCGCTTTCTGTGTTTGATTTAACAGCTGCAACTGAAACGGTACCAGTTCGCACTCGTATAATGACGTTGCCGCTGCTCACACAGCATCACCCCTCCGAAACGGAGACAGACAAGAAGCTTAAGATGATCATGGGCCAGACGGGTAAGCTGACCATCAATGGGCGGCAATATCCGACCGACATCAACGACTTACGGCACTTGGGTGATCTCGGCAATGGAACCAGTGGCAATGTGGTTAAAATGCTGCACTTGTCCAGCAATACAATCATTGCAGTCAAGCAGATGCGCCGAACTGGCAACGCGGAGGAAAATAAGCGTATTCTGATGGATTTGGATGTGGTTCTCAAGTCCCACGATTGCAAGTATATTGTCAAGTGCTTGGGCTGTTTTGTGCGCGATCCCGATGTGTGGATATGCATGGAGCTGATGTCCATGTGCTTTGACAAACTGCTGAAACTGTCAAAGAAACCCGTTCCGGAGGATATTTTGGGCAAAGTCACAGTAGCGGTGAGTATGGCAGGTGGCGAGTGTGGTTGGCATTCAAATTAAATACAAACTCTATCTTATCGCAGACGGTCAATGCCTTGTCCTATTTGAAGAACAAACACGGCGTTATACATCGCGACGTGAAGCCGTCTAATATACTTATCGACGAGCGCGGAAACATAAAGCTTTGCGATTTCGGTATCAGCGGACGATTGGTAGACTCGAAGGCGAACACACGTTCAGCTGGCTGTGCAGCGTATATGGCGGTTCGTTTAGATCATTAAAAAAATCCTTTTATTGAATAATTTAAATCGAATCCGTTTTTATTTTAGCCCGAACGCATTGATCCGAAGAAACCAAAGTATGATATTCGCGCCGATGTCTGGTCGCTTGGCATAACGCTTGTTGAGCTCGCCACCGCGCGGTCACCCTACGAAGGCTGCAATACGGACTTTGAGGTGTTAACCAAGGTGTTAGACTCGGAGCCACCTAGCCTTCCAAGAGGGGACGGTTTTTATTTTAGTCAGGAATTTCATGACTTCGTCTGCAAGTGGTAAGCACATGTCTTTTTATACTACTGCCTTTATTTTGCTAATCCTCAGCTGACCTGCTCCACTTTTCATTCGCCAGCCTCACGAAAAATTATCTGGATCGACCCAAATATCCAGAACTCCTAGTGCAGCCATTTGTAAGAACCTACGAAATTGCCAAAGTTGATGTGCCCAATTGGTTCCAAAATGTAGTCGAGACGGCAGCGGGCAAGCGCCTGCGCGCAAACGGCGAGCAAACGCTGACCAGGTGAGTGACACCGTATGCGGTGCGTCCAACTCAGTGCAGGTGTGTCTGCATGTGTGTGTGAGTTTGTATGTGTGCGTGCGAGTGTATAGACGCCAGCTTCGGCGACCAAGGGAAAAGTATAGTAATTCTGTTGATGCATTACTGCCTATAAGCGCTTTGTTTCGTTTCGTTCCATTTCGATTTATTGTTTCGTTAAGTTTCTTAAGCTGGTATAATGACAACAAAATTTGTAAGCAACAGGTAGGCCAACAAATGTACTTAATTCTAGGGTGATTGTAAAAGTATTTTCGACTGTAACAAGTGGTTTATTTAAAAAGTGCAACTGCTTGTTTTAAGCTTTACAACTTTTTAAAAGGCTTACAATTTTATTTATAACACACTGTTTTTTTTTTAATTATACCATGGTTGGCATGTTTTTTAGAAGCAACTTTTTGGCTTACACCTTTTACAGCTATTAAAAATAATCCTACTACCATTTTCTATTTAATTTTAATCAACTGCAACAATTGTACAGACTGAAAGGGATCACAAGTTGTACACCCTTTAAATGCACTTTCCGATGAGGTGTTACTCGGACGAAGCCACCAGAACCGATATTCTACATACATAGTACTATATATGACACATACATAAGTACAAATACTTGTATATGTGTATATGTTTGATTCTAAGGGCCGTTTAGTGCTTAACAATATATCACCATATATAATTGTTTCAGTTGAGAAACCCAATTAAAGCGTACATAAGTAGTATATCCGAACATTTCTATACGTATGTTTTCCTGTGTGTTATTCATCAAATAATTGGCTTGAAACCAATTCATAAATTTGTAATTATGCTCGGAATTATGGAAATGGCTTCCTTTTAACTGAGAATGATTTTAAAAAATTCGGTACACTTTTTTATAAGTATGTAGGAAAGATCAGACAATAGCATTAATAGTACAAGGGCGTTTGGAATATTGTTTTCAGACTCGGCTTATTTTCTTTTTGTTGTATATACATTTTCAAGTTAATTTATTTTAAAGTAACATTTCTCATGTCTTGTGTACATCAAAAACTTGCAAGTGTATTAGTTTCCCAGTTGACAATTTCCTTACAATGATTTGAATAATCATCTTCTTTTTAATTCTTAAACAATCACTTTAGCTTGATTTAATTTGATTGTAATCTTACCAGTGGATCTGCCTGTAGCTGCCCACTGTAGAGAAATTCAGTCCTGCCTTGCTTGCAATGACTGGTTCATATGGCTAAACAAAAGACAAGCCACTCTGAAATTTTGTTTAATAAGTGCTACCAACATCCCTTTTCACGGACAAAAACTTATCCATTTACAAGTATAAAATTTAACTAATAATTGACACTGACAGGAACATGAGAAATGGGGCCAAGTGCTCACCACTTGGTGCAAAAAGAATTCTACTGGTATTGCAAAATTATAACACTTGATCAATGACGACCTGTCGGTCGTAGGCCTAGTCACTAGTTTTAGTTGTATTAGGTAAGTATCATTTGTTAGTGTATTGAAGTAAAGGTAACTGGTCTTGAAAGTTGCATGAACGAACACTGTTAACCCTTTGGGGCGCCTGGCAAACTTTTAAATTCCTTTTCACTGGTAGCCTCCAAATGAAGAACAAATTATGAATAAAAACCTACCATAGAATTTGTATTAAAAACGAATTATGTATATTTTTTGCGTTTTATTGACAATTAAATTTTTGTGTTTTTTTAATTTCTTTTTTCATCTTTTATTACCATTTTTGTAGGTTACCTAACTCCTAATATATACCTATAATATATGTAATAATAAAAAAGCATCAAATTATAAAGCCGATACACCAGCATAATAAAATCAGAAAAAACACATATACTATCTATATGAAAAATCAAAACCATATATGTAACTCCTCCCAATTCAAAGTCAAATTCAGTAAGTACGACGACTTTATTATTATTGTATTGTTTTCCTTTGTATCATTATTTCCGTTTGCTAACCACAACTATTTTAAGTTAATATTGTTTTTCCTAACGCTTTATCATATCTGTGTATACTACAATTATATATATACATATGTGTGTATTATTGCACAGGGATAAAATCTGGCTTGGGGCCACACATGTTTTTTCATGAACCTTCACCATTTCTTGTCTGTTTATTTGTTGATTTGCGTGCTAGAAGCAGGCTCTGACTTAAATTATGGACTTTATATTACATACATACATATATATGTACTAATTTATTTTGAGTTAAATAATTTCTTTCTAATTTCTGACTCCGAGAGTACAGAGAGAGAGAGAGAGAGAGAGAGAGAGATTTTTCTCTATTATTCTCTATTCTCCATTATTATTTTAATGCTTTATGAGTAGTAGTGTAGTTTCCTAATTATTATTTATATCTCAAGAATATTTTTATATTATTTATTATAAGTAAATTGATTTACATATTTTCCATTTATCTATATACATATGTGTATATTAGGACACTGTGAAAATAATAGTTAATATTATAAAATCGAGTTGCTAATGGATTAGCAGAGTCCTTAAACGTTCACTGTAAACCAATTCATTTCGATGTTTAAGGGTCAGTCGGAAAAACGGAATCCATGTCCCAATCGTCGAATCGTTTCTTCATGCCGAACCAAAAAATTCTGTGATCTAATCGTTTTTTTTTTTTTTTTTTTTTTATTCTTATAAAAAGATGTAGACCCTTTTAATCCGCCGGCCAGGGTTCAAGATCGAATAGCCAACACGAAACTCTCTAAACTTTCTTACATCATTCTTTTATTATTAATTTATGTATTTTTTACGTAACATAACATCATTGTGAAAGAAAGCAGTTCATATTAGAGTTTCTAATTGTTTTACACAAATGTGTTCATTTCATTTAGGTTTATCTTCAGCACGTCGTTAAAAAATTCGACCAACTACATCAGAAATACTCGTACATATAGCACTATTTGTATACTCACATTGTAGAACATTTCTTTAATATCCATTCATTTATGCAATGGTCGTTTATTTTCAATTACAATTTTCACAGCAATCGATTCTAAGCATTAGTTTCAAGATGGAAAAGTATTTATTTGGATTCCAGAAACGAATTTTGCAATTATAACACCTTTAATTCTCAATTGTATTTTGTCATAAGTGTGTATATATTTTGGGAAAATGTTTAATTATCTTAAATTATAATTTCAATACTGTTCAAACTTGAAATATGTTTATTTAAAAAATAGGCAATTTTTTAGCGCACACAAATAATCAATCAAATTTCAGAAATTTCTTCTTTGCTTCTGCTTTCTTATCTAACAAACGAGCCCTTTGAGGGGATGAAATAGTCTATGATAACATTGAGATGTTTAGGAATTAAAGTTCTATGGATTAATAACTACAGCGCCTACCATTCATCCTTTTTTTACGTCTTGTTTGTGGCAAAGCTTTCATTTATGCCTTTTCCATTGCTTAATAGGGGGTTTTCTTGCTGCTTTGATTTTTTCATCACATACCTCGTGCTTTCATGTGTATATAGTTTAGTACATACATACATACAAGCAACACATCTTCCATACATTTAATCTGTACGTACACGCATAACTCACATATCTTTATATCCTTATTTATAACTGCCACGCAGAACAGCGTGTCTTTGAGTCCGGTCTCATTGTCGCATGTGTGTAGAATTTGGCTAATAAGACTCTTGCGTTACTTACAGAACGGCAGTGGCTACATCAACAATAACAATACCAGCAGAAGCAAAGTATGGCAAGCCCAGGGCTGCATCGATTGTAAGTCCCACAGCCCTGCCAGCGACTGCACCCACAGCAATATCAACATCATCTGCAAAGACAATAAAGCACTCACAAATACCAAGCTATCAGCAGCCACAAACGCAGCAGCAGCCGCATTTCATGCAATCAGCCACCCAACTACCTCAAATGAACCCAGCAACGACAACATCCATAGCAATAAAGAATCCAGCAACACCAATATCAACATGTACCGGTCCAGGTACAGCAACGACAATTCCAAACTATTTCACCAGCAGCCCCAGCCCACTTTCGGTGCCAGGTGGTGCCGAAGACCTCAATAAGTTGTACCGCAAGTCTCCCTTCATGCAACGCAAGTTGGGCAACGGCTCACACCAGTATCAGCACCACCACCACCAACAACAACATCAGCAGCCCTTTTACAAGTACAACGATGAGAGCCCCAAGAAGGAGTCTATGTTTAGTAGCATAGGTGAGCTTTATTCTTCAATTCCAATTGGTTGAAATTGAATGTACCAAAAATACACTTGACTTTTATCTCAATTACAGGTCAATCAATCCTACGCAATCTGACCACATCGCCATTCAGCCAAAAGAAACACAACAACATAACACTGCCGCACCATCAGCCAGCGCATGTGCCCACGGAGAGTAGCTTGTGGCGTCAGACACCAGATATGGCCTTACCCTACGACAGCTGTGATAGTAGTAACGTGGATGTGGACTCGCCAGCCCTGTTGCGCCGACCGCTTACTGTGGAGCCGGCTGCTCAAGCAGAAATTGCACCGGTCGCTGCCACAACGACAACGTTGCCGCTGACCAACCAATCACAGCGCATGCAACCGGGTAATCAAAGTCCCATAGGTGGGTTGTACATACCATTGTTACCAATGTGTGGTCAGTTTAGGAAAAAAGTACCAAAAAATGAATTCGGTACATTTGTTCATAACAGTTTGTTTGCTCATATCAGAGATTGAACTTACAAAATTAAAACAAGTTGACTCTTCCTGAAATTCTACATTTACAATGTAGATATTCCGCAAAACCCATGCACGTTGAATACAAATTGACCTTACCCCTGTATAGATATTTAAATTTAATTTGACAAGTGAGTTGAGTAAGGCAATGTAAACGAGCTAAAAAGTTCTTTCGTCCATGGACCGCAAATTAAATATGAACATTTTGGTGTTTCTGACAAGTTAATATTCTTTCAGTATATGTTATTATTTTTATAAAGCTCCCCTGGATAGTCCACAGTCTGCTCTTTCCGCTGTCCCCTTTACTTTACAAGTGTTGTGTGTGCAGGGATTTTTTTATGTCCTGCCTTGAGATGCCTTGCTGTTAAAAGCCTAAATATATAATTTAACTTTAATAATAATAATAAATAAGGTGTTCTTATGACAACTACATAAATTACTAAGGCTAAGGCTAAGGATAGAAATCAGTTCCAATAAGTTTTTGATGATAGTTTACAAGTTCTTCGAAATCGGTGCATAATTGTAGTTGACACAGGGGGTGAGAAATAACTACAATTTTATCAAAATATATTGCTCCTTCTGCAATGCAAAATAAACCGGATTTTAATATTACAGGATTGTTAAAAGAATTTTTTTATTTTACAGTGCTGCAGCGTTTCTACCATCAACAAAACCAATTGCGCGAAAAGGAAGCGGCAGAGCGACAACAACGGCAGTCGATTGTCAGCACAAATCCCTTTCATAGCAACTACGCCGTTCCCTCCTCGTCGCACTCCACTTCTAGTCAGTCGTCCACCCAGTCAACGTGCTCGCAGATTGCTGTCGCCCCACCCTCACCGGTTGCTGGCCATTTCGGCGTGGGCAACACCGCGCAACTGCAATACCAGCCTTTACCCATGACAACGGCGACACCGGCTTCGGCTGCTGGCACTATGTACAGTAGCTTACGCACTTCGTCACCTACGCCTCCCGAACAGCTGCAGACGCATCCACAGCAGCAGCCACATGGTAAGGACTATGGCGCCGGCTCGCCAGTGACTAGTAAGCTGAATAAGTTGTACGCCCGTCGCCAATTGCTGGGCCAGAACTTGAGCAGCGGTGCCAGTAGTAATAGCCTGGACGGTAGTAGCAGCTACGGAACGGGCAAAGATCATGTCTATGGTGCTTCAGATACGGGTGAGTGTTGGAACGAGGCAGTCGCTGTATTCCAATGCATGGCTCTGTAGCTCTTAATCACATACAATGTATAAACATAAAAGTTTTTATTTAATTAAGTTCAATAATCTCGTTAAAGTTACAAGAAAAATAGATGCAGTACTGAACTGAACTGAACTGCTCCAAACTCAGCACAATTTTTAGATTTATCTTGTTTCATGTAGAGAATGTTTGACGGACCTATCTGTGCTAGTAGAGTAGCCGCTTGGTTGGTTTAATAGATGTTTCCATAAGACTTAATATTTTAATTTTTGAAACCCCTTAATTTAGTCTGTCAAAATGCTACCGATATTTATTGAGTGGTTTCGACTGAAGCAGTAAATTATAGTGAACTGCTAGCAATAGGGTAAATGACCTTCAGGCACCGATCAAACAATGAACCAAGGGCGTAGGCAGCTTTTACCAAAGGAGGGGGGGTCAAAAATTAAAATGTTGAATAAATAATGCACGATGCATTTAAAAAACAAGGAATAATAAAGTCGAGCAGGCACAACTCTTAAATACCCTGTACCTCCCCACAAAAAAGAAAGAAATTAATTAATTTAATTAAATTAATTAACTAAATTCATTTAATAATTTAACTTAATTAATCAGAAAAAATTAACAAACTCGTCCTTTCTCGGGCTCAGGAGAATCTGTATATTTGGTTATTCTAGCTCTTATACTTTCGGAGATCCTTGCGTTCATACAGACAGACATACAGACGGACAGACAGGCGAACAGACGGACATGGCTATATCGTCTCGGCTTGTCATGCTGATCAAGAATATATATACTTTGTGGGGTCTACCAAGCCTCCTTCTGTGTGTTCCATGTACACTTGCACATAACTACCCTTTGGGTACAGGGTATAATAACTTATGCATATGATCAATGAAAAAACTTCAACAAATCCAACTCAGATCCATTTTAAGGCGAAATAGTGCGTCATAATAATGAACATGTGGTCGACTTTATATGGAAAATATTTTTCTAGGGGGGTAACGGCCCCCCTGCCTACGCCCTTGCAATAAACCGTAAATGCTGAATACCGTTTGGAGCTTTTTCTTCGGATTAGTTTGTTGTTTTACGTCGAAGAAGGACGGTTCATATGATGGGCGCAAGTTGGAGGTCAATAACATATCATCAACAGAAGACTTTGTTCAACATGAACACAATGCCAGAGTCGTGGGGGCCCCTCCTCTGCAGACCCTGATCCACTTCACAATATTATTGATTTTTATTTAAAAAATGTCAATAAGTGAACACCAAGATATGGATATATCGACTTATCTACTGTTCAAAAATGTATACGAGTATACTTCGTTAGGTCCGCCACGACGCTTATGTGTTACATACATTCTCACTAAATTGTTATATCGAATTACCCTTTGGCTATAGATTAGAAAGACTTATTAAACCACAGCCGCATTTTTATTTCCTTGAGTGTTGTAAAATCGAACTCGTAAAACATAAAAATTTATCTTATTTACAATGCTTTTCACTAGAAATATGAAAAATGTTGTTTTGTAAAATTTACTCATGCACAGAAAACTTATTTTTATTGCTATTATTATTTGTGTATAAATTATACCAATGTTATTGGTTGCCTTTTAAGTATATTCTTATAAGTATTGTGTAGTGTACTTGGGGAAACTTGAGGAAACCTATATACATATATCCAGTCCATTCTGACACTAAAACATGAGGCCGTGTTTAATTACGATAGGTAATTACAGCTTTGTATAGTAGTATAAAGACTTGAAATGATATTGTAAATGGTAAGATAAGGTCAAAATTATAATGAAATTGTTATATTGTCAATGAAGGCATCGGAACCAAATTGGATAATGTATATTGATTTGATACTGTATTATCTAACTGTCATAGAAACGTTATTTTTTAAAGGCGGGGAAGCACATTTCCAAGGTTACTTATAATAGCTTTTGCTTGCTAATTAAAAAATGTAACACTCCTAAAATATTTAAAATACCGACATAGGATTTTACGTATTTTTTCGAAGCTTTACTTGTATATACCTTTGAAAGCATGTTGTTCAACTACTGCATTTTGATTTAAGTGTGAACGTCTTTTATTTGAAATGCTTCATTTTGATTTATAATTTTTTTTGTTTTTTGTTTACTCCACACGCACTTGCCCACACACATGCGCATAATAACTGCACTGCACCGAATCACCAAACATCAATTATGATCTCTCAACCATGAATCATCAATCTGCAACTATCATCAATTGACACATCACCATTGCCAACAACAACAACAACAACGTCTACCAACCATCCATCAGGCTGGTTTAATACACTAGCAGGTGCCGTGAAGCGACAATTTGCGACTTATGTTAAATCCCATTTGAATTCCACAGCGATGCCGCCGTCGTCAGCAACGACCGCCACGAATGGGAGTGAGCTCAGTGGCTTCAACTCAACACCAGCGGCAGCGGCAATAACAACGGCGGCGTCAGCAGCGCCCCTTCCACCTACCTACAGAAGCATCATTAACAATGGCAGCAAGTCCTACTATTATCGCACTCTATCCGCGGCCAGCAGCAGCAGCAACACCAGCCAAAGCACCTCACCTACGACGGAACCGCTGTCACTACCGCGCAGCGAACTATCCACGGGAGTTGGTGCTAGCGGTTTTCTGCGTCGCTATGCGAGCAGCGGCGGCGGCTGCAGCACCACACCTCCCAGCCCACACACATTAGCGGGGCTAGATCGGCGACATCGTAGCCCTGATCCGCCACCGCGCTATAATCGCGGTCAGTCGCCATTGTTGCTGCGCAAGAATCTGCTGGAGTTGAGCGGTCAGCCGTCGGGTTCGCCTCTACTGCAAAGGCGGTAAGTGAAAACTCAATAATAATTTAACTTTAGACATACAAGGTGCATATCATATAGTAGTATCTGCTGGTTGATGATGAACAATGTACCTCTTAGGCCAAATGTTCATGTTTTGGGTGATGCTGAATGTCCTTCCCATAAATTTAAATAGTGGCTTTGTCTGAATTGTGATGAATTTACGAACAATTTGGCTGAAATCTGTGATGGTTCCTGATTTTGGTTTCCCCAACATGATAAAAATCATTTATGTATATCCCCGTGTATGCCATTTAAAAACTTTGGTACGCAATATACATATGTATGTCTTAGCCATGTCCTGTATTCACCAGTTGTATCGACAAATGAATACCATTTGCTAAAATTCCATTTATCTGTTCCGATTGATAGCATGAACTTGTGCTACACTGGAGTTAAAAATCCAGCTATCCCGACCACAGAATTTACTATTTGAAAAGTTCCACTTAGTTTGTAACGCGTGTAGATAGAGATAGCCTGCTAGCTACCTCTCGCTCTGGCGTGCTTGTACCATTAACTATATCTTTTGTTCATTCTACCTTTCTCACTCGCACAGCTACGTTTCTGCATCTCCACCATTGCCGCCTCCACGTCGTGGCTCCGAGAGCGTGCCCGGCTCCCCGCAACACTTTCGCACGCGCATCCACTACACACCTGAACCACAACGGCGCATCTATCGCACTATAGATCAATGAGTAGCGCTTCAAATTATGGTCATGTGATGCTGGTATGGCTTCGATGGTGACGCTGCCGCCGATACTGACACTGACACTGATGTCGCCGGCTCTCTATCGATGCCAGCACACACATGTACCATGCCTGGAGATGGGACCAGCCCCTTTGCCAGCTTATACAATGATGGCGCCTGGTCAACTACAATGGAAACAGCAAAGGCGACAGCGACGGCGAAATCAACACAACCGACGAAGGCAAACACAGCACCTACAACGCCAACAACAATGCGTTACCCACGTCATTAATTTGTTAACGGTCAATCCATTAGTATTGATACCAGTATGGAGAGTATGAATGGCGGGGAAAAGTCGATTCCTCCATCAGACGACGATGAAATGCAACTCACAATCTGCAATCTGAAGTCCACAAGCAACTTGTAACAGCATACAGCAAACGAAAGTGTTCAAAAGTCTCATACGTATAAGCTTAGGTCGTAGCATCTATCAATCGAGTGTTGTAGCTTTGTCTAATTTAAGTAAAAGAATGTATTGGCGCGCACAAAAGCATGCGGCATTTTTTTTTTAAACTGTTGCACATGCTACTGTAAATACATACATACTTAGGTACTTACAATATTTCTTGCTTCGGCAAATGGAAACAATTAACAATAATCACTCAGCAATCAGTTTTCACAAAATGAAAAAAGTTAGCAAGAAAAAATCATTAAAAAGGAGGAATACCAATACCTATTTATATTCTGTATAATATGTGCCGTAATCTTCTCCTCATAAACTGTAAAGGCAGGTCATGTGCATAAATAGACACCCTCTATGTATTGATAGTTGTTTATGCGATTCTACTTTAGTTGCGAGCAATATGTCCGATACTTTCTCGGCAAAGAGCTATCTTTCTATACTAGGACACCTCTCATCTGTATACATAATTATGGAGTGGCACAAAATATGTGAGTTGAATGGAAATAGGTAGGGTACTGGGTGGGGTGAAGTGAGAGCCCAGAGATATATTCGTTAGAAAACAATAATTATTCCATATTCCACATTTTCGATTTCAAAAAATAAAATAAATATACTAAAAGGATGGGGCAAGCTGAAACACAAAAAGTGGATGAGCTATAAAATGACATTTTAGTTCAAATCTTTCTTTCTTTTAGTTACCAACGTTATTATTTCCACCAACTGGGAAGGCAAGTTAATCGTCGCATATCAGAAATTGAAAAACGAGAACTTTGAACCTTCAGATTTGATAGACTATTGTAAAACTCTGTTAACATGATTTTGTTCAAATCTGTTTTTGAATGGAATGTCATTTCGAAGTTCCGGTCCTGACGAATGTCACTTCACCCCATCTTCACCTAATTCTGAGACAGGCACGCTCAGCGGTCATTAGGGATGCTATTTGCAATTCAACTTCTTGGCTTAATTTTAAGCCATAAGTGCTTAGGGTAATACGTAATATCGCATACAAATAAATGTAAATGACGTTTCGCAATATAGATACACATGTAGTTTGTAAAGGTATAATCAACAAGGCGACATTCTTGCAACTGATTATTTGTCAATCATTAAGGGGCTAATACTCAATTTGAATTTTCAGTAAATTCTGCTTAAAATGTTTCTTAAGATCGAACTTGTCTCGCACACGAATTGTCAAATAAAATCCATCAATTCAGATTGGCGCGCCTATTCCTGTTTCCTAAATCGGTCAAATTATGTGGAATAGAAGGCCTTGCTTTGCAAAATATCTGCAGTGCTATTACAAAGATCCGACCTAAAGTGCATTAAGCTATGTATGTTGTGTGAACAAACTAAAGCTATACGAGTATGTAACATGAATATTTCGTAAACAAAAAAGGGAAAGAAATCAAATCCTGCACACTGTTCGGGTGTGCCAGTAGCTAGAGACCTCAACATTTTGTTCCTGCGCGTGCTAGTTTTAATTTTTTTTTACATATTTATGTACATATGTACATCCATACACAGAAACCATAGGGCAAGAAAAGTTTACCAAAATCATTGCAAAGAATTTAAAGTTTATAACATGACTAACCACTTGTACATACATGTGCAAACAGTTGCATTTGCTGTTTCAATCGAAAAGAGGAACCAAATATGTATATACATAAGTATTTGGTTGCATCCTTGTTTGTTTTACATTTGTTCATTCGCCCTGTGAAACTTAATTAGTGTATTAAAAATTAAAAATGCGTATAAATTAAAATACATATATGTATTAATTTTAATTTATTGAAACGATTAACAAGATAACAACAGATGTGTTTTGACTGATTTATGTGTTAAAGTTTAAGAATGATAAATATAGAAATATGTATAATTATATATACATTAAATACATATAAGCAGATATATAGGTGCTCATATACATATACTCGTACATAGTTACATATATATGTATGTACGAGTATATACATACATGTATATGTGTTCGCGCACCAGTCTCTTTGTGTATGTTTATATTTTATTGAGTTGGAAACATTGTAAAAAGATGGCAGGTGCTCGCATTAATCGCGAAAAATAGTGAATCAACAAATGTAAACTCTTATGAATACCTATAATACAAATACATATATAACTGCATAAATAAATAGTCTTTCTGTTCAAAATAAAGGGATGCAATATTGCAGCAATTTCGCCAATAAGGATAATTGAAAAGCAAAGTTTCTGTTTTTCGTAGTAAGCAACATTACGAGTTAATCGTTAACGGAGCATCCGGGGTACCAGGCGACCCCCGGATTATTCTAGCCTAGCCCAGGTACGCGGATCTCTGCCCGGGTGGTCCATCCCCTTCTCAGCCACTCGTGGGACACATGGATAATCTTTTTACAACAAAAACAAAAGACAAAAAACCAACATCAACCACTAATAAGAAGGAGACCCGCTCGCATTGCAGGTCGGAAGGAACCAATCAAGCCAATTAAGCAGGCCCGGTCTGCGGCACCATCCTGCACGGGCCGTCCAAAGGCTCTTCCCAGCACCACGGCAGTCAGCAAGCGTACGGCAGCTGACGGACCGGCGAAGATGAGACCCGAGGGGAAACCGGTGAGTTAGGTCGGCTAATCAACCCCGGCCAGATCCGATAAAGATCGGATACAGCGAGCGACGTACGGCGGCTCGTATACTCTGACGCCATGCCACGAAGCCAATTGAGGCAGGCCAGGCATCGGAGGAAACGCTACTAAAATTCCGCGAAGACGCCAAGTGGGCAAGGCGAATGCTGCCCAATTTTGTGCTCAATTACGAGGTTAACCAACCGTCCAAACGACAGCGTTCGATGGAGGAAGATCCAAACGCAGGGTCAAACAAGCAAAAGAATGGAAAGACATGGTCAAGATCATTGGCGGAGGTGGCAAAACGACTAAAGGTCTTTGGGGTCATAGACCAAAACAATGACGATGGCAGAATCCCTAAACACCAGTGACGATGGGTGCAAGCCGCGCTCACCACAGTTGCTGTGGAAGTAAGTACTCCTAGCAAATCCCGACCATTCCCCCGTTGCACTGATGCAGGGTGGTTCCAGGGTAGCGTGAACCTGATTGCATGCGAGGACGAGCGCTCAGTTTCTCTATACAGAATAGCGAACGACAAAGTAGGAGAGGCGGCAGTTGTCGATGCCAAGGATATCCCATCCCACCCTAGAGCACCGCATGGATCCCGGGGAAACCGACTGTGCCGGCGGACGTGCTGAAAATCCTCCAGCTCTGCAACCCAAACCTGGAAACACATGGAAAGTCATCAGCGCTGAAGCCATTAACAAAGGGACTATGCAGGTCGTGATGTTGCTAAACAACGACTGCCTCGAACTGCTCAGCAGAGACGAAGGAAGGGTGAACTTCGCCTTCGGTCACGTAAAGCTAAGTGTATATAAGGCCGATGCAGAAGCTATCTGTAACCTTGCCGAGAACAGCGACGCTATCGGACCGGCTATCGATGATGAAATGAACGTCGTAATAGCCCCAATGCGGATCTTCGTGATGATGTCTCCACAGATTCCGACTACGGGGCAACACTGGGTCGGCTTTACACTAAGCACGAGCCGCTCGAAGACAACAACGCGGAAGCAGATTTGACGCTCACGGGGGAGCGCGAGGGACGGTCCAATGGTGCAGGTCCTCCAAATCAACCTGCATCATAGTAAGGCAGCAAGTGCTGCTTCGCCTGTCAACAGGCGAAGTTGACATCGTCCTAATACAGGAACCATGGGTAAGTAATAATACTATCCGGGACCTTGGCTCATTAGGTTTACATTGTTCTGTATTTATGGCAACATTAAACCACGGTCATGTATCCTATCAAAAGGGACAACTTAACGCTATCTTACTCCCCCAATACAGCAATGCTGACATAACATCAGTCAGCCTAAATACCAACGCCGAAGACCAAGTGGGAAACAGCGGGATACGAATAGCATCATTGTATAAGTATCTCGCCCACGATTACCAAGGTACTCCACCATCACCACTGCTGAAATCCTTAGTGGAAGACAGTAGACGAAAAAGGATGTGCATCATACTTGGAGGGGATGACAATGCTCACCATACCCAATGGGGTAGCAGCGATATCAACGAAAGAGGTGAGTCCCTGTATGACTACATAATAAGTACTAAGCTACTAATATGTAACATAGGGAACGACCCCACCTTCATAACTAAAAATCGTAGCGAGATGTTAGACGTGACATGGAAAGTTTTAAGGGACCATTCGTTCTCTGACTATAGATTTATCCAAGCCCGGCACCCGTTAAGAGTATTTATCCTAAAAGGACCAATTGGGGGCACTACCTCAGACTGCTACCCAAAAAGCTCCCCCAGTACCGGTTTCCAAACCAGATACTGGGGAGGAGCTGGATAACTTAGTCGCAAACTTCATGACATAATGCGTCGAAACACTTGATAAAGCCTGCCCAAAGACTATCCTCAGGGAAGGTTGTAAACCACTAAGGTGGGTCTTCTGAGCTTGAAAAACTAAGAATTATTAGCAGAAAGCAATTCAGTAATGCTAGATACGAAAATACTGAGACTGCGCAAATTGTTGGCGAAAACTCCATCCTCACCGTCACTACTTCAAAGAGAGGACGGTAGATGGACGGAATACTGCAAGGAATCACTTAACCTGCTAAAGAACATTCATTTTCCAGGGTGTACTGATTGTCCCAGTACTGCACACCCTACCTCCCCGCGTACAGTTGCAAGGTGTCCGAGGATCGCATAACCTGGGCCATCAACACTTTCAATCCCTATAAATCTCCTGGACCGAACGGAATTTTTCCGGCCCAGCTTCAATTCTCTTTAAAGCAAATAATGTGGCTTCAGGTGATGCTTAGGAGCTGCCTCAAAGTCAACCGATTCCGGTCAGTTGGGGGGAAATAAAGGTGGTGATTATTCCCAAAGCTGGAAAAAAATCACACGTTAAGCCAAAGGACTTCAGGCCCATCAGCCTGTTCTCCTTCTTGCTAAAAACATTGGAGAGACTGATATTGCTATCCAATTCCCAGCATGCCTATTGTAAAGGGAAATCTACCGATACTG